AGCATAGACACACATCCTCTTTGCAGCAGATTCTTAATATCTTCAGTTATTTTAAAATTCTTAATTATTGCCCCAATTAGGAAAATGGGCATTTTCAACTGTTAAGCTTTTTTTGTAGCCATTTCCTGATTTGTGCAGCTCAACAACATTTTGTTGCACATCATTGCTGTTTACTCTGTTCGCTGTTTACTCTGTTCTCTGTTTATGCTGTTTACCCTGTGTTGGATGACTGAGAAATGTGGCCTGTGTTTCATCTCATATATATTCCCTAGTGAAACAGGAAGACATGTCTGTTACAATTTAAGTGTTCCTAATCACTCAGGTGAACTTAAAATATGATTGGGAATGTTCGATTAGATTTCATTCTGAAGATTTTCTAGAGGTGCCAGTAAAGGTTAGATGTTTGCTAACATTTTGAATGAAAGATAAAAAAATAAGTAATAAAGAATCTTTTTTACAGCTCATTTTGCTGATGAATACCAGGGGTGCCAACATTTGTGGTACCTTTTTGGCACTGCAGCAGAAGACAGTGGTTGTGATTCCCTGAGCTAAGCTATTCTGGCTCTATGGCCATGCACAGTTGTCATCTTGGTTGTACTGTTTCTTTGCAATACTAACATTAGCTAGCTCCTTTTCACACTTAGAATTAATGTGTGCCTCAAGAAAAAAATTGCACAGAACAGCACAGCTGGTCACAGAGCAAAACCAGCATGTGTTGTGTTTTGGATGCTGATATGCTGGTCAAACAGCATAACTAGCACCAGAGCAGCATAAACCATCATTCATGTATGTCTGTGCTGTTTTCTCTGTAGACAAGTACACAGTGAGCCACATAACCATGTGAACCTGGCCTTTCCATGTGTATTGAGTGACCACATGATAGGGTTTCATGACTGGAGGATGGGTACTGTGTACATTCAGTACGTTAGTTCCTCACTATGTTTGTCTCTTGTGTGTTCTTGTTCCTGCAAAAGACATTTAAATCACATAGATTGCTAATACAAGTTATAAACAAATGGAAGTGGAAACAAAGAAAGGAGTTACACAAAGCAGCTGCTCTCGACTCTGCTGTGATGATGCAGTTGATTAGGCAGTCCTCTGTTACTATCAGGGACATGGTGCATCTCCAAGATGCATCATTCTCCCGTTCATATATATATATATATATATATATGTATGTATGTATATATATATATATATATATATATATATATATATATATATATATACTGTCGTTGCTGTCAGAACAAAACCTTGAATCTCCATTTTTGTCATTTTTCAGTTTTTTAGAACACGTCTGTTACCCTTTACATTATATAAATTTCATGATCATTGGACCAAACGAAATGGCCCAAAATTACTTGGACAAAATGTCTGGTTCCACTGACTTACGTTAAAAGTAAAGCATGTATGGAGATATAAGGTTTTGTTCCAACAGCAGCGATACATATTTATGTATATGTAGCTCCACTAAACTGAATGTAGACTACGGGCCCTTTAAAAGCACTTACCAAAATGCAATGGCATTATTTGCATTACTTTCATTCTTGAACAGCAAATCCCTGCTAATTGTGTTTCAGTGGAGATCATGCCACGTCTGAACAGTGTAATGAATGCCATGCTTTTCAGTTTCCCACATATCACTAAAGAAACACACTGTCATTTGTTTGTGGTATTTTGGATTGTTTTCACTGTTATGATTGCTGGCACGGAATTCCATCCATAATGATGATGATGATGATGACGGCGGCTCCTCATAATGTTGATGTGCAGTTTCCAGGCAGGGTTGAGTGTTACACAGTGCCGTCTTTTCTGTTAGCATGACCCCAGAGCCTGTGTGCTCCCTGACTTGTCCCATGTGTATCAGAGACCATGGGAAAGGAACTGAAGATTATTCTGGGAACATACACTGCATAACCCCCCCGCCCCTTTCCCTCCAACCCCCAAACAATTATAACACCAGTCCTCCTTCCCTCTGCCTCTGTTTTACCCCCTGTGAGGGACTGCTCACATTTTATTGTGATTGTGCATCGCAGAGTAAGAGAAACTGTCCCTGAGCGACCATTGTGAGAGATGTGTGGGCAACTGCCCCTCATTTTTACAACCTCATTAAACATCTCAAACCTTTTCACATGACTATACTGTATATATACAGTGGGGTCCAAAGGTCGGAGACCACTAATCCTATTATCAGCACAACAATTTGAAGGAAAAGTACAATCTTTGAAACTTTAACAGAATTTCTTAGTATTCGAAGTGTCCTTGCTTTAATGATGGTGGTACTCCACATGGACTATATTTATATACAATATTTGTGCATTTATCTATTTAAAATCACAAATTGTTTGGTTAATATTGCATTGAAAAAAATGAATATTGAATTTTAAAATATTTATGGAATAACTAATTTATGAACCCCTTAAATGGTCAGGGCCCACCAGCAGGTCCAGTGGTGTATTACACACCTGTATTACCTAAGGATATTACATAAGTATAACTTGTTTTACCCAAGAATAAAGTTGCACTGTAGCACATGTAGTTACTCAATAATAGACCTTAGTATGTAATGAGTCTGAGGTTTTAAGGGATTCATTTTGTTATCATAGATTTTATTAATATAAATATTGGATTCACATTTTTTTCTTAGTAAACTGAGCTGTTACTAATGGCTGAAGCAACTCTACAGACAAGCACCCCTGAATCATAGCTCACACAACAGCACTGGTTTAGTCATCCCTGAGGAACACTGAGTATTCGGGACAGGAAGTTTAGAGTGTTCATATCGTGTCTGTTATTTATTAGCCCAGCGAGTTTCTTGACTCTGAGTCAGTTATTGTTCAGGTTTTAGTTTCATGGTCAATTTAAAAGTTAAAAATAGCAACTTAAAGACTGGAACATCTTTTAAGACTCAAGAACATTTCTGTGATGTAACACGTCGCTATTTTTCACCAACTCCTTTGCACGATACCTCCTCTTCTTTTTCGTCCCCCGCCTCCACCTTGTGTTCTGTTCTTCCGCCCTCTCTGCTTTTCCCACCCTCGTTTTTTTGCATCCTGGCCTGTGATCTGGTTTTAACTGTTTCCAGACGTCAACACCCCCCCCGCCACCTCTGATTACTTCAGCTCCCTCCACCCACAACAATCATCCCCCTCTCTCTCATTACTCCCTGTTTTTTATCATCTCTCTCTCTCCCTCTCTCTCTCTCTATCTCTCCATCTCTCATTACTCCCTGTTTTTTATCATTCTCTCTCTCTCTCTCTCTCTCTCTCTCTCTCTCTCTCTCTCTATCTCTCCATCTCTCATTACTCCCTGTTTTTTATCATTCTCTCTCTCTCTCTCTCTCTCTCTCTCTATATATATATATATATATATATATATATATGTATATATATATATATATAAATATATATCTATCTCTCATTACTCCTTGTTTTTTATCATTTTCTCTCCCTTTCTCTCTCATTACTCCCTGTTTTTAGCATTCTCTCTCTCTCTCTCTCTCTCTCTCTCTCTCATTACTCCCTGTTTTTAGCATTCTCTCTCTCTCTCTATCTCTCTCTCTCTCATTACCCCCTCTTTTTACCATTCATTCTCTCTCTCTCTCTCTCTCTCTCTCTCATGTTTTTCATTCTCTCTCTCTCTCTCTCTCTCTCTCATTACACCCTCTTTTTACCATTCTCTCTCTCATTGCTCCCTCTTGAATAGTTCGCTCTTTCTCTTTCATGCTCTCCTTGTCTCTTCTCTCTGTCTCCATCACCCTATCTGTCTCTATCTCTTTCTGTCTCTCTCTCTATCTCATTATCCCATCTCTTTCTCCCCCCTCCGTTTTCTGTTGTTTATTTTCTCTCTGTCCCTTTGTTTTTCTCATTTTCTCTCTCACATAATCCCTTTTTCCCTTTCTCTCAGTCTCTTCAATCGTTCTCTCTCTCTCTCTCTCTCTTTCATTCTTTCCTTGTCTCTTCTCTCTCTCTTCATCACTTTGTCTCTGTCTCTCTTTTTCTGTATCTCTGTGTTTCTCTTTATTTTATCACTCCCTCTCTTTTCTGTCATTTTTCTCTCTCTTGCTCTGTCTTGTTTTTTTCTTATTTATTCTCTCTCTCTCACACTCCTCTCTCTCTCTCTCTCTCTCTCTCTCTCTCATTCTCCTCCTTCTATCTCTCTCTCTTTTGCTACTTCTTACTCACCATAAAGCTCATCCTGTTCTGTCATTGGTCAGTAGACTTTAGGGTGTCTGTCACCTTTGGCCCCTATCAGTGACCTTTAAAGCACATAAAGCACGAGCAGGGTCACCGTAGTGATCCTAATTGGCCGTATGCACCAAACCTCAGTGTTTATTTTTTTAGAGAGGTGATGAGAGAGGGTCCCAAGCTTTTTGAGGACTGCCGATATGTTTATCCTGAACAAACCAGGCGGATTCCTCAATTAGCATCCCGTGTGGACTGATGAGTGTCCAGGTAGAAGGTCCTGTACCTTCACACATGAAAATGTTCTCACAAACCTGGCCGCCTTATCTCTGCTTTATTTATTGCCTGACGAAGAGAACGTTCTGGAATATTTTGGGGGTGACACAGCTGAATTTATTGTTTGGCATGCCAATGCATGCCAGAGATCTGTGAGAGATGAAGAACAATGCAGCAGTAACGAAGTGTGTGAAGTGCTTCTCTGTATGCGTGCAGTGGAGCGTGGCCTGGACCGGCCGTTCCCCTGGGTTCTGTTTGTACTCCCTCTCTGCTTCGATCAGCACTGTATCGGCCAGTTAATGATAAAAAGAAAGCAGATTAGAACCATTAGCAACAGAGTGCTGAGTTCACTTTTCGCTGATGCTGTTTAATTCATCGCTTATCGTTCCTGTTTAGTTAATTGCTCATATTTAAAGGACTTAGTTTAAGCAGTAAGGCAAAGGCATCTGGGTCCTCAGACTGCTGAGGAAACTCTACTCTTTGTGGATGTTTTGGTTCTTTGTGTTGGCAGAAGCTGAACGGTTTTCTCTCTGTCTGCAGACAAAGACGAGCCGCCACCAGCCGGTCACCATGGAAGGAGTCCATGTCGGCCTTTTCCCGCTCACTGCTTTCATAACAGGTAACAGACTAAACAAGGGCTGAAATATCATCGCCGCAAGACTTAAGAAAATAAGCGTCTCTAGTTTCACTGAACTCTGTACAGTCCAGACATGAGGATCTTCAGATTTTGTCTGAATGCATTGTCTCTGGGCCTATGATTCTTTAGCTTCTTCAGTGTGAACATCAAAATATGACCGAATCGTACAGTTTGCAGGTTAGATTCTGGAAAAATCCCACAGGTAGATTGTAAAAATAGCACAACTTAAATAACTTAAGTACCTGGTCAAAGAACACCTTAAGGAGTTCCATATAGAACTTAATGTGTCTAGTATCAAATAGCATATGAAATTAAGTTTTTTACTTATCATTGCTCTACTTTTTTGGATCTTTTTGGTCTAAAATATAATGTTAATGCTCCAAAGAGAGAGCTGTGAGTAACAGCAAAGCAGTGCTGGAGCTGAACAAACATTAGAAATAAAAATGGAATTGGGAAGTTAATGTAAATGATGTTAATAAAACTGAGAAAAACACAGAATACTTTTCTTATCTATGAGAAAGAATTAATAGTAACACTTGAACTTCACAACATTGACATAACCATGCCAAAAGTAGGTCATGGTAGATGTCATTTGCCATCATGAGTTGTCATGACATTATGCAGAGATGAAAGGATCGATCGGCTATGTAAGGTTATTAGCTGATTTTCAGTCCAAGTATGCAATCGGTGATCGGCCGACATTTCTCTAACTTAGCCGATCCTGAGAGCTGATCGGTGCTGTAAAACATATGAGTCATTTTTTGCCTGAGGTGCCAGAATGCAACTTCAGCCTTGTCATATCTATTTCACCAATGAAAAACATTTTTCCTAAAGTATATTACATATTTAGCTCCTATTTCACTGTAAACTTGCTGTGTGAATGTGCAGAGCTGTAATTATTGTGGTTTGTCCTCAAAGCTTTGAGGATTCATTTCTGAAGCACATTAGCATCCGAGCGCCAATCTTAGCTTCCCTTACAATGCAATAGCTTCATGACCTACGGCTTTGGCAGAGACTGAAAATGAAAATAAATTGCAAAACTAAAAAAATTAATGTGTCAGCCCTTTTAATCTTTCCAGTACATTGAAAAACCCATCTGGGAAGCAGGAGGACTGTTTTGTCCTGTTAGCTGTGCCAGTTGCCTGTGGTCTGGTAATTTCAATGGTTATGCTGGCATGAGGCACCAGAGTGTAACTGCTGTGCCCTTTAAGGTGGAATTGGAAAATTCGAACAAGAAACTGTCAAATAACAAGCTGACTTCAGCTGTTGAAAGAGTTGAAGGCATACAAGGAAAATAAAAGGAGCAGTTGCTCTGTTTCTGCTTGACAGCTGGATAACTAACTTAGTTAGTTAGTTGCAATGTGCGTCCATGAATTTGGGGGGCAGAGCTTCTGAAGGAGCACTGAAGGAAGGGGTGTATTTGTTTTGCTGTCGAGAATCGTTTCTGCACCCCCAGTCCTGCCCTGATCAGTATCGGCTGATCATGCTGAAAGGCAGTCGGTGATCAGTATTCGCCGAGATCAGTCCATCTCTAATATTATGTCGAGTAATATAACGTTGTTATCATTAGTATTAATTAATGACAGCTGTCAAAATATTTGATGCCATAACTAGAGTACATGTATCAAAATTTAGTACACGAGATGTTGAATATATTATATTTATTATTGAAGAAAATCTGATGCTGACATCTGCCAAAATATGTTTATGGCTTGTCAATGTTGTGTAGCAAGGCTCAAAAAAAGTGTTGCCAAATTAATAAGTAAATGCATTGTCATTTGAAAATACTGAAAAAAATACAAATCTATCAGAATTCATAGAATCAAAATCACTTTAAAGTACACCGAAGTGAGTAAGTAACAATAGTAATAGGGTAACTAATTTCTACCCACCTCTGCTTATAATGCTGTTGTAACTGTGTGCTGTATATTTGCTCCATAATGTACTGGATCAGAGTCATAATTTTGTTAACCCCTCAAATGGCCAGCATCCACCGGCGGGCCCAAAGTTTTATTACACACTTTTATAACCTAAGAGTAGCTCAGCCATTATGCGTTCAAGTGCCTGTAGTTACTGAATAGTAAGCCTTAATATGTAGCCTGGGATTTTAAACCTTTGAATGGCCAGGAGGCCTGAAGTGTTATTACACACTTCTTTAATCTAAGAATAGCTCAGCAAGTTTACACTGAAATAAAAAAAATTAGTAGATACTGAATAATAGGGTTTAGTATGTAATACACCTGGGATTTTAGGGGGTCAAAGAGTTAAAAGGTTCAAATACTACATTTGTCTTGCATTACCCACTGAGGTCCACTTATAATATTTGTATCAGTTTATGGATCAAACCCTAGTACTAATTCATTTTTACCTGACTCTTTCCAGACTCAGTTAAATTCAGTTTTCCATGAATGCCCTTTAATGCCACACGTCTGTGTTTCATTATTTTCTTCTTTTTCTCTTTTTGCTTTACTGGTTAATACTGGCCTTCAGTGTTTCTGCTCTCTACCTTTGGTGCTTTATAAAGGCCTGTTGAGATTTGAAAAGATGCCTTGTAAAATAAGAATAAAAACAATAATAAGTTCACTTTAAAATGAAAACAGTAATGTATGCTTTAAAACTTAACAATTATTATTAATAGTTAACTAACGTTGTTTCTGTTGGCTGTTTTGTGTGAAGGGCTCCTGCTGCTGTGTTCTGCTGGCTCTGCTCTAGAACTGAACCCCAACATCAGACAGACCAGTCTGGACGCTAACTCCTCCTTCAGCATCACCTGTTCAGGCTGGGCCCGGGTCAGCTGGCGCTTCAAACGAGAGGAAAACATCCCAGAGTTCCGTATGGAGACCCGGACCAACACTACCAGCGTTCTGCATCTGGAGCACGTGACGTGGGAGCACACAGGAGTGTATGTGTGCACTGAGGATGAGACTAATACAGAGATAGAGCTGGCCATCTATGTGCCTGGTGAGAAACACAGCATTACAAAACTAACAACTAAACTAGACCCTGAAAAGTAATTGTAGTTGCTGGATTTCAAGTTTTTTAAGTTTCTGGAAATAAAAAAGTTATTAAGTAATCATATTTAATATCCTGTAATTAACTAGTTATAGTATTTTTAATATCTGCCACTTTTGAAAGACAGTCTGGATATTAATTTTGTTTAACTTATTTTTCAGTGTTACACATTTCTTTGCCAAATCGCTCATCTCCCTTCTCTCCTTATCAGACCCTGAGGTGTGGTTTTTGAAGAATGAGTATTACATGGTCACTAAGACTGGAGAAGAAGGGATCGTCCCGTGCCTTGTGACAGACCCTCGCATAAATGTGACCCTCCATGACAGAATGACAGAGAGCCTGGTGAAGGGCGAGTATTTGCCCAGCGTGGGGTACAAAGCCATGCTGGATGACCAGACGTATAAGTGCAGAGGAGAACTGAACGGAGAGGAGAAGTGGAGCGAACCATACTACGTCTTCAGCATCTTAGGTACGAGCCTAAAGCAGCAGAGAAGGCCTCAAAGAATGAAGTGTGCCTTTCACAGTAGTTTTCAGTAAATGCATAGTGTTTGATATTAATCAAATATTTGATTTCATTTAAAAAAAAAGTTATTGTTCTGCATACAGTCTTCTGTTTTTCATATTTTTCCATGCGTAAGTCTTTCTTGACATCAAGGCAAACATAAAAAATAACTCTAGATCTAAAAACCCGGGTTAGACTTTGCCTGCATCCAGAACTGCGTACTACCAAACTAAATAGTATGTCAGAAATAGTACATTACCAGTGTAAGTCCAGTCATTAGTGTAGTATGTGTAGTACAGTACTGTGTGGTTTTGGATGCAGCTTTTGTTTACTCTCTCCTGCTCCTTCTCTGGCTTATTGTCTTTCTCTCTGTCTTGCTTCCTCGTTCGAATTCTCTCTTTCTCTCTCTTACTTGAATCGGCTGAAGTCTGATCTGTCTTCTCCTGTGCGGGACTACCTGGACATGACCCCTGTAGACCAGTGCCAGAGTGAAGAGCCTGTTTTTCCTGAACTGGAGATAGATTTGAGAGATTCGGAGATGCAAAACTGGCAGGAGGGTCAGGGGAAACTCTTGTCTTTGGGAACCCTGACTCTTGGTCTCTTTAGCTCTCTCACCAAGAGGGCTTTGTACATTGCATGTACTAAAGTACTGCACTTTCACAGCTTGAGAGACGTGCGAGAGTCTAAATGGACAGAGGTTGTTCAGGCTGGCTCTTCCCCGAAAGGTAGCTGGCGGTCCCTGTACAAAAGACCCATCGAGAAGAGGGTGGGTGACCTCCAATGGAGGATTGTACACGGGATTTTAGCTACAAACAGGCACGCGGCGCGGATTGATCCATTAGTGGGAGATGGGTGTCCTTTCTGTGGGACGTCAGAAACAGTTTTTCATGTCTTTCTTCACTGTACACGCTTGGGCCCCATTATGGGTTTAATTAAGGAATGGGGTTTGAAGTTTTTAGGCTTTTTTGACAATGTTTTATTTATTTATGGTCCAAAGTACACCGTTTCAAAAAGAAACATGGTAGTTCTTTTGAATTTTTTGTATGGTGCTGCTAAGTTAGCGATCTGGTGTACTAGGAGGAATAGAATAGAGAACCGTGGGGGTACTGACCCAGTACTGATGGTCAGAGGATTGATCTTGAAAAGACTCCTTGTTGATTTTACCTACTACACTCTTATTGACAATGTGGACTATTTTTTTGCTGAATGGGGGGGAGGGGGGTTGCTTTGTGAACCTGATGAACTCAGTGGGTTTGTGTTGAATGTGTGAACTGATCTCTGCAGCTCCGCTGAGCTGGTTTTTGTTTTATTTGCTTTTTTTTCTTCTTTGTTTTATTTGTGATTTTATTTTGAGTTGGTTGTGATGCTCTTACGCTGTGGACAATGGTTGATTAAAGGGGTTTTAAAGTCAAAAAGTCTCTCTTACTTTCAGTCCATTCTCTCTCTTACTCTCTCTCTCTTACTCTCTCTCTCCCTTATTCTTACTCTCTCTCTCTCTCTCTCTCTTCTCTCTCTCTCTCTCTCTCTCTCTCTCTCTCTCTCTCTCTCTCTCTCCCTTATTCTCTATTACTCTCTCTCTCCTCCATTTTTCTCTCCTTCCCTCTCTCACTTCATCTCTCCCTTATGCTCTCTACCTCCATTCTCTCTCTCTTCCTCCCTCTCTCTCACTCTCCTACATTTCTCTCTCTCCCTCTCTCTCTCTCTTTCACTCACTCTATTCTCTCTTACTGTGAATGTCTTCTCCATTTCTTTCTCTCCCTCCATCTCTCTCTTTTTGTTCCTCTTTATCTCTCTCTCTTTCACTCTCTTTCTCTCTCTTACTCTCTCTCTCTCCCTTATTCTCTCTTACTCTCTGTCTCTTTCTTACTCTCTCTCTCCCTTATTCTCTCTTACTCTCTCTCCTCCATTTTTCTCTCCTTCCCTCTCTCACTTCATCTCTCCCTTATGCTCTCTCCCTCCATTCTCTCTCTCTTCCTCCCACATCCTGTCCTGTCATCAATCAGTAGAATTTTGGCTGTCTGTTACCTTTGACCTCTATCAGTGACCTTTAGAGCATGCAAGGCTTTGAGATGCACAGTGTTGGGATTCAGACTACAATGTAAAAACGTTCTGTACATTTCCAGTATTTATTTCTCAGTAAAATACTGGTTTGTTATTATAAAAGACTGGGTGTTTAAAATGGTGCATTTGTCCACAATAACATACCAGACAATGCAATTAATAGTAACTTATAGGCAGGAGAGTTGCTAATAAAGTACTGTAAATAAATAAATAGAAACTGTAATTTTACTGGCAAATCTATTGTGAAATAGCTGTTACTGCATGTTTCAGATTCAAATATTTAAATTGTTTCTGTTCTGATTGGCTGTTTTGTGCTGTGCCTCAATTCAGATCAGGCTGTCTTTGCAGCTTAGACCCTGTATATGGACTGTTTTGACTGGGTAGCATTTATATACATCAACCACTTTCCAAAAAAGCAAGAATAATGGGGCTTTCTATGATGCACCAAATACACTGGTTTTCATGACATCACAAAAGAAATGAATTCCTCATGGGCTGTTTTTGCAACTTAGCCTCCAAATACAAACTGGGGAGTGTTTACTACTCTTTTATGTCAAAAAAGTGAGGAAAAAACAACTTTCCATGATACGGGCCCCTTCAGTAAAAGCTCTAAAACACACTGCCCTTGTGGCCGATCTGCTTTAGGATTCTCAGTAAAGTGTTTAGTTCCAAATGCAGTAGGTCATGAGTGACTCAGTTCCGGTGGGAGAAAACTCATGACATGTAGATGTCTTCACATGTGTTCTGCATCTGTCTGCTTTGTCTCCCATCCATTCTTTGTGTATTAATCCACCCCTCCTTTTCATAAACCGATGATTTGTAACAGTCTGTGTTAAAACAATGCTTGTATTGTGTGTATATGTGTATTTATCTATCTCTTGTGCACATGGCCACAGTTCCTGAAATGGTGGACGCCCACATCAATGCCTCAAAGACAGTGCTGAAACAGGGCGAGCCACTCAGCATTAACTGCACCGCCATCGGAGTGGAGCTGGTCTTCTTCTCCTGGGACTTCCCAAACAAAGACGTGAGTGGGCCGAAAATAAACCTCCACATCTTCTCTTTCCGTTCGGTGTCAGCGCCGCGACCCCTCTGGAGAAGCTCCAGCAGCCCAAATTACCTCAAGATGGGCTGCCACACCTAGCCCCTGAGAGCCCTTAATGAACAACACATTTTTATTAAAGTTTTCAATCTGCTGGAGAAAAGAGAAAGACAGCAGACTGGAGGAGACACTTTTTTTCTGCTGACCAGTCATTTATTTATTATGAATGATAATGTAAAACAGAACCAGGAGAAAGAGAGAGAGAGATAGAGAGAGAGAGAGAGAAATGAAAAAAAAAAAAGGATTCTGATCTCAATTCTCCACCCACAGTATCTTAGTGCTTATTCAGAGGGGAAAACAAATGAAAAAACTTACAGAAGTTATTTGATGTTAATAATAGAATTGAATGGATTCCTACACTTTAACACCAGGCAGACAGAGAGCTCTGGATCTATAACATATAGAAAAGTTACAAGCTAGTTGCTGGTAGAAAGAAGAAGTGGAGGCTTCCAATGAACAGATAATATTTAACTTGGCTACTCCAAAGCCTTAGACTAAATGACAGGGATGTGCATGGATATTTAAAGGTAGCTTTTTTTACATTATAAGCACAGAGTATTTACATGTTTTGTTGATTTACTAAGTAAAAATACGTTAACACATCCACTACAGAGAACACACCTCTACTATTTATTTGCTGAATTTAACATACTGGAAAAAAAAACACATAAAATTTGGCCTATGCAAAAGTTATGGCACATTGCAGATTTTATGTTTTCCATCATGTTAAACCCAGCAAATAAATACACAGACAGTGGTTCTATATATAACCTTTTTGAAAATGGTTCTATATAGCACCAAAAAGGTTCTTCTATTGTTACAACCTTCACATTGTAACAACAGAGGAACTCTTTTGGTTCTATATAGAACCATATATAAACAATTCTTCATCAATCTGACGAAGGATTTCACCATACAAAGAACCATTCAAGCATGAAACTGGTTCTTTGAGTGTTTATGGTTCTATACAGAAAAAATGTTTTTACTAATGAACCCTTGAAAAAAAACATTTTTAAGATACTACAACATAATATAAAAGCAAAGCTCACTTTTATCCAATGACAAAAGATTTGACATGGAAAGTTTCCATGGCAATAAATACAGTGATGTAGATGAATTACGCTATGTAGTAACTGAGCAATTTAACATGAGCGGGAATATGTTACCTCAAGTAAAATCATGGCTGTGAAAGTGAGTAGAAAGCAAGTAGATCATCACAGCTGTAGTGTTATTTGCGATAACACAAAACCTTGAGTCTTCTTTTACTTTTATACAGCAGTTCTGCAAAATATAGAAAAATGCAAAGCTTTATTTTTATATTTAATAAAAAAAGAGTAAGATCTCTGGTGCCAAAGGAGCAGAGAAACATTTTGGTTATATTTTTAGTTCAACTTATAACATGGATTTAATGTTTATGGATTGCAAAAAGAAATTAAAATATTACCAGAAGTATTAAAACTTTTATCCAGTCTATGTTCCGATGAAAGTCTTGCTAGCTCTGGCTTTCTGTCTGCATCTAAAAGATGTTGGTGCACTGTGGAGGTCAGAGCATGGGTTCTACCTGACATATAGATATTACTAATTTGATGAATGGCCAGTTTCTGAGCTCCAGGGAGCTCCATAAGCATTAGAAGCAGCTTGAACTTGTAAACAGAAAAAGAAAGAGCTGCCAGGAAGATTAAACAGTTTTTCCTGGAATGTACAGAGTCTGTCATTATAGGTAACATCAGTCAGGGTGCAGATTTACTTTTTCAGACCAGAAAGAAATTAGAAAAGATTCCCTCCTGTCGTGGAAGAATCTTTGTAAGAAGCAGTATTTGGGAGCAGTCTGTGAAATAGTGCTCGCTGAGAACTACACTGAAGTAAATGTGGAATAACTGAAGATGTATTCGAGACGTCCGAATGAATGAAATCTAGAAGTGTGAGTAGTTTAGGCTTATTTCTGTTCTTAGAGATGCAGTGAGTCTACAGAAGCATCTATTCATCCTTGCCAAAGGATGATTGCATGCACGGTGCTCCCTTCACTGTGAAAACTTGGAAAGGTTTTGGACTGTAGTGGTCAAAAGCAATGGCCGTTTGGAGCGAAGCATGCCTGAATGCTGTGCTAGAATGAGTTTTGCTAGACCATCATAGTACCATAGTTTCTAAAGCCAGAAACTGTTGACATTGTGTGTGGCATTGTACTTTGATGGTTATCAGACAACGTCAGTACTATCAGTTCAGACGTATTGCATGTATGATCAAAGCATCCAGTCTTTTAGTTTTCCATGTACATTAGACTGTATGGCATGTGGTCTAAAGTGGTATTCTGTTGTAAGGGAAATAAGCCAAGCCCTCTAAATCCAGTTTATTCCTTCATGTGTTGTGAGACTTCAGATAAATGCACTAAATGAGTTTTAGGCCTGTGGTGGTGCTTTGTCCCCTCAAATTATTATCTGACTGCAAAGACTATGCATTATTTGCTCAGGCTGAACACAATTGCTTGTAAGCCAGGGCTTTTTCTGATCATTTTGGGACAAGGTTCTACTTGGGAGCCCACCCACCATACATATTTTGTATGCAATAATGACAATAAATTGATATTTTATTCATTTTCAACTACATATGGTTAAGTAAACAGAATTACAAAAAATGTATCTCCAGAAAGGTAAATGTACAGGACAAGAAAAAAACTTCCTAACTTTGAATGGAAGTAAATGTATATGTAAAGTAAATGTATATTTGGGCCATTTCTGTTGGTCTGTTCATCATGAAATTTTGACAAAACATAAAGGACAACTACCTTTTTCAAATTATGTATGCAACATAATGAGACGATACATAGATATAGATATAGATATAGAAATACATATAGATTTTTGTGTTATGTGTGTGTCTATAAGCAGTATAATCAGTCACTTGGGGCCCCCAAGCCATAAAGAAACAGCCCTACTTTTAAGCAATAAGCAACAGTTATTGATTTACGATGAAGAAAATTTATTCGAGCTCAACTACAAAGTTGCTGAACCTCTAGAGTCAGATTATCTACGGTGTACAATTTATGTGAAGTGCTCTGGCCAGTGGGTACCACCACAGTGCTGTAGCACTGATAACCTGACAGTTTACTATAATGCCCCATCGATTTGAATCTCCAACTCTGCAGCTCCTTGCTCCAACCAATGTACTACCCCTCACCTGCATTTCCTAGTGTTCCTATCAATATTTTGCCTCTCATTGACCTCTTTGTGACCTTTTGGTCCTCAGGTAATTCACATAGAGCCCCTGACAGACGTGCTGTCGACCACCAGCATGCGCTCTTGCCTGAACATTTCCAATGCCACGCTGGCACACTCAGGACAGTACGTCTGCTATGCACACGAGGGTGTGAACAACCAAGAGACTTCAGCCAGCATCAACATCACTGTGCTGGGTAAGGCCTGACTACAGACCTCATGCAGGATCTCATACTTTAGAATTCTGCTTACTACATTTTCATGCTGGTTAACGCCTATGCAGATGGAAATATGGGTCATTCCACTTTTTAAGTAACATAATCTCTAAATGCTGCATATTTAAATGATTTGAGACATAAACACAGTCCTTCAGAGTGGTTTGATGTGAAATGCTCTGTTCTAGAGAAGCACACAGACTCAGAATTGTTCACAGTGGTAGTGATAGGAACCAGACATCTGAATCGTTTAATGTCTCTAAAAACTGCCCAACAGAAAGCTATTACAAGAAATGGTTATGAATATGTTGCCTAATGCCTGAAACATTGATTTACGATATTTGAGACGAGGCCTAAACAACGTTTTTTAAAATCCATTAATGGTATAGAGATGCATGTAGGGTGTAGTGAGGCAAAATAATTCCCAAGGATTTTTTTTTTCTTCAAATGATCACTGTTTTATCATTATCAACATTACATACAAAATACTCAAAAGACACATGCAGGTTCGCTGGTCATTTTGGATTGTAAATAAAATGGATATATTTGTGTTTGAGACATCACAGTGCCTGGTTCCTATCACCACCACTGCAAAGAAATGTGAGAGATGTGAGCGGTTTTGAATTTTATTTACAAAGACCCATTTCTCATCAAAGCACTCTAAATGACTTTGAAATATACAGAAATCTTGAAAGATCAGTGGGATTCCCTTTACAGTCTAGGCACTGGCATCTACATTACAAGGGGCCTGGGTAAAGATGCTATTATAGATAGTCTGAGGCAGTGGTCTCCAGCCCTGGTCCTGGAGAGCTACCTTTCTGCAGAGCCTAGTTCCAACCACAATTTGCCACACCTGCTCCAGCTAATCAACCTCTTCCCAAGTCCCTGATTGGCTGGATCAGAGGCATTAGAGTTAACCCCTTAACATTCCAGACTTAAAACATACAAGGCTTATTATTCAGTAGCTACAGGGACTTCAATGTAAACTAATGGAGCTATTCATAGGTTAGAGAAGTGTGTAATAATACTCTGGGCCTGCCGGTGGGCCCATGGCTTATTTAAGGGGTTAAATAAGGGGGCGGAGCAAGTTGGAACTTATCTCTGTAGGAAGGTAGCTCTCCCGGACCAGGGTTGGAGACCACGGTTCTGAGGGATGTAGATGTATTTTTCTGTTATGTTTTGTTCATTTAGTGCAGAGAACCTCACATGTAGCAAAGGAAAATATAACTACTTGATTCAGAAAATGAGATCTCAACCAGGATATTAAGAATACTGCAGAAAATTATCATAATCTCTAAATGGCTTCAATTCATAAAGTTACACATGCACTAAACAGTTGGCATTTTTGGACCGACCACTGAAGTGAACCTGAATGAACCTGAACAGCAGCGTCTTTTAAACAGCCAATTAAAGCAGCCCTTCAGTCTTTGAACGCCTGCTTTCATGGCATACACTAACTCTTATTTAAGGATTCCACATGGCGCAAATCATGCATGTAAATGTTGACATTCTTTTGAAATGGGGTGTATTATATTTAAGCAGTGCACCCCTACCACCCTTGCAAAACCACAGCCAGAGCACTAATGCACACAGAGCAGTTCCTTTAGGTCCATCCCCCACTCCAGCCCAGGCTGCAGGCAGCACACTGAGTGTCTATGAAGGAAAGAAAAACTGCCTGGAAGCCAAGAGCTGCTCAATGGGAGGCTTTGTGAAAGCATCAGTGCTTCTGCAGCATGCTTACATGATTAGCTACCTGTAATGTGCTTCACAAAGTACATTACACAAGTAAGTGATAATGAATCCTGCAGCATTTAAGTGTAAATCATGCATATAATCATTAGGTTTATGAAGCATCTTGAGGGGAGTGATGATGACTTTTGCAGTTAATGTGAAAATGTCCACAATGAAAATTTTAAATACAAACTGTTCTGCTGTTGGTCTTTTGTAAGTGATGTCTCAATACTCTGCCCACAACTCTTTTTTTTTTTTTTCATAGCAACTGTTGTGAAGTTGGACAGAACATCAGCAAAAATGGACGTAATGAATTTAGGCTGGCGTTTAGAAATGCTAAATAAGGCTATGTTTCTAGACTAAAACACTACACTACTGAACTATACTATGTTGTTGTAGCTAATCGAAAATAGTCAAGTAAGAAATGACAGTAAATGTGCCACTATTCCAAAGGTAGCTCAGTTACATAGCAAGAATAATAATAGTGTCGTAATAGTGTGACATTTCACATTTATATTAAATTAATAATATTTTACTGAAAAATGCTTTCTAAATTTCTGTGTTTGCCAGTGGGGCCTCCTGAGTAGCTCAACTGTTCAAGTGTGAGCCCTATCATCAGGAAATTGTTTGTTCCCTGGCGATGCCAGAGCCATCTGTGACCAGAAATCCAAACTGGCCTTGTTTTCTCTGGTTGGGCAGGATGGCTCCCCCTCTCCCCCCTAGTACAATGCTAGTGTCTGTGAACATCTATTAGCTGATGTAAAAGAATTGGCAGTTAGTGTTTTCTTCCAAGCTGAGGGTTGGATGTTGCTATTGGACGTTGCTGTTGGACGTGGCATTAGTGACACTTCAAATTCACACGATAGCAGGGTTCATGTGTCTCAGAGGCTTTCACTTTCCCAGGATGGTAGCATCATCAAAGCTGGTATGTAAGGTAAACCAAGACAGTGCATGCCTATTCAAGTCAAAGGGATGTAAAATGATACATATCCTGTCTGCTTAAGTCTTGCATCCTCCACTTCACTTCTCCTCGTCTCTCAGGTCAGGCCAGTACTGCATCACTGGTTAGTTAAGAATATCAAAGACAGAAGCTTGATGATTGTAGGTGAAGCCGGCTTAACAATGCGCTTTCCCTGAATTTGTATTTGAGTGTCTATTTCCCCAAATGGAAAGCATATTAAGCTTATTTTCTGGGAATCTTGAGAATTTTATATTGAGACATACAGGGGATCCAAGAGGTTGATTAGGGGGTCCTGGAACCCCCTAGACCCCCTGTATTCCGCACCTTAGCCACAACTAAATTGGGAAAAAACTAGAAAAAAAAACAAACAAACCTTCTTGCTGAATTGAACTGTTGTTGAAGAAGCTTGTCCAACCTAGCAACAGTAGCTATGAAAGAATGTATTTGTGGGCAGAGCATGGAAAGGTCTGTTAGCATTCCATACAGTTATCTTTTTTAATGCTAGGTTCAATATGGACTGATGTGTTTGGTCTCATTCTGCAGAGAGAGGATTTGTGGCACTGAGTTCGTTCATGGGCCCCAACGTTTCAGCGCAGCTGCATGAGAACATTCAGCTGAGGGTGGAGGTGGAGGCCTACCCCAAACCTCACATCCACTGGACTAAAGACGGAGCCGTCATCAAAGGGGACAACATCATCAACATGAGTCCGGAACACAAGACCAGGTAACCACAAGCTTAGAAAGATGACAAATCAATCCATTTACACAAAGTAGCTAAATTGCTATTAAATTACTGTGTGTGTGTCAGAAAACAGCATTTAAAAGACTCATAATGTAGAAAAATACACTGCCGGAAAGCAAACACTGAACATATTGTTTGACTGTAGCTTCTCTTTGTGTACCTCTTGTTTCCACAGATATGTCAGCACATTGACTCTTGTGAGAATCCGGCTGGAGCAGAAAGGATATTACTCTGTTCACGTTGCCAATGAGGATGCTTCCAATAAGATGATCTTTGACCTAGAGGTTAAAGGTAAGAAACACGTCCACTCATTCTCTCTCCACAAATAGATAAGCACCTTAGAGGCTAATGGACTGTGAGGATATAGCATATCACATTACAGCGAGGATGTATTGATTTGTTTTCTATTTCGGGCCATGTTGTTAAAGTTTCCTCTGAAAAGTTTCTTCTGTGGTCAGCTCCACCTCAGATAACAGAGCTGTCGGACCATCACCTGCCAGGGAAGAAGCATGCTGTCACCTGTGTGGCTGAGGGAGTTCCTTCTCCCAGCATTCAGTGGTTGAGATGTGACGGCATGCAAAAGTAAGCGCTCTTCATCATCATTGTCCGTAGCAGCAGTGTTTTAGGTACTTCAAGTAATACCAGTGGTGGGGCGACGATGGTGGCCTGCTCTGACAGAAACAACTGTTTATAACACTTTACTTGAGCTCTGCTATATAACATTGGCATAATCATGCCATAAACATATCATAGCTGATGTCATATTCTGTCATGAGACAGATTTCTTTCAGTAACATAACAGTGTCATGTTACCATTACTGTTAATTGGCCTGAGAGATGCCATAGTATTTGATGACATGGCAGCTTATTTCACATGCTAATTTTTGCTGTGTACATGAAGGTTGGCCTTCATGACATCAAACTTTATGAAATCTGTCATGTCATTGTACAGCTGTCAATGAAAGGGAAATTCCACTGACTGAAAAAAATCTGCACAAATCACCTGTTGAAATGTAAACAAAATCATTCAGAGTGCTTTGCCATGAAATGGTTCATTGTAGATGAACTTACTGACTTATATTTCTTTACAGTGGTGTTGATGGGAACCACGATGTCTACAACACAAATATAGCCATTTTGTTTATATTCAAAATTACCAGTAAACCTATACATATCATCTACTGTGCAACACTGATAATGGTAAAATATTATTAAATTTAAAAATACACATTTTCTTTGGGGACTATTTTACCTTACAATGCCCCGCATGTACCTCTCCACCATAATTGCTTTTTAATTAGACCAAACTTTTATCTTAAAACTATCGTAAAACAGTGTCTGAAACATCAGGCAGTATTTTCATAACCATTTTGTTATAAAACTTGCAGTGAAGTAGCTTTTAAAGACATTAAACTCTTTAGGAATCTGGTTCCTATTACCAGCACTGTTAACAGTTCTAACTTGGCAAGTTTCTCTACAAAGCGTCATTTTATATCCACTCTGAATGACTTTGTTTGCATTTTAATAATTTAATTACACAAATGTTTTGAAAAATCAGTGGAATTCTCCTTCAACATTTTGTAGTGCATGCGAAGCCAAACTTGTTCAATGCTTTCATTTAGACTAATAGTTAAAAAAGGATTGTAAAGGGAATCTCTATCATCACAATACAATAAACAGCACTGATTACACACACACACACAGATTAATCACCAGCTAGAAACTTCACCAAACCAATGTGGAATCCGTTCTACACACCACCACATTCTGTGCTAACACCCTAATCCAGTAAAGATGCTAGTGCCAAATAATAACGTCATTTCATTTTTTTAAAAAATAAAATATGAGTCTAATAAAATACAGTAAGCTTTAAAAAAAGAAAGAAGTTTTTTAAGATCTCAGGATTCACACCATCACATATGCTATATGGTACATACAGGTCATAGGGACGCAGGTACTCAGGGATGCTACAGCAGTTGGGAAGGTTACTTTAAAGATGTATTCTGGTAAAGTATTCTGGTCAAGACTTTTATTACACTCTATTATTACCATTTTTCAGTCAGTAATTACTTTGAAAACAATGCAAGTGCTGAGTTATCGCCTCTGTTACAAGAATGCATGTCTGGAACTGTTGGCATTTCCATGAAGTTTAAAAAGTAATCTATAACCTAATCCAGGTGGTTACTACATTAAAGTATTTTAATCTGGTTACTTGTCTATTTAATGTCTTATAATTGCATCAACAGAAATTAAAAACATATTTCATGACAAAGTCTTTAAACCAGGCAAACAGAAAAACTGCATGTTTTATGAAAATGATCATTTTCACCATCCGAAAAAAATTTCAACGCAGTCCTGCTAGAAACATTTTAATAATGTATCTGTCATCTGATTTCTGCCCTTTTTTCTGTAATGGCATACAGTTACTTTTATTTATTTAATTATTACTGATCACTGTTAGTCCCCAAGTCTGGATGCTGCTGCCCCTAAACTACCAACCAGAGACAAGAGGAACATCCCTATTTCTTGTCACATTTGTCTATTTTGTAGAATGATGGTTTCTGTTATAATTTAGCCACATCCATTAGACATCTCCTTACAATTATTCCTATTATCATCGTTCCCATTATTTATTATCATTAGGATAACTGTTATTTCACAATTGGCGCATAATTCTTTCTCTTTCATGATTCAATGTCCATTATGTGATATGCTTCATTCATAACTGGGCTTTTATGTTTTTGAATACATGGTTCAGTGTCTGCGAAATCTCATACTGAATGTGGTCAGCCGCCCAGCATCTAGTGTACCTGTAGTCTAGAGCCCTCTGTAATACATCACTTCACCTTTTGGTGGCCCCCATTCATTAATAATGATGTTATGAGTAAAGGCATAACAACACACACGTAATGTGTCATGACTTGTGTGTTATGCAATAGCTTTGTAGTCGTTATGTAAATGTTCAGCCTTTATGGTCCTCTAATGTACACTCTAATGGATGAGAAATACATGAATAGACAGAACCTCAACAGCATAAGCAGTTCCATTTATGCTTGGCCCTGAGCACACCCTACATCATGGCAATGGACCTTCACTGCTAAGCATTAAGCATTGAGTGCACTTCTGAAAAATCATTCATATGAATTATCTATAACCTCTGTCGTCCTAATGCACTACAGGCACCTCGGTGTGTCAGTTATGCTCTCTTCCTGTCTGTATATTATTGTTTTAATGTATTTCTTCCTCCTTGCACTTCAGATGCAGTAACAGAAGCGTACCGTGGAGCCCCCTGGTGTCCCATCTGGAAAGCCTCAACATTGTGACTAATGCCACCTACAATGACACGCGCAAGATCCACCAGGTGCACAGTCAGGTGATCTTCCTCCACCCTCAGCAGATCAGTGTGCGCTGCCTGGCCAAGAACGAGGGAGGAGCTCGCGCGCGGGACATCAAACTCATCACCAGCAGTGAGTACTGCCTCTCTGTGTGTGAATGAATTTCAGAGAGTGTGTGCGTACACTACACTATACTGTAAAAAAAAATGAAACTCTTTATAAATCAAAATCTTTTAACTTTTCTTTAAAAAAAAAAGGCAATTAACTTTAAGATAAAGTTTCCATACATCCATACATTCAGTCAACAATCCACTCATCCATCCATCTAATATGATATTACCCAAACTTTTGAATTTTGCAGTCAAAACGTGTTACATTATAATACAGTGTGAACCTTTAAAGTTTTGTATGGGCTGTTTTTACAGTGTAGCTACAAAGTTTTTCTGAAGGGCCTTCTGTAAGGTGAGCTTAATACAGACAGCAGGGAGGGGTGAATAAACTGGGGCCAGTGGGGTTCAAACCCACCTTTACACAAAACCAGCTGGACCAGTGTTTAAGTCCCTGCTCCTGATAAATCCTTTAAATCCCACCTCATTAACACCGAGAATGTGTGGCTCTTTGAAGCAGCCCAGTAAAGTCCACTGAGGGGGCATGCATACGTGTGAGTGTGTGTGTGTGCATGTGTGTGTGTGTTTGTGTGTGTGTGTGTGTATGCGCGCATATGTATGTGTGGCTTACAGCTGCAGTTCTCTCTCTCACACACACACACACTGACTCACATGTTAAGAGGTTTTATATGGATTTGTTCTCACATTCTCACACACTGCAGCCTTACCTTACACACATCTATCGCTGCTCTTCAGAACCTGCTGCAGATTTGCTCTCAAACTCTTGAGTGACAGTTTGTGCTCATTGTTCTCATGGTTTGAGTCATCAAAATATTCAGTGCATTTAATGTGATCTGAAGATTTCGTGTTTTGTACATCAGCGTGAAAAGTGTAAAATGTGCCCATTATGTTTACCTGTTTGTTGCATTTACTGCGCTGCGCTGAAGCTTAGACTAGATTTAATAAGTAATTCTAAAATGCAGGGCAAATCATGACTATTAGAGCTAGGCATTTGGTTCGGGTCATAAAAGTCAAAACTTAAAAGTTAGGAAAAAAAAACAGATACACAACAATGCTTTGATAATTGTTTCCTAGCACCTGTATGGGATTCTAGTAGTATGTTAATGCTAAGCTAACGCTGGTGCACAAGAACATTGTTTGGCTGTTCTAGATTATATAAAATAGGTATTTAAAGCTTGTAAAAGACGTTCCATATGTTTTATTTGAAGCATTACAGGAACTCTTTCAGTAAAAGAGCTCTGGAATAGAGCTGCTGCTTCTGTTTTCCATTTCTAACACCTGACTGAAACCTGGTTAGCAGCTGGAATTAACAGTGATGACTTTAGGACTTCCAGAAGGCCTAAAATGATGTTTGAACATTGGTTCTACCCGTTGTAAATCAAGGCATGATTGGTTGATTCTCTTGTAAATTCCTTAATATGTTGGTACTGAAGCAAACGAACATGATTAGCAGCTAAGCTAGCTCTCCAATTGGCCTTCAGGAGTTGGACTGAATGCCTAAAGAAGATGAGAACTAGCTCAGCTGTATCTACTTAGATATACATGTGTATTTGTAATAAGCCCAAAAGATCCCGATGGTTCCACTCTGCTAAAAAGTGTGTTTTTCTCTCCAGCTCTCTTCTCTCAGGTGGCTGTTCTGGCTGCTGTTTTGGCTTTGGTTGTCATAGCTATCATCTTCATCATCATCCTCATTGCCGTGTGGAGAAAGGTCAGTGGCATATCCTTTTTTACACATTACCACTCACATTATATTCTAAATGCCTGACACTGCCACTACAATTTTCATGAGCTTACTGACATAGAGTTGAACTACTCCCGAAACAGACTGATTATGGGTTTTGACTCCAACACTCAGTTTATTCTGATGTGTGTGTGTATGTCTGTGTGTCTCTGCAGAAGCCACGATATGAGATCAGGTGGAAGGTGATTGAGTCAGTGAGTCTGGATGGTCATGAGTACATTTATGTGGACCCCATCCACCTGCCCTACGACCTGGCCTGGGAGATGCCCCGGGACAGCCTAGTCCTTGGTACGAGCTGAGGATGGTCAAGTGGGACCTTAAGATTGCAAAGATGTAGAAAGTCACTCTTTTCACAATTCTACCCTTACAATGTAGTCCTTCAGCCAAATGTTTAGTTTTCTAAATGTGCTCCTTTAGTTTTGCACTGGAGCTGTGAGGCTAATGTAGCTAGCAGGTAATGGAAGTTTATATCCCATCCATTAACACTGTGCAAACTGCATCCTTAAATTGACACACATTTGTCTCAAGTCACTCATAAAAATGGACAACAGTACATTACACAGCCAAAAACAGTAGTACCAGCTTTGTCGTTTGTTCATTTTAATAGATTTAACAGGTCTATCTGTGATTACTCAACAAATCAACACAGTTTAAGGCAAGTGTTTGATGCAGGTAGCACGATGCTAACAGGTCAGTTATTAAGCATTCATTAATTATGTTATGTGAGCCTTATATCTCCAGTGCTAAAATGCAAAACTAAGAATCAAACTCTCTGAAAAAAATACTCTGAAGACAGCTTGAATGTAACTTGCACATAACTCTTGTGTTTCAGGTCGTACTCTGGGATCAGGAGCGTTTGGTAGAGTAGTGGAGGCCACTGCATATGGACTCAGCCATTCACAGTCCTCCACTAAAGTTGCTGTGAAAATGCTCAAATGTAGGTTATCATACTCACAAAAAGATCTGCACTCTGTGTTAGGTTCTTGCTGTGTTTAATAACATTTATTTCTCAGCACCAATTGATGAACATTTAGTTGCTGTCATTAGAAAACTTGTTTAAAGTTTTTTTGTTTGGGTTTGTAAACGGCAGCTGTCCTAAATTTGTACATTTGGCCAGACCGTCTGTAAATGCCAGCTGCCCTAAATTGTACCTATATTTTGTAGCTAATGAAGCAAAAGAAATTTCAAAAGCTAAGAGTATTAAGAGTTAAGGGTTAAGAGTATTTTTCCTTTTCATTTAAAGTTAATGACCGGGTTTTCTCACAATAGTGATTGTAAACGTGCTTTTAATGCTAATAAATCTATGCTATGTTTTGTGTTGTCACATGTTAATTGGCTCTGATGTCTTGCAGCCACAGCACGCAGGAGTGAAACTCAGGCACTGATGTCAGAGCTGAAGATCATGAGCCACCTCGGCCCTCACCTCAACATTGTCAACCTCCTGGGAGCTTGCACCAAACAAGGTACTGTTCTCCAAACACTAACCAACACTAAACCGGGTCAGACTCTCATGAATATCAGTATTACTGCTTTATAAGGGGATAAAATATCTTTATCTCCTTACCCTTCAAGGCCCACTGTACCTGGTGACGGAGTACTGTCGCTATGGAGACCTGGTGGACTACCTGCACAGGAACAAGCAGAGCTTTCTGCAGCATTATGCTAACAAGAACCACCTTGTTAATGGCAACGACAGTCAAATTTGCCTGGACTCTGAGGTGCCTTCTGGAAAAGGGTATGCAAGTGGGAGCAACCCTGCTGAGCTGCTTTAATATATCCACACAGAAACACAATCCTGTATATTTATGTAAAAGAACAGAAGTACGAATATGACAAGTTATTCCACAGGTTTGAGCAGTGGCATAGTAGAATTCCACCAACTTGTGAAAATTGTTGGATAAGTCAATCATTAAGATAAAAAAAGGTTTGATGTGAAATGATCTGTTCTAGAGAAATTTACAGAGTCAGAATTGTTCACAGTGGTCGTGATAGGAACCATATGTGTGAAAGATATTATATGAAAATATGCTACCTGATTCCTGAGCCATTGTTTTATGATACTTTTATGATAAATTGATTACTTTTATGAAAATGTTATTCTTGAGGGAGAGGTACATGCAGGGTGTTGTAAAACAAATAGAATTTTTTTTTTTTATTTTACCATCAACATTATTAAACTCTGAAAACATTTATATTCACTAGTCATTTTAGATATTAATATACAGTGGCTATATTTGCATTGTAAACATCACATCCTCTGGTTCCCATCACCACCAGTGTAAATAAATCTATACTTTTCTCTAAATGAACCTCACATCACAGTCTCTCATCAAACCACTCTTTTTTTTACTTTGTTTACATCTCAATGACTGGATTATACGTCAGACATTACTACTCCTGCTTTTCCATTCTTTCCGTATCTTATATTAATGGTCAAATCTCATTTTCTGCTGTTATTGTTTGCTATCCGGAGTCGACCAGAGGAGGATGGGGTTCCCCTTCTGAGTCTTCGTTCCTCTCAAGGTTTCTTCCTCTTGCTCTTAGGGAGTTTTTCCCTGTCACCACTAGCTTGCTCACTGGGGGCTCAGACTTGGATTTTTTTTTCTGTAAAGCTTGACTTGACTTGATTACACAGAAATCAAATAGAAAAATCAGTAGAAATCCAATTAGAAGGTTTTTCATATATTTCTTAGGCTAATGTTCCAAAGTTTCATGTTGGGTTTTACAGTGCACATATTTTTCTAAAGCGTATTTAGGACTGATGTATTTAAATGATCACTGTTCGGTCCAGGCTGAAAGACTCCTTATAACCTCAGTGTAAATGAGTGGAGCTAAGCTGCTTTAGGCTAAATAGGCAGTTGTATTCAAATGTGTTGGTTTTCATGCCATCACAAAAACAGTGAATTCAAACCAGTTTATGATGTTTATGATCCACATATGGACTGTATAGACTGGGGATATTTTCAAACGTTCATGTCTTTCTCTAAGTTTAGACATTTGATCAGTCCTATCACTGACTAAAGTGAACAGATTGTTCTCTTTCTCTCCCTCAGCTATGTGTCATTTGGCAGTGTGAGTGATGGTGGTTATATGGACATGAGTAAAGAGGAGATGACTGAATATGTGCCGATGCAAGAGCTCATAGACACCATCAAATATGCAGACATCCAGCCCTCTCCGTATGAGTCCCCATACCAGCAGGACATCTACCAGGAGCAAGGTACACAGGAACCAGAAGTCCAAACAGCTTTTTCCGGTAGAAAACAGTTTTAAAGCAATACTTCAGCGTTTTTCAATCTAATCGCTATTTGTGACATCTGGAGCACACAATCAGGTCTGAAAGACAATAATTTAGATGCTTTTCCCCAGCATTCAGTAAAAGAACATAAAACTAGACTCTAAACACACTGCCCATTGGCTTCTTATTAAACAGGTTTTCAGTTCTTTTCTAATTACAGTGATAGTGCAGTGAATTGTCTGTGCTGGTCAACTGTTCAATAAATTTACAGCAGATTAATAGTAATTTAGTGCCATACATGTAGTATCCATCAGGAGTTAAGAATAGGTGCACTGTTTAAACCAGCCTAGAACTCAGCTCAAGATGGCAGAGACCTTGGAACTAGAATTAAATTAAGAAAAGGCCAAACTGTGCAATGTTTTTTTTTACAGTTCCAGCCCTGCCTTCTGCTTTGTGAGCCACTGCAGTACATTGTGTGTTTTGTAGGTGCTTGTCATTACATGTATGTGGTGAATGGAGGACGTGTGCGGTCTTTGTCTTCCTAACACTCATAAAAAGTAATGAAAATAAAGTGAAAGTATAGGGAGGCTCTGTATACGTCATAGAGGACATGCATAGGATTGAATTACACACGTTCAGAACTGAGAGACAGCAAAAATATCTATAATCTTGGTATTTCACAGCCACTGTTTATATCCATATACGCACGGTAGCCATACATTTAGAGGTATATTGCACATCCAAACAAACGCATAGAATAAAAAAACAAAGTAGTGGTTTAGTGTGTATTTTTTGGCAGCAAGACATTGGTAAATGCCTGCACGTGCCATCCAGGTGCTGGGCAGATGTGACTGCAAGAGGTCAGAGGCAAAATACATGGTGTTATTGAAATACTTTAGTTTGTTGTTGATACTGGCGCAGTGGGTAGCACTGTTGCCTCACAGCAAGAAGGGCCTGGGTTCGATTCCCGGCCGGGTGACCAGGGTCCTTTCTGTGTGGAGTTTGCATGTTCTCCCCGTGTCTGCGTGGGTTTCCTCCAGGTACTCCGGTTTCCTCCCACAGTCCAAAAACATGCAGTCAGGCCAATTGGACGTGCTGAATTGTATCCTGCCTTCCGCCCAATGACAGCTGGGATAGGCTCCAGCACCCCACGGCGACCCAGAAGGATAAGCGGTTTAGATGAGGGATGGATGTTTTTATGGACTATACAGTTTATATGTTTATATGGACTATACGGTTCTGTGCAAAATTCAAACACCGCCTTTGATTTATTTTATTTACAGACCAAAAGGGCAGAAATGCACAGAACATGAAACAACAACAATTAAATATAAAATATTTTTTCCAGTATTTTATGTGTGCATTCTTTGCCTTTATTACAACTTCCATTCTTTTTGAAAAACTTTATGCATTATGCAAAAATCCCAAACACATTCAGTGATGCTGAGGTCTGGACTGAGGTCTGAGAACACCAGCAACTTCTTCTTTTTTTCGATTTGCAATTTTTCTTTCCTTTTCTCAGTAATGGCTTTTACACAGCTACACATCCTTTGCCTGATGTCAGAACAAAACCTTGTATCTCATTTTTCATTTTTTGACATAATCTGAAAATGTCTGTTGTCCTTTACATAGTGTGTAAATTTTATGATGATTGGACCAAAAGAAACAGCCCACAATTATTTGGAAAAACGTCTGGTTCCATTGACTTACATTAAATGTATGTTAAGATAGCAAACTATCTTATATCTAATCCCCTCAAAAATCTCCCCTGAAAAATGAAGAACTTAACCAAGAAGAACAGCCATTTTAACTAAAAATAAAAAAAAGGAAGGATGGTCTCTGACTTTTGCACTGTACTATATATGTTCTGCACCAATTCAAAGGCTAATGTGTACATGTCTGTGTATGTGTGTGTTTTAGGTCACAGAGTGGATCTTTCTCTGGTTATCAGTGACTCTCCTGTCCTGAGCTACACTGACCTCGTGGGCTTCAGCTTCCAGGTGGCCAAAGGCATGGAGTTCCTGGCCTCGAAAAATGTACTGGAACAGATCTTTATACAAACCACCCACCATTTACTGCCACATGTTTTGTAGTTTTAGAATTGAATGTATGTGAAAGATTAGCCATTATCTCTTAATCATTGCATAGTATTTGAGCTAAGATTGCACAAGGAAAAGTATTCTGTTTATTATTCTGTATTTTGCTTTTGTTATGATATAGTCTGAAATTGTTCTGAACTGTGCTGCTCATAACTGCTTGATGGTCAGTAGCTCTAGCTCTCTCCTCTCTGGGCTTTCCAGTGCGTTCATCGGGACCTGGCAGCGAGAAATGTGTTGATCTGTGAGGGGAAGCTTGTGAAAATCTGTGACTTTGGACTGGCCAGAGACATCATGCATGACAACAACTACATCTCCAAAGGCAGCGTGAGTACAGACTTCAAAATAAGGTTCTTATGGAGTTCTGGATAGGGCTGAGAGTTTGGAAAAACCCATGCTGCTTTTTAAATGGTCTTTTTTGCGGATAGATTTGAAGAATAGTTGAGTTCATGCCAGCTTAAACACTAAAAATGTAAAAAGAATTCTGGCCATGGTCTGAGTCGTGGCTATGGTCTATGAACACAAGGCTTCAGGTTGAAAGCCCTTCATGATTGTTTGAAAAAATAAGATTAATACCAGATGTCGTGACAGATCTCCAGAAGTCGGGTTTGTCTTCTGAGGATTTGTTGAAACTTTAAATGTATAGGCTCATCTATAGTCTGTCGTATGGCTACATGACTGTCCTGTATTTATTTCTATGTTTATTTGCTTCCAGAGTATTAATGCATTTTGCTATTCACCAGTTAATATTCACATTCACAAATAGCTTTAAAAGGCATTGAGTTAATATTGTGTTTCTGACTCTTGCAGACGTTCCTGCCCCTGAAATGGATGGCTCCAGAGAGCATCTTCCATAACCTCTACACCACACTAAGTGATGTCTGGTCTTTTGGCATTTTACTGTGGGAGATATTTACTCTAGGTGAGATATTAAACCCTTTTACAGCAGCCATGAACTGCTCTTTCTGCCGGTTTTAGAGGTTTTGTGTTATGCATTTGTTTTCTTTAATAATATTGATATTTGCAAAACCTGAAGTGAGCTGGATGTTTGTCTTTGTAGGTGGGCAAGCACATTTATACTATTTAAAAGGTGTTTTTTAATTTATAAGCACATTTATAAGTGTTTTTCTATTGTGTTGAATTTTTTTATTGTGGTAGTTGTATGCAAGTTTTGGTATGAAGAAAGCTGCAGATGTGCTGTTTGTTTATTCTCAGCATGGCTGTCTTTGTGGAGAGTTGTGAACTATTATCACAGCACGGGGGGTCTCACCTCTTCCTTTTCACCTCTCATTGCTCACTAGCAGCTCAACACAGCATTTTACACACACAGAACCAACAGCGACCTAGTTAATCTGATAACTGAGTAAACAGAGTAACTAATATTATTTTGTGATTATATTAGTTTAAAATATCAGAGTCAATTTCCATTGCACCAATGGCCACCAGGAGGGGCTGCAGAAAGGGGGTAAACCCCTTATGCTCCATTACTATGCATAATGTCAGATTGTGCTGAAAAAGTTATATATGTCGAAGGAAATTTCAAAAATATATTTACTAAAAAGGAGTTTAAAAAACAGCCATCACAAAGGTTTTATAGAGTTAATGAGATGTTTCAAATATGAATCACTGTAACAAATATACTATGGAATTTATTGTGCAATCCATTCATTCATCTACAGTCTGGTGCAAAGGTTTGATCAAAGGCTGGTCACATTACATGCTTTGTTGAAGTGAAGATAACTTTATAGGTTTAGTCTTCTACAGTAAACAAACTTAAACATGACATTTTTTGCAAATTTTCAAGCACAATTTGAATGTGCTTGCTTTAACATATTTTTTCAACATATTGTTGAAAAAAGTAAAACATAACATATTATATGTGCCATAACTTTTGCACTGGCCACAGTTCATGCTTTATTTTTTCCCACAATGTGGTGAATTCGGAAAATAAACAGTGTTTGTGCAACAAAGTGTGAACAAATGCAGTCTCCATAAAGGATATGAACTTAATGCCACCTAGAAAATCAACTAAAGATGTCATTTGACCCGCAGTGCCAAAACTTTTGCGTAGGACTGATAAAATGTTCACTATCATGTCGCATTTAATGATTAAAGACTTTTTACTAAAGGTCAGCTCTCTTACAGGAGGAACTCCATATCCAGATCTGCCTATGAATGAGCTGTTCTATAATGCTCTAAAGAGAGGGTACCGCATGGCCAAACCCATGCACGCCTCAGAGGAAATGTATGTTCAGTCTTTTCACAATGCTGTTTTTATTTTTAAAATATCATAAACTGCATCTGTGGTAGTTGAATGTAAATGTGATGAAATATGCAAAATATGAACAGCTGTAACTGTGTGCAGGCTTTACACAAAGAGACATGAACAGTAATAAATTAGAACAGTCTTGTGCATTTAAAAGATATCTGTGTGTATTTCATTTGTTTCTGTATATTTGACTTTTTCCCTGCAGTTATGAAGTGATGAGGAAGTGCTGGGAGGAGAAGTTTGAGAAGAGGCCTGAGTTCTCTTTTCTGGTCCAGGCCATGGGGAACATGCTCACAGAGACCTATAAAAAGGTTTCCGCAGCTCTTTTTTCTGTTTCCTTGGGTTCCATATTAAAAGCATGAAACTTCCATGTTCACATCACGTATCTCAGCGGATGTGCGCTGAAGTTCCTCTAAGTCAAGAGGCTTCATATCCGGTTCGAGAGGGCCTTAGTTCAGCACACTTTAATGATTTCCCTGCTCACAGGCACCTCATTCGACTTATCAGTTCAGGTTTGGTTTGTGTGTCAGACACAGGCATGGAGTCTCAAGTTAGCGACTCAGCTTTGAGTCGTACTCAAGTCACATGTAGTCTGACTTGCAGCCTGACTCAAATTTGCCCTTAACTTGCTCGCAACTCAACTCTGACTAGACACTCGTGAAATTTCATGAAATAAAAGAAAAATCAGAGGAACTTTCCTTCTCCAGTCTTTCCAGTTGGTTTGCTGTGGTCATGCTGAGGAAAAAGAAAACAGCAATACTTGACTGGAGAACACCAACCTTTATTTGAAACCAACATGTTTCAGCATACAAGCATTCATCAGGGCTAAAAAAAATAAATCAGCATGTTTAGTTGCTAAAAATTAACTAATAAGATAAACACAACACTCATAAATTTGCATCACCTTCCAATAAAATGGAAGAAATTAGAAGGCCGCAGCCAATATGAGGCTTACACCCCTGCTAGAAAAACCAGCAGAGCAGCACCAGCAAAACCAGCATGTGATGTGTTTTAGATGCTGCTATGTTGGTCAACCAGCATGACTATGCTGGTTGACCAGCTAAACTATCACCACACTAGAACTAGACCAGCATAAGCAGCATAAATTGATTTTATGTTCAAGTAGGAGCACTCAAAGCAAAGAAACATTCAAAAGCACCAATACTTGAAAAAGCCAAGGAAACAACTGGTGAGGATAATCAAGCCATAAACCTTCAACAAACAAAACATGCACATTAACCTTAAAGGAACACTTTGATTCATCCCTCCTAAGAATACATCTTTAAGGTAAAACATCTAAATCCCTTTGTAATATGGTCAAAGTTGCCTCCGAATTTGGGATTTTTGTGATATTGTCTCATTTTCATTTGGTTCAGTTGGTTTCACAGTATAGTAACATGACCTGTGACTGAGTGCATTAGTTTATGTATCGCAGTAAAAACATAATTACTGGATCAGTGAGCTGCAGCTTCTCTCCCTGAACATCTCTCACAAAGGTTTTACTGTTTGAGAAATACCCCACCCCCCAAGTGAAATGGAGATTTTGATTGGGCCAGCTAATGAGTTTGTTCAGTTTTGTGTCTGTAGGTCAGTGCTTCATAAGCATAAGTGTCCTGAACTCTGTCATAAAGTTCTGGTTGGAGAAGTGGAATATTCTGTCTGTGCTGGACTCTGGCCATCCAGGACCAGAACTGTTGACCAATCCTCTGGAGTTTAGTGTTTTTCTTGCTCTGACATAGTTGGATAATTAACTAATAAATGGAAACAGCGATGGAATGTAGATGACTGGATTCAAAGGAACACTTTCTAAATAAACCTGAGATGTAATAGCCTTTTGAAAAACAACAGTCAAAACCATCCTGGCTCATTTCCCTCAGTCAAAATATTGGTTCTGCTAGGAGCAAACCAATTTGTTGTTTATTCCATTCCTGAGCCGGGCTCACATAACCTCTATGAAAGGTTTTTACCTGAGGTCTGTGTTATGCACATACTGCTAATCAAGATCATTGCAACATTCTAAGTCAAGTATGTTCAAATAGTGATAGAAACATTGATTTTCTGTCTCTATGTCGTTGCAGAAATACCACCAGGTCAATGACAACTTCCTGAAGAGTGACCACCCTGCAGTGGTGCGCACCAAGCACAGGGTGCCCTCTCCATTCCCAGTCACCCTCTCTCCTTCATCCCCTTCCTCCACATTCCCTCCATCCTCCACTCCCAACCCTTGCCTGGACAGGGAGACAGCAATGGCCCCTTACAATGGCTACATCATCCCCATCCCGGACCCCAAGCCAGAGGAAGAGTGTCAGGAGGCTACCCTGCCAACAGAAATCCCCTCGAGGTAGAACGTCTTTCTGTTCATGCATATATATAGTAGAAACCACAGAAGACACAGGAAAGATGATGCATCAGTTCCCCATGAGGGGATCTAAGTCAGACAGACCCGCTTCTGGTTTTCAGATGGGAACACAGGGCCAGACGGAGGATAAAGCACACAGACAAAGAATGAGCTCATGCAGGATGCAGGGACTCTGTCGTCTATTACAGTGTTTCTTAATCCTGCTCCTGGAGACACGCTGGTCCTTGCAGTTTCAAATATTCCTTCCCCAGCACACCTGATCTAGTGTTTAACCCTTGATATGCTGCATCAGGTCAGATGGGGCAGAAAATAGTGAAACTAGAGCAGTAGTTCCCCAGGAGCCGGATTTAGAAACACTGGTCAAGTAGATAGTATCGTTTTGAGCTTTTAGTTTCAGAGCAGGAACCAAAATATAGTAGAGACTAAGGATGTCACAAGTTAACATAACATTGCATCGAACTGGATAACAGCGTATCACACTGTATGTAACTAGCATGTTCGCTTGAGATTAGAGTATTAGACTGGCTCACTATAAAGCTCAGCTTTTGTTTCAAATATTGTACTTTTGTATTGTTGAATGCACTAATAGGATGAAAATGGAAACATATTTATAACACATTAATGTAAAACATACAACCCCATTTCTAAAAAATTTGGAACACTGTGCAAAATGTAAGTGAAAACAAAAAACGATGATGGGCAAATAATTTAAACCCCATATTTATTTGAAAGTAGTACAAAGACAACATATCAAACGTTGAAACTGAGAAATTTTATTGTTTTTTGAAAAATATATGCCCATTTTGAATTTGATGGCAGCATCATGTTCCAAAAAAGTTGGCACAGGGGCTACAAAAGGCTGGTAAAGTTGTGCAATGCTAAAAAACACCTGAAGGTTATTTGGCAACAGGTCAGTAACATGATTGCATATAAAAAGAGCATCCCAGTGAGGCTGAGTCTTTCAGAAGTAAAGATGAGAAGGGGTTCACCACTCTGTGAAAGACTGCACAATCAAATAGTGCAACAATTCAAGAATAACGTTTCTCAACGTAAAATAGCAAAGAACTTGAGGATTTCATCATCTACGGTACATAATATCTTAAAAATCTCTGTATGCAAGGGGCAAAGCTGAAAACCAGTATTGGCTAGCCAAGACCTTTGGGCCCTCAGGCAGCACTGCAGTAAAAACAGACATGATTGTCTTGTGGAAATCACTGCATGGGCTCAGGAACACTTCTGAAAATCACTGTCTGTGAAAACAGTTCGGCACTGCATCCTTAAATGCAAATTAAAAACTCTACCATGCAAGTAAGAATCATATATAAATAGGATCCAGTATCATGGATATGAATGATATATACAGGTTTTGGCAACATATGTTGCCATTTAGATGATGTGTTTTCCTGGAAAGGCCTTGTTTATTTCAGCAAGACAATGTAAAACCACATTCTGCACGTTGCAACAGCATGGCTCTATTGTAAAAAAAGTTAAGATGCTAAACTGACCTGCCTGCAGATCAGACCTGTCACCCACTGAAAACATATGGCACTTTATGAAACAAGAAATACGACAAGAGACCCCAAACTGTTGAGCAGCCGAAATCCTATATCAAGTAAGAATGGGAAAATATTTCACATTCAGAACTACAGCAGTGTCTCCTCAGTTCCCAAACGCTTACAGAGTGTAGCTAAAAGAAGAGGCGATGAAGCACAATGGTAAACATGCCCCCGTCCCAACTTTTTTGGAATGTGTTGCTTCCATCACATTCAACATGGGCATATGTTTTTCAACAAACAATAGAATTTCTCAGTTGTAGCTTTTCATATGTTGTCTTTGTTATATTTTTGAATAAATATAGGGTTTAAACGATTTGCACATAATTTGCATTTTGTTTTCATTTACATTTTGCTCAGTATCCCAACTTTTTTGGAAATGGGGTTGTATTTTCAGCCACTCCTTAATGTTGCAGTGTCAAAAAATACAGCAGACCCAGCACACGGCATCGTGTACTGAGTCCGAACCCAACCTGAGCCTGACAAAATTCTGTCTGAAACTGACCTGACCTGAATTATATAACATTTTGAACCAGCTTATTATCTCCTTAATTGCCAAATTAACAGGATAGTGCCAGTTACCATGTAGTGGCAATAATAGCTGTCATTAGATCATGCCAAAAAAAGTGAATCCCACTCTAATTTATTTATTTATTGAATAATGCTTTTGAACAGCAACTCAGTTTTATTAGTCTGGATAAACTTTCCATACTGCACTGTTCTCACGCTGTGTGGTGCTGATTTAGTGAGATGTTAGTCTTCTTGTTTAATCTTTAACCTATTTTGCTTACAGAATATATTGAACAAATATGTGCAAAAGAGTTTTAGGAAGGTTTGTTCACATTAATGAGAAAACTGGGGCATAAGCAGCAAATAATTTCAGTAGAGGTCAGTTTAGTGCAGCCAAAAGAATATTTCATTTGTTTAGCCAAACTACAGTGACTTCTCCTGAATTGATTTGCTGCATGTGCCCCAGTTTTCTCATGAAAGTGAACCTTGTGGACCACAGAGGGTAACTCTAGTGTGCCGGGTTCAAAACTGTTTTAGGGTAATGAAAGTATAAAGCAAAATAATAAATAATGAAGGGAAGACAAAAACTAAAGTGGGGAAATGCAGGTAAAATCTGTTAAAAGAGAAAAACTAAAGGAGGAGAAATGCAGGATAAAATCTGTTAAAAGAAAAAAACTAAAGGAGGAGAAATGCAGGATAAAATCTGTTAAAAGAGAAAAACTAAAGGAGGAGAAATGCAGGTAAAATCTGTTAAAAGAGAAAAACTAAAGGAAGAGAAATGCAGGCAAAATCTGTTAAAACAGATTAACAACTCCTTAGCAGAGACTTTTTTCAATAAACATGCTTTTCCCCAACAATGTTTTCTATTGCTGGCCGGTTTTGCTAGTTCCTTCTAAAGGCTACTTTGGTTTGATGCAGAAAATACATTTAAAATCTTTCAATTGTATCTGCAAAAAGACCAATTCTTCCAATACATAAACTGCATTCAGCCATTTTAGAAACAGCACCCTCCTGTGGTAGGAGGTTGGGTGATCTGGACAAGATTAGCTGGAATTTTAGCTGGTGTGATTTCTCTTTGTAGCTCTGTGGGTTCTGAAGCGGAGACAGTGTCTTTGGAAACCCCCAGCATGGACGCAGAGCAGGAGGAGCTGCTGAAGGAGTGCTCCAAAACTCCAGAAGTAGAAGAGAGTTTCCTGTGACACTACGTAGCATCCTGTCATCAGGAAGATTAACATTCAAAACAAAAAGCAAACAGCAGCTGTGTAAGATGTTTCACAGTTTTCTTAGAAATGTTGGCTGCAACTGAGAACAGTCACATTTATACCAGAAGATCATTCAGAAAAGTTTCATATTAGATCCTAGCTTACAAACGAGGCATCGTAAATGAAATCAGATCATTTTGTTTCAGTTTTGAGGAATAGAGCAACAAGACTATAACACAGTATTTTATAAGAAATCTTGAAAATCAACCTTCATACAACAACCTGTTATTTCTATTAGTACACAATTAGACCTCACAAATGCAAATCTATAGGAAAATGATGTCCAGTTAAAGATAGGGCTAGAGGGGCTTACCCCCCCTTCTTTGTGAAATCAGGTTACGGTACTAATTTTTCAGCGTAATGGTACATCGCAATGCATTTAACTGCCTAAAGCAAAGCTACAAACAATGCATAATCAGTATAGAAAAGAGATGCTGTGAATGTCATTGGATTTTGTAGCATGGAAGATTTTGCTTGTCATTTTGTAGGATTGACGACTTCTGTCTTATTTTGTACGATTTTCAATATAGTCAAGCTGCATAACTGACATTTTAAATGAAGGACATATTTGTGTTTATGACCTACATTTGTTAAAGTATTTTCTATTTTAGCTTATTCTTTCCTGTTGAGCAGAGCATTATGCAAAAGAAGTTTGTATTTTATTTTGAGACAATATCATTTTACTATATTTTGCATTATAGTGAAGGGAATTTGTAAAAAACCTTGTAGCAGATTTGCACTTTACAGCCTCATGGAAATTTTTCACCTAGATTTTATCTGATTTTTTAACTCTTTTTTCATTTCAGAGAATGAAATAGTATGTCGACAGATGAAATAGTGATTAAAGATTGTATTTTTGGTTGCAAAGTTTTATTTCCATCACAGTGTTGGCGTAAGAATTCCTTATTCCCTAAAGCATTGTATTGAATACAGACTGAAACACTAGTGAAACTACAGGCACAGGTTAAGGTACTAGAAACAGGGCGACTATGTGTGAGATTTTCTTCTTCTTTGTTTTGTTTTACAAATTTGTTTAGCTTCTACAGAGAATCTGTCTCTTTACTGCTTTCAGGTCAGTATGAGTTACAGAGTGTTGTGACTGCTTGAGGTGGAGTTTTCTTTTAACACTGATACAAGTTCCTCCTCTTATCCACCCTTAAAGGGGAACTCCACCGATTTTTTCCAAATTACAACTTAATTCAATGTGATGTAAACATACATACATATATACATCATCTAAACCGCTTATCCCTCTGGGTCGCGGTGGGGTGCTGGAGCCTATCCCAGCTGTCATTGGGCGGAAGGCAGGATACACCCTGGACAGGTCGCCAGTCCATCGCAGGGCGTGATGTAAACAAAGTCATTCAAAATGGTTTAATATGAAATGTTTTTTTTGGTTTTTTTGTTTTTTTTACAGTGGTGGTGACAGGAGCCAGGGGTCATGATGTCTAAAGTGCAAATATAGCCACCAGCGCACCTACACATGTCTTCTTAGTTTGATAATGCTAAAATAGCATTAAATCTGATAAGGAAGTATTCTTTCTGGATTATCACACCCTGCATGTACCCATCCACCATCAGCAGATCACAAAACTATCATAAAATAATGTCTCATAATGTCTAATAACATCTCTTTCTGTGAGGTAGATTTTATGGGCATTAAACTCTTCATCTGGTTCCTATCACCACCACTGTGAACAATTCTGACTCAGTTTCTCTACAATGGAGTGTTTCACATCAAACTACTCTGAATGACTCTGTTTACATCCTAACAATTGAAGTGGAATTCCTCTTTAATCATTATCATGCGTACGGTTACATGAAACTGACCTCAGGACAGTGTCTACAGTCAATTTACCCGAGCGCCTTATAACCCAGTCCAGGAACGTATTACTGTCATCCGGTGAAAAAGCCGTCCATTTTGTGAACTCACAGAATGATCTATAGCTCTTCACCTTTCTTTTGTTTTTATTTTCTCTTTCTTTTCTTTTTATTGTAGCCCTTTTTTGTATATGAGCCAAACAGTATTTAGTGTCACTCCATAAATCACACCTTACATGAAAATATCACACGCTATGGTACCAAAGCTTTTACAATATGTATGTTTACAAGTGTATTTTTGTATAAATATTTTGTATGTTGTACTTTATCGTACTGAATATGTTCTATGTTAAAAGAAACCTATAATAAAGTTTAGAAAAATATCTATTACTCCTTACGTTTGAAAAGTCTTTTGTTCTTCATAGATTTGGACTTCCAGATGTCATTTGCAAAGGTTTAGGCACCCCTGATCATATTACATTGAACAACTAAATGTATTTACTGAATTTAACATACACTGTTAGAAATAAAGGTGCTGTGCAGGTACATTTTTCATTCATCAAGGTACGAACAATGTAAGTGTTCCCTCAAAGGTACAACAGTGGTTTTAGGGTCCAATTGTGCACCTTAAATAGGTTTATCCCAGGTAAAAAGTACATATTTGTACCTGTAGTAATCTAATGTTTTAAAACAGAACAGTAAAATAAAAGCCTGGAGACGAGACGGGGTGTGTGGAGTTAATACACCTTAGAAAATATCATTTCAATGGATTATGGTACAATTATGTTCCCTGACTAAAAGTACTGAGATGTACCCCCTGACAATTTTTCCAATATGTTAAACTTGAAAAAGTTTACGAAAAATAGAACCTTTGTTCAGAACAGTGTCATATTTAAGGGTGTCCCCTCTATGTTCTCTAACATTATGTTAACACTAAACTTCTAATGTGAGTGTTTATCACACTTATTTCATACTATCACTGCACTGCCCACCCCCTGCAGACACACAGTGTTGTTCTTCGAACACTATTCATCTCACTTTTACATCAAAACTATGCAAATAACCCAAAAGAGAAGTCTCAAAAAATCAATTAGCTACAAAACCATAGACAAAAATCAAACACAGCTGTATCTTTTCGCTTTTATTTGAAATGATAAAAGGCACAATTGACAGCCTGCTTTGCACAAACAACCACCAAGGCTCGCTCTTTATGCACCATATCAGTCATGGGGTTCTTAAAACAGTGGCGACGGTTGTGGAAGGGATCACTGAGAAGCTGCCGATCGGCTTGAAGCCCCCACTCCATTCCCTACACAGTGGGCCACAGCCACAGTTCATACACACACTATCAAGACCATTAGTCTCACTCAAATGGTGTAGTGGAAAGTTAATAACCAAGAGAAACATGGGACATGTTTGTTTCAGCTTCTGCTTGACTCATTTTGAGGATTATTGAAAGACACAGCAGAAGGCTTTAGCTGTGTGTGGATAAAGTTTGGATGGAATCCCCCTTTTTATTATTTTATTTATTTTTTTATTGACTAAGTTATCCTGCATCAGAACAACACTACAGGTACTGCAGCATCTACCTGATTTGTTATTTTGTGTGAATTTTTTAGTTTTACTTGTTTTTGTTTCACTCAGTTCAGTATATTTTGATGTAAGGACACCCTAAAGTTTATATTCCAAATGTATCCACAGAAATGTTTGATTTTCATGTTATTTCTGTGCTCAGACTGACGGCAGTGGTCTGATTTCATAATCACGTCTTATCGTGTCATAGGAAAATGAGAAGTTGGTACTAGAAGTGCCGTCAGGGAACCATCACTTCTTATTTTCAGGGAAGACGCACGGCAGAGAAGATTGATAAAGCAACACGGACGCCTCTGACCGGCCAGCGGTCCGAGATGTTTCTCCTGATCTTTATTCTGGGACTTCTGTCCTGTCAGGCACAAGGTAACAGTTACTCACTCACTGATTCTGTATTAGTGAAACAACCTGGAATAATCTCTGTCAAAAAATCCTTCCCAATCGGATTAAACGTATAATGGGATGTGATTTTTATTATAATTGTTATTGTTGTCATTATTCATTTAGCAGACTTTCATTTATTCAGTAGCCTCTATGAAATATTCAGTAACCTTTGTGAAACTAATATGTTAGTTTCATTATTATGAAAGTGGGGAACTTCAGTATGTACCCACACAAGGGCCCTTTTATTTAAAGAATTAATAGGACTGTGTTTTCTCACTTTTACTCAATATTAATAGACTTTTCCACTTTTACTGCCCTGCAGTGGTAAAGTAGATCATCTGCTGCAGGTGCAGACTCATTTTCTGAGGATGATGTAGTCTATCTAATGGAATAACTGTATGGTACTAATATATCATCACTGTTGAAACCTTGTATCTCCAAAATGATCCCTTTACAGAAGAAGGAAAAAACATTTGGCAACACTTTACTGTGAAGTACTGTTCATAAGGCTACATGACATCTATATAAGCATGTCATGACAACCAAAATAACCCTACATAAACGTTTATAAATGCTTATTCCGATAGGTGTCATCTGTCATAAAGACTACTTTAGCTAACTTTGATCAAATGACACCTATTGGAATAAGCATTTATAAACATTTATGTAGGGTTGTGTCAGTTGTCATGATGTGCTCATGTAGGTGTTATATAGCCTTATGACCAGTACCCAACTCGTAATGGAAGTTAATGTAACTAGATTTATTTACAAGTAATTTTTTGACCATTTCTGTTTGTTCAGTCATCATAAAATTTGAACACAGTGTAAAGGGTGACTTGAGAAATTCCGCAAAAAAGGAAACAATGACAATAATTGGAGATACAAGGTTATTGCAAGATGCAACGATATGCTTTCAGGCTCTCTGAGAGATTGATTGCTGCATGGAGTGGGACTTCTGAAGTGTTATTATGGTGCACATGTGATCAATGAAGCTAATACTCTAAATTATAGACTGTGTATGTGTTTGAATATGAATTGGGATAAACACAGTGGAGAAGGTGTTCTGTATATTATTCCTCAACTGGATCTGATGTCAATGGAATCATTTTCCATTATTGCAACATTCCTAGTTAATGTTTATCACATAAAGTCCTGTTTTTGCACCACCGTCCAGCTCTGTAACAGGAAGCTCTCGGCATAATTTGCTGAGTCCAAATCAGTTTGGATGAGCTGAGGTTGATTTGTGGTCAGAGGCAAAGACAAAGTGCACGATTTGAGCAGTTCTATTCTCACTTCTGTTTTCAATTCGGTGGGCGCAGGAGCATTGTTGTGTACACTGAAATCACGTAGGCTGTTCTATCACAGTGCACATCTACAGTTTGCACACTGGTAGCTAAATGTTTCATGATTAAGACACCAAACTCCCCTGTCACACTGAAGGGACTGAATAGCACAGGAAAGATCATTTGAATAGTTGGGGTGTGATCTGTCACATGATTTCATGTTGCTTGGAAGTTATTAGTTAACTGAATGTGTTTTGTAAAACTGTAATTTCCCATTTTCAATTATTTTTCAGTTTCACTCATTTGAAAGAACATAAATTAAACTGTTGCACGCTTGAAAGATGTCTTGTTGGTGAACAGCCAAACAGTTTGAACAACCCAGCTCAAATTATGTTTTGCAGTAAATCAAATATTAATAATAATAACATAAGACATAAGACCACATTTATTAAGGCATGGATGTTTTCAGTTTAAATCTGTGACCATTGTAAAACACAAACAGTACAAATCTATCATTAAAAAATGACCTTGCAGATCTATAGACAGTTCACTCAGGCTTCATGGAGTTGAGGGAGTAGAGATTATGTTGTACCTGCCTGTGAAAAGGGCTTTTTGTTTTGTTTTTATTTATTTATTAATTAATTTATTTTGGTTGATAGGTTGGGCCTAAGCTCCTGTTTGGGCCCCCTCCTGGACCCCATCAGATTGTTTAGCTTTAATAAGGTTTCAAAAATGGCCAAACACAATGAAATATGAATTGACTTTCGAAAAGTGAAATTGAATTTCTGAACAACTAAATTGTCTGTAGCACACAGCAGTGTAACTGAGTAATATAGTTAGTAATTAAATATTCCAGAAAATAAAATCTATATGAAATTAATGTAGATAATCATAATATTGGTATATCTTTCACTCAGAGGCTCTAAATGCTCTGCATGTGGAAAGCTCTTGTTCAGATACTACAAGCCTAACATAACCCATGAGGACACTGCGGAAGTGTGCGGATGTTCATTTCAGCAGTTTAGCATCATTTTACTCTCCAACATTTTTAGGTGTGAAGCGTCTTATGTACCTGGCTTGTGACTCACTAACTTATGTTCTAACATATTATGAGAAAAAAAAGGAGAAGGATTCTCTCATCCAAAGTGTCTAATTACTTCAATTATTTCATTACAGTTATTAAAGTGTTTGTTTAATTGTTTTCATTCCTGCCATTTGAGAGCCGTCTTTCACTCCAGTGCTGAGTGAATTAAATTGAAATATACCTGCATGTAAAGCCTAAAGCTTACTCAAAATTCAGTGTCTTAGCAATAAAAAGGACATCAGAAGGCTGTATGATGAATAACCTAATGAATTACTCATGAAAATAATTATGATTTTCTAAAAAGACTATTCTATGTTTTTTCAGATCTTTAGTAAATTCAGACCCTGGACCCAGATCTTTAGTAAATTCAGACCCTGGACCCAGATGTTTAGTAAATTCAGACCCTGGACCCAGATCTTCAGTAAATTCAGGACCTGGACCCAGATCTTTAGTAAATTCAGACCCTGGACCCAGATCTTTAGTAAATTCAGACCCTGGACCCAGATCTTCAGTAAATTCAGTACCTGGACCCAGATCTTTAGTAAATTCAGGACCTGGACCCAGATCTTTAGTAAATACAGGACCTGGACCCAGATCTTTAGTAAATTCAATACTTGGACCCAGATCTTTAGTAAATTCAGGACCTGGACCCAGATCTTTAGTAAATTCAATACTTGGACCCAGATCTTTAGTAAATTCAGGACCTGGACCCAGATCTTTAGTAAATTCAATACTTGGACCCAGATCTTTAGTAAATTCAGTACCTGGACCCAGATCTTTAGTAAATTCAGGACCTGGACCCAGATCTTTAGTAAATTCAGGACCTGGACCTAGATCTTTGGTAATTTTAGACAACTGACCCAAATCTTTACTTATTTAAGATCTAGACCCAGATTTTTGGTGATTTCAAGCCTTTGTTGTAGATCTTTCGTTATTTCAGACCAGAGCTCCAGATATTTGGGGATTACTGGCCCTGAATGTTTATTTTTACTTATTTTAGACCTTGGACCCATATCTTCAGTTATGTCAGACACCTAGACCCAGATATTTGGGGATTTCAAACCCTGGACCCAGATCTTTCATCATTTCAGACCCTCGAGCCAGATCTTTGGTGATTAAAGACTCTAGGCCCAAATCTTTGGTAATTTATGACCCTGAGCCCAGATCTTTGGAACGCTGCGTTGGGGGCAATTTCTGTTGTGAAGTGTGGTATACAACCACACATTGAAATGGACCTGAATAAGTAGCATGTAAAGCAAATAGTGGAAGGAAGAGTCCTTTCTAAATTAAACAGATGCGATTGTGTGAGTTGTATCACTTACAGAAGACTGGGCCTAGTTTGGAGTCACAGAGTGCTGCATCTGATCAACAAGCTCACTGTGGACATGCTAAAATGCCTTCATAGACAGAGATAGACAAATATGGTTTAAAAACATGGAGGGAAAAGCATAGAGAAGTGAGACAGAGAAATAGGATATTATGTTTTTCTCTGATTCTGCAATGTGTTTCCTGGTGCTGTGCAGTCGTTCTGTCCTGCCCGGAACACTTCTGCAGTCAGGTTAACACTTCACTTTCATTTCTCATCAAAGACCACAGTCACTTCATAACCATGCCACGCAACAGGACACCGTTTACACCCATTTTGACCATATTATGTATGACAGTGTATTTTGACCTTGTCTTTATTTTCTTGGACCTGTGGAAAGTTTGATGAATGCACCGTAAAATATCTCGTAAAGCTAAAAAACAATTTTCGAATTCCCTTTTTTTCCTTTTGATTGACAGGGTGGTCGCAGCCTGTGATAAGGCTAAACCCAGAAGATGTGGTTGGATCTGATGTGGTGCTGAACTCAGGGTCTCCTCTTGTTCTGATTTGTGAGGGTGAAGGTCCAGTGATGTGGAGTCCTCGTCTATATAAACACAAACGTTACAGCAAGTCGAGTGGAAACAGTTGCACCTTCAGTGTAGAAAAAGCCACCGTCGAGTTCACAGGCACTTACAAGTGCATAGACAAGAACAAACGTGCCTCCAACTTCTCATCTGTACATGTATTTGTAAGAGGTGAGTGTGAATTTGGTGTATCTGCATCAACACTAGTGTCACTTTCTGAGGTAATTAGTGACTTAAGTTAGACAGTTAATCAGTTTCCATTGATTTATTTAATAGAACACAAGAGGTAGTGCATTATCATGAGTAACATCATGGCTGTGATTTGATCACTGCTGTAGACCATTGTTTAAAGAAAATGTGAAGCAAAGATGCCCAGTTGTTTCAAATACATGGTTTTAATATCTTGAAATTTTTCCACCATTTCTTTACAGCCAGATTGGTAGACGGACACATTTTTATTTATATCTGGAAATTCTTTCACCAAAAAAGTAGTTCCAGTAGCTTAGAGTAAATAGACCTTTGTTTTGCAGCTAGTCTTAGCAACTAGTTATTTGTGGACTAATACAGATATTAGAGATGCACTGATTATGAAATTTTATGGCCAGGTCTGATTCTAATTTGTTTACAGCCAAATTGGCTGATGCATGATTTTTTGGCCAATTTTTAATGGCCCTTTTTTTAATCTGAATCTCACACTGTGTGAGCTAAATGATCATAAAAAGATAAGTAGAACATTTGCATTTTTCATTAGTTGAAGTTGCAACATAAATAACACTATATTTATTGTAACAATTCTTAAATACATGTGATTTTAAACCACATTCAGGTTAAATACTGACATATTAAAAGAGTTAAGCTGAACCTGATATTGTGACGGTTTCATAGCTCTATCCATAACACTGATGAGAGGGTGAATCAGTGATAACACACTCCCTCTTGTGTTGTAGTGCTTAATTGAAGATCTGGAACTTTTCCATTTCACCTGCAGATCCAAACGTTCTCTTCGTGACCCCACCCAGCTTGCGGAGCGTGGTCAAGAAGGAAGGAGAGGATGCCATCCTGCCCTGTCTCCTCACTGACCCTGCAGCCACTGATGTGCAGTTGCGAATGGACAACGGAACTGCACCACCTGCTGGCATGAACATGACATTTGACCCCAAGAGAGGGATGCTGATCCAGAATGTCCACCCTGGATACAATGCCGACTACGTCTGTAGCGTAAAGATACAAGGCGTGGAGAAAGTGTCTATAGTCTTCAGTATCAACGTCATTCAGAGTATGTGTTTGTGGGCCAGTACTGTTTGATTGATTCACTGTATCTTTGAACAGCCTGAATGTATCTAAGTGGCTATCCACTTTTATTCACTCCAAACATGGGTCATTTCACCAAACCAACAAAATCAACACTGTCTTGTTGCCTTGCAGGGGCTCGATTTCCACCATATGTGTTCCTGCAGAGTAATGAGTACGTGAGAATCGTCGGTGAGAGACTAGAAATCAGCTGTTCTACACACAACCCAAACTTCAACTACAACGTCACCTGGAGGCACTCCTCTAGAGCGGTAACCACCTTTCACTTTCGCCCACATTGGTGATTTGTGAGACTCTTACCTAATGTTTCTCTGTTCCAGGCCTGAACTCACCCAGGAAACCAAATTTCAAAATATTGAGAGTTGAATCAATGCAATTAGAGGTGCAAGGACTTTATTACTTTGTCAAAGTTTTTTTGCATTGTTACTGACATAAAGCATCTTCTCTCCTGTTCTGTGCTTAACAGTTACCACCCCCAAAGGAGAAGGCTAACTCAAGAGGTGACGGGTTGGCCATTGTAAGTACTCTGACCATTCCTGCGGTTAGCCTGTCTGACTCAGGGAACATCACCTGTACAGGAATCAATGACGCTGGAGTTAACAGTTCTGCCACAAACCTGCTGGTTGTCGGTAAGAGGCACAGCCTAGAGAAATAAGCTCCTGACATTCTTTAAATATAGATTAATATGCCATATAAGTCTTCATGAACACATGCAGAGCTATAGTCATTCTAATGATTGCTGCAAAGTAGTCCAAGTCTGGAGGCACATGAGCCACCCCATGTAAAACATACCAGAGCTACAAATTCTTGTGGCTCTCTGCACGTCTACATGTACATATATCCATTCACTAGCTTTTATCAGTCCAACAAGAAATAAAATTTTGTTCACCAAGCTCAATGCTAGTTACTCAGTTGCCTGTTCTTCACACCATGACAACAGTTATAGTCCCTAGGCTGAAAAAAGTTTCATAGCATCTCATTTTGTTTGTTTTGGATGTTTTGTTTTGTTTTTTTGTCTCCAGAGAAGCCGTTCCTTAGACTGACTGCTAAACTGCCACCCAGGCTGTCTCATCAGGGTCTGTCTGTTGATGTTGCTGAGGGAAAGGATGTAGAGTTGGGGGTCGACATAGAGGCATACCCACCTCTGAAATTCCATGGATGGAAGTTTCCCAACGCATCACAACCAGAAATTCCTCCACTCTTCAGGAATAATCACAGGTCGGTCACCGAACACATTATACACAAGTTATTATAACAGTTTGTGCTTGAAGTAAAAAGAAAAAAAAAAGCTTTATTTGGCAAGTCTCATAAAATGTGCCTGATCTCAGTCACAGGATTCCTATAACTGAGCATACACAAACAGTTAGTAGTAAGATGCTTTCAAATTGAAATGAGTAAAAATAGGTCAACAGGTAATGAAAGACTGAAACATTTTTAATATTTAAAATGATTAGTTATGATACAAAATTGTTTATGTTGTGTTTCTGCATATAGGTATGAGGCAAGGCTGATTCTTAAGAGGCTGAACTCCAGGGAGCAGGGAGAATACACCTTCCATGCCAACAGCAGCAAGGCTAACGCTTCCATAACGTTTCGCATTCAGATGTACCGTAAGCATTGCAGTATATGGGCGATGGGTCTCTTTAGTTTTTTTCAGTTTCATAAAACTATACCTTCTTAAAAATGTGTAGGCAAAATTATGTTTTATTTATGAAAATAAATGAAAAAAAAAATAACATATCGTCTACAGAGAAAACACCTCTGCCCACCTTAAGCTCAATTCTGTTTATTTACTGAATTTAACACATTGGAAAAATTAAGGAAAATTGTAACCTGTCAAAAATTATGGAACACTTTATATTTTATGTTTTATCTTCTCCAGTATGTTAAACTCAGCAGATGCATAGAAATTGTGCACTGAAATTTGCAAAAAAAAGCCATATTTAAGTGTGTTCTCTGTAGAGGATGTGTTAACTTGTTTACATTAGAAAATCAATAAAATATCTAATTTGACCAGGGGTACTTTTACTAAGCTGTTCACCTAAGCAATCAAACAGTTCTGTTGAAAATTTATTCTGTTGCTGTTGTGGAACAGAGAAGCCTGTTGTTGTGCTGAGACAGACAAATGGAAGCTCCGTGACGTGCACAGCATGGGGCTACCCAGCACCCTCAATCCTTTGGTACCAGTGCACAGGGACCAGGCCAACGTATGTTACTGATCAACTTCTTTCATTTCTGTTATTAAACCAAATTAACCCTCTACTGCATGATGTTGCCATAGGGCAACACTTACTTTATCTCACTTTTACCAAAAAGCAGTATTATACTGTAAAAACTGTGTTTTCCTATTTAATTGTGGAAAACAGGTCTTTTACTTTGAAAGGAAAAATACTTGATGACATCACATGAACAGGAATTCTTATTATGATATTTGTATTACCATACATTCCAAATACCAACTGAAATTGTATTAATTGCCAATTTTTGTAAATATTGGGTCGTACATTTCACTAAGTATAAGCTAAATTTGTTTGTTCTCGTTTTCAATAAAATGATGTTTTTAGAGAAAAATGACAATTTATGGTGCTTTTTTTTAGATTTTATGGTGCTATGGTACGATTGCGCATTGTTACCATATGGCAACAACTTACCAAACACCCCACTTAATTTTTAGAAATAAATAATTTTGTTTTCAAATATTTCCATTCATGCAATAGAGGGTTAACACAGAGCAGCAGAGTGTTACCACACTCTTGATGTTTACATGTTATATATTATATGTTAGGCTGGCTTTACTCAGTAAAACGTTCATGCAACTAATTGCATGTTATGAGTTGCCTGCAACATCATTTCTGTACAATTGACAGTTACATGAAGCAATTCAAAAATGAATGCAATACATTTAATTACTCATTATAATTGTTCATCGTGGACTGATTCTCAGTCTCCTCTTCTTTAATTATTTTTTATTGCTTGGACGCCAAATGAATTTGAGTGCTGTGTAAAATTAGGGGGTCTTGATTGAGGAGAACATGAATCTAGCTACATAGATCATGATAACAGCAGGCTTATAAAGACTAAACAGCTGTTAGCAGTAGCAGACTAGTCATCACAGCTAGTTACAGAAACATTAGCTTTGAGAAACTCACATTTGTTGTAATGGCTCAGCAATGTGACAAAATGAAAAACTAGCAACCTGGAGTTAGTTGTTTCCCAATTAATTAGGTGAAATCAATGACTTGAAAGTATGTTGTTCAACACGATCACACGATGCATTATTGCTCTTTTGATTGTCTGTTTCCTGAAACTTGTTTCATGGTTGCAACTGTTGTGGCTGAGTTTCAAATGGGTTGCAGAACGCTTTAGATCATGCAAGGCAAGTGCAGTTTAGTTTCATGTAGGTTCCAAGTAGCTAAAATTGCATGAAAGTTTTACTGTGTAAAGCCACTTTTAGAATTCTAACCAGAAAAAGTAAATGTAAAATTTCATTGAGCTAATTTAACTCATAGAAGTTGAAATAAGTGTGGAAATTCTGTCCAGTCTTTTTTAAGAGTGTGGTGCATATAGTCTTGTTTTGCAGAAAGAAAAACACATTGTTACCAATGTTTGTTATTGTTTATCACTTAAACAAACAGAAAAATAGTCATAGAAGTGCAAATAAGCACATTTAAAAAAAATGACCTCTGAACAATCAAAAGTCCTTTACAAGGCTCCACATTAACTTTACAGATGTATGGAAAACTCTACACTGGAGACCCCTCAGCCAATCCCAGCAGAGACGGTGGAGGTGCAGAGGAAGGAGTTTGGGGAAGTAGAAGTAGAAAGTGCTCTGGCCATCACACCATCTGATCAGACGATGACTGTAGAGTGTGTGGCAGTCAACGTGGCTGGTCAAGGCAGCGATACATTTCCCATAGAAAAGTCTGGTAAGGGGGCATAGTTTGAAAATATATAATAAAAAACTGTGGTAATAACATGTCAGTGTAACATGGTAGTAACAATTAACTATAAGATTAAAAAATGCCATTGATAAGGCTTCATTTAAGAAAATACATGAACAGTATATCACCACTTTTGAAAAAAAAAACATAGTTTCTAAACATAACAACATCTTACCTGTTAAATCATATAGACTTTCAGAAAAATCAGTAGAAATCACCTTTAAAGTTAATCAAACATTTTACAATGTGTGGAATCTTTTGCTGTAGAAAAACTGTTCACTGAAGCTCTGACTGGAGCCATAGGTGTGATGGCCTTTCTCCTTCTACTCATCATCTTCCTCCTGTACAAGTACAAACAGGTAGGAAATCCAGTTGAGCTGTTTTTTATTGCGCTCATGTGTGTCATAATGGGAGCATTACTATGTAACAGCTGTGTAATAACCTATACAATCTTTTGTTTTTTTTTTCCCATAGAAACCCAGGTATGAGATTCGGTGGAAGATCATTGAAGCCACAGATGGAAACAACTACACCTTTATTGACCCTACTCAGCTGCCTTATAATGAAAAATTGGAATTTCCAAGAGACAAGCTGAAACTAGGTTTGTATAGAAGAAATCCAGCACAGCTGAACATTAGCCTGCTGGCTACCCAGTCTAGACTGTTCTTTTCAGAAGAATTGTCTTGACGAGAGATATTATAAAGCACAAACATAAACCAGTGCTGTGACCGATGAGAACAATTTGCCATGGCATTGCAGGGAAGATTCTGGGTGCAGGAGCTTTTGGAAAAGTGGTGGAGGCTACAGCGTATGGTCTGGGGAAGGAGGACAACGTGACTCGCGTGGCTGTCAAAATGCTCAAAGGTCAGTGTGGAGAGAAATAAACAACAGTGTTTTCTTTCCCAAGTACGAAACTCCTTGCATTTGAACAGCTTTTTCCTTTGTGAAAAGACACTTGACTTGGCCCAACAAGGGCCTTAGCTATTTAAATCTTTACAAAAGAGTGTCCTCTCAGCATGATCAGTAGTAATTATCATCCATTTTCACATTTCATTTTCATATATTTATTCATAATACATTCATTCTACAACATTCATACTCCATACACTTTACCTGCACCAGTGGTAAATAAAGTGATTTATGATTATCTACTGTAAAAGTATGGTTGATCTGAATTGTTAACTGAAAGAATGGACCATTTGCAGCCAGTGCCCATTCAGATGAGAAGGAAGCGCTGATGTCAGAGCTGAAGATTCTGAGTCATCTGGGACACCACAAGAATATTGTCAACCTGCTGGGAGCCTGCACATATGGTGGTAAGAGAGAGAGAGAGAGAGAGAGAGAGAGAGAGAGAGAGAGGATAATTGTCATATTCAGCTGTAATCTTCATTTAAGATACTACAAAAAACTCTGCTAATAAGTGTAAACAATATTGTGTTATCCAATCTCATTGTGGCTACAGCTGCTCTGTTATGATAATTGTTCTCCAAATCGAGCGCTTTATCAGCATTCATTTAGATTATAACTGCTATATTGTACATGTACTGGGTGTTTTGTAGTTCATTTGTGTGTATCTCCCACCCAGGTCCTGTGCTGGTCATCACTGAGTATTGTTGCCATGGTGACCTTTTGAACTTCCTGCGGAGCAAGACTGAGACCTTCTTGAACTGCGTGATGACAGTGCCGGGCATCATGGAGGAGAGGAGTGACTATAAGAACGTCACCTCTGAGAGGATGTTTATTAGAAGGTATTGTCCCAAATGAATTTAAATTACAGTGTAGGCATTTACTAAGTGTTGTTTGTTTGTTTGTTTCCTCCTTTAAAATAAAGGTCACTACACTCCAGACACTGTGTGTAGCAGAAACAGGACAAAGCACTGCTGTACTTCTGCATACTTTCATTATAAACAGTGATTTTGAGTTGTTGGACGCTGTGCGACACAACACAGTGTGTCCAGTCACCTTAAGGTGGAATTCCACTGATGTTTAAAAGTTTCTACATAGTTCAATCACTGAGATGTAAACAAAGTCGTTCAGAGTGGTTTGTTGTGAAATGGTGCGTTGCAGAGGAATTGGATTTCCTTACAGTGGTGTTGATGGGAACCAGTGGGTTACAATGTGTACAACACAAATATAGCCACTTTATGAATTACACAAAATGACTAGTCAATCTACATGTGTCTTCTGAGTGTTTATATGTGATGGTGATGATGGTAAAATAGTGGGTAATCTGAAAAAAAGTTTTCTTTGGGGATTATTTTGCCTTTCTATGCCCTGCACGTATCACTCCATCCTGAATGTATGTAAAAAATATGTTATAGACCAAAACCTCGTCTAAGAACTATGGTAAAAGGTGCAGTGTATTTATAGCCTTTTCGGGTATTAGCTTTAAAGGCAATAAACTCTTCTGACCTCTGGTTCATATCACCAACATTGAACAATTCCGACTTAGTACATTTCTCTAGAACACATTTAACCACTCTGAATGACTTTGTTTACAACTTAATGATTTAAATTTGCACAAGTTTAAAAGCATTGGTGGAATTCCTCTTTAAGACTCCTTGGGAAGACGCTATATTTGCCTTCTGTAACATGATTAAAATTGTAAATCACTCTGGATAAGTGAGTCTGCTGAATGTCATAAGTGTAAAATATGATTTCCACAGTGACAGCGGCATTTCCAGCACCTGTTCGGAGAATTACCTTGACATGAGACCTGTAGGGCCCAGAACAAACTCAACACAGGGTATGCAGTCATTCTACAAATTGATTCACATTTGAAAGCATAACTGCACCAGTTTTACAAATTAGATGATTTTGAAAATCATAAAGGGTAATAGTTTTAGGGCTATAGTAATCTTTCATCTTTTGAACCTGATATTTTGAGAAAAAGTAACTCTGTTCTCTGTTTTGGTGCAGTTTCTTCCTGTGGGGATCAGTTAGCAGACTCATGGCCATTAGACATCGATGACCTGCTGAGATTCTCCTATCAGGTGGCTCAGGGACTCGAGTTCCTTGCAGCTAAAAACGTGAGTATTCATCTGCATTTGTAACCTGCCACTTAATGCTAAATATGAAAATGAATGTCCTTTCTTTTGACAAAGTGTCTTTTTTAGTGTTGGTTTGATTATCCAGATATTAGACCAAAACTCGATAAAAATGCTACCAAACAACTAAACCAAAGACGTTTTTGTCTCTCTCTGTCTGAAGTGTATCCACAGGGACGTAGCAGCCAGGAATGTTCTTCTGGCGGATGGACGTGTGGCGAAAATCTGCGACTTTGGTCTGGCCCGAGACATCATGAACGATTCCAACTATGTGGTCAAAGGAAACGTAAGTGAAAACAAACGCCCGGTTCTCACAGCTTACACTGGTTTATCAGACGATACCTTTAGCAAAACATGTGACAATGAAAAATAAACATAACAGTCATAACTGGCAGATGTTTTGTAATTTTTAGCTTTTTTAGTTCACTAATCAATAACAGTGTCTCTCTCTCTCTCTCTGCATGTGATGTACAGTCATGTGCAAAAAAATGTAAACAGCCCTGATCAAATTGCATGTTTTCTTGATTTTCTCAGTGAAAATAAGTAACACATTCTCTACAGTGAACACACTTCTGCACATATTAGAGCACAATTTCTGTTTACTTGCAGAGTGTAACACTGAAAAAAATAAAACAAAAAATATAAAATATAAAATATGCCTTAACTTTTGCACCGGCCACATTTCGTGTTTATCCCAATATGTTCAGTTCAGCACATAAACAGTGCATTAAAATGTGCAGAAATGTGTTCTCTATTGATGATATGTTAACTAAAACATCTTTTTTGATGCTCAAACTTTTGCATATGTCTGTACACTAAAGGAATTCTTTGTTTAAAAGAGACTTGTGTTTTCTTTCAGGCTCGTTTGCCAGTGAAGTGGATGGCTCCAGAGAGTATCTTTGACTGTGTGTACACAGTACAGAGTGATGTGTGGTCTTACGGTATTCTGCTGTGGGAGATCTTCTCTCTGGGTAAGGCTGAGAAATAATAAAAATATAAACTTTGGGGAAGTTATAATCTGTCATTACACAATGTCTATCATTGTCTTACCAATGTAACATCATATATGATCTTGCATTATATATACTGATGAACTTCCATTTAATCTCAATTGCTTAAAGCTCAAAGTCAGCTTGAAAGGGAAATCATAACACGTTTTCCTTCTGTACTGCATTTCTGAGTGAAACACAGTATCAGGGAGGTTTCTCTTGATGATAGGTGGGTGTGGTGGGAGGGAAGTCAATTTGATTGAAGGTTATGGGAAAACAACACTTTTTTTAAAATTACATGACCAGGTGTTCTAACACATTGTTCTACCTGAAACGGTGAAACATTCTACTGAAGTGCATATTTATAGGTAGCACTCTGTATAAAGGTGTTGGTAGGATATTTTTGTAGCCTAAATGACTTTATCAGAGGGTACGTAATAACATTTAGCTGAGTCTGGATACACACTTGAGGTGAGGCTGAATTAACATTAAAAACACAACAAAACAGTAATGATGTGCACATGGGTGGTAGGATGGCTCGATGGGTAAGACAGGTTGTTAGAACACCAGGGACGTGAACTAACATGCTGAAAAATGTCCATTTTGATTTTAATTCTGACTTAACCTCTTATAATCCCAGCATTATTAAGTCTTGCAAAATGCAAATTGGCTGAGTAAAGTGAGTAGTAAAAGTGTGGTCCTGGCCATTTATAGGGATTTACGGGGTTTTGATCTATCAACCTGCCGCTGATTTTTGACAAGATTATTAGTGTATTGTACTTAAAAGGGTGCACAAAGACAAATACATGTTAAATAGCATTTAATAAAAGTATGCAAGTTTTTAAGAAGAAGTTTATAATCTGTAGCATTGGAGACACCACTGAATGAGCTAACAAGGGACATTCCAGCACTTATTGCTGTGTCCATCACCAGTCTACCTACCATGAAGCTGGATTCCAGGATTAGCAAGCTAACATTTGGCTTAAGTTTAGCTACATTGCATAAGTTACATTAGCTGGCACGCTCACCACTGAACTCAGCCTTGTGGTCTACTGTTGTACTAGTCACGTGTTATTATATACTCCTAACTGTTGACCTTTATGTGAATCCACACCCTCATTTGAGTTTCTGTTTACTTTCCACAGGAAAAAGCCCGTATCCAAACATCCTGGTGGACTCGAAGTTCTATAAGATGATCAAGTGTGGCTATCAAATGTCCCGTCCTGACTTCGCCCCACCAGAAATGTAAGTGGATGCACTTTAGTGGCTTATGAAGCTTGAAAAGAGCAACACAGCCCAAGACTAGACAGAAAGACTATAAAAAAAACTCTGTTATAATTAGCTAGATTGCATTTCTGATTGTGACTTTTAGCGTGTAGTTCAGCCTCTGGAAAGGAGAAGCTCACTAATGGATTGTCTAAAATTTGTACAGATGGTGTTTGAGAATACAGTGTTTGTTTCCCGGAATGAGTAAATGGGGCATCAGCGCGGCTGACTCATTGGAGCTCAGTGTCTCGGCGTCTCCGTTCTCTGTTCCTCTTTTGTCCTCCGTCGTGTTGGCTGTTAGTTCTGCGTGTTAAACACATGATCCCAGAGTGAGGCGTCCATTTTGCTCCCATTTCATGCCTCTCCTCTCCGCTTCTCAGGGCCTCCCCATCTCGCATGTAAAGAGGGCTTTTACTTCAGTTCAGTGGCCTCATTTTGAGTGACTTTAAGAAACAACTCAACTAAGCAAATCTAAACTCAAGGATGATGGTTGAACATTTACACCATTACACTACAGGCAATTTACACTAAGATGTAGACTGGTTCAGTTAATTAGGGGTTTTATTGGCATTTATTGAAATGAATTTTGAAACATTTCTGTTTACAATATGCTTTAGTCTTGGAATAAATTACACTCTGTGAAGATTTATTACTGATTTTTTTATGTTAGTCTTGGCTTATTTGATGTCTAGAAGTCCATCATAAAACCAGCTGAATTAAGGCTAGATAAGTGTCGGTGTTATTGTGCTTTTCTCTTATTCTCTGGTAAAAACAGATAAAGAGGTGTGGAATCTGATAGAGAAATCTTGACAATCCCCCACTGTCATGAGTTCAGCACTGACGTCTGTATTTGGTACCGTTAGCAGAACTGAGTGGAGTGACCGTGATTGGCTTGCACACAAAGGAAGGCAACAGGTCACATCAGCACAACTGCGTGATTATTGGATCAACAAGAAAAAATGAGTTGCATTTGAAACTGTTACTGTAGTGGTGATTTACTTGAGTACAAGTAAAAGTATCAATAAAGAAATTACTCAAGTGAGAGTAAATAAGTTATTTACATGAAAACTACTTGAGTAATTGAGTTAATCTGAAAATATTCCTCAGTTGATTCGGATACAATCGGAAATAATTTGTACAAGCAAAACTAAGGCCAAACATGACATTACGTAAGGAAAAAGTCCAGAGACAGATCATAGTACGTTCTGCTAGTGCACATTTACACATCTTTCTGTGCACTATATAAGACACCAGGTTTACCCTAAAGTAGATGTATTTCAGGAGGATTACATAAGGCTATCTCCAACAAAGTCATTTAAATTCTTAAAATCCTGGACAGTTTGTTATTGTTTAATTAGGTCTATTTTTCAGTTTGACCTCTTACAAAAAGCAGATTAATTGATTAACAGTCAAAATAACAGGTGGATTAATTGGCTTTCAAACTGAATCTTTTAAATACACCTGGGCTTTCTGCTAATTGGTTTATTTGTTTTTGCTCTGTAACAGTTATTAAAAATTAAACTAGTGAAAAAATACTTTGTTATAAATGATCTCAAGCACAATGAATTAATTCTACTGTTACAAGGTAATGCAAGTAAATGTCATTTGTTGATTTCCACCTTTGAACAGGACTGATTAAAATCCAGTTGGGTTGGTGAAACCATATAAAAAAAATAAAAAATATAGTCAGTATAGAAGTAAAAATGAGTTCACATGTGAAGTTTTGTACATGTGTAGTGTTACTGAATGAACCTGTAATTTGCTGTGTTCCTACTTTTATGACATTTTAATGATTGATCTTTCTAATTTTGTATTTATTTACACATTATGTTGTATGTGTGTGAGATCATAACAATTCCAATCCTTTCCACATTCAGATACACCATCATGCAAATGTGCTGGAACCTGGAGCCCACAGAGAGGCCAACTTTCAGCAAGATCGGTCAGCTCATCGAGAGGCTGCTTGGAGACACACCTGAACTGGTAAAAAAAAATCCTTAAAAAGTTATGAGTTCTTACAGGGGAATTCCACTTACTGTTCAAAATGTCTGGATAATTAAACCATAAAGATGTAAACCGAGTCATTCAGTGTAGTTTGGTGTGAAATGCTCTGTTCTAGAGAAACTTACAGAGTCAGAACTGTTAAAAGTGGTGGTGATAGGAACCAGACGTCTGAAGAGTTTAAAGCCTCTAAAAGCTCCATCACAGAAAGTTATTACGTTAAATGGTTATGAATCCTCTGTCTGATGCCTGAGACATAATTTTATGGTTATGGCCTAAAACATACTAACATATTTTTAAAAACCCATTCATTTTGGAAGGACAGGGGGGTGGGTGGAAGGGTGCATAAACTGTGGCCTGTGCAGAAGTTATAGCACATTTTTACTTTTTTCTGATACACAAAACTTAAATAAATAGAAACTTTACAAAAGTGTGATCTCTGTAAAAAAATGTGTAACTTCTTTTCACTTAGAAAATCAACAAAATATGTCATTTGACCTGGGGTCTTCATATGACTGTTTTTGTGTTGTAGACATTGCTGACCCGGTTTCTGTCACCACTGTAAAGAAATCTGAGTCTATAAGTTTACACAGAACTCTACAATGAACCATTTCACACCAAACCACTGAATGACTGAATGACAATGACAAAACTATGTGGAAATTGTAAAAGTCAGCAAAATTCCCCCTTCATAATTAAACAATTAAGGTCACACAATGTCTGAAAAAGTCTTTTTTACACTTAGAGGTAAGATTATCCCTAAAGACCAGGTTGAAAAAAGTCAGTGTGCATATTAAGCTAATTCAGATAAATCGCCAGCTAAAAATATCAGGCAGACTGTGGTCTTGTGGTCAGAAACTGACCAGAACTGGACCGATGATGAATAAGGTAGAGGGCAACTATGACGTCATGCATATTTCTCAAAGCACACACGCATGCTTGTGGAAATGGTATTTGGTATATGTTCCTCTGTTGAGACCTGAGATCTCTAACACTGAACAGCATTGCTTTAGCTTGACAGAAATAAGGCAAACTGATTATTAGAGTTTAGTCCCTAACTTGGCAAGTTTTTCTCTCTGCGTTTACTCTCAGTACCAGAACGTCCAGTCTGGAGATCAGGTGCTGGATGAGCAGCAGCTGGAAGCATGTGACCCTGCCAAGGCCAATGAAGAGTCATGTGAACAAGAAGAGGAGGAGCAGCCCCTGATGAATGCCAACAACTATCAGTTCTGTTGAGACCTGTATGAGCCATTCCTCTCACTCTTACCTGTGCGCTGTGAAACTTCCACTCACCGGAGATGAACCCAGTCCAGGATGATCCACTGTTATCTGCAGCTATGTTTCAGCGCAGGGCCAAATTTCTCTGTGTTGCTTGTGCGACGAAAAGGTAAAATCTTAGAGTTAAAGTGCAGCATGGCATCAGAGCTTTGTGAGCCGACCTAGAAACCTCTTCTATCGTTCTGGTGGTTGTGCCATTACGGGACTTTCTTTAGAAAATTCTTTAAACCACACATTTCCGAACTCTTGTCTTCAGTTTCCTCTGAAACATATCAAACCACATCAAAAGTCATTTTAGATGCATATTCCATATCCTTTGCCTGACTTATGTAAATAGCAGTTCCCTCTTTGGATGTGTCGAAAACAGCCAGTTCAGCATGTTCCAACTTCCTGATCATCAGTGTAGTGCATGTCATCAAGTTATTTTCAGTCGATTCTTACAGACTATTAAGTGGTCTTGAGCATTCTTATGTTTCTTTGTTCTTTTGTGGGCGTGTTATTTTTCCCCTGTATGTTTTTTTTAAGCTCTTTATGATTTTTTGATTGGTCAAAATGAATAAGCTTGCAAATGTATTGCTCATTTCACACAGTCGTATGCAAAAGTTTGAACATCTCAGTGAAATTAAATGTTTTTTTGATTTTCTAAGTGAAAATAAGTTACCATCTTTTCTACAGGGAGCTTAAATGCACCATTTGTCTGGAAATGTTTGTGCACAATTTCTATTCATTTACTGAGTTTAACATATTGGGAAAAAATAAAACATCAAAGATTAAATGTGCCATAATGTTTGCATACACGCCACATTTTAATGTTTTATAAACTGTGGGGTGAGAATGTTAAATTCAACAAATACACAGTAATTGTGCATTAAAATCAACAAAACATGTCATTGACCAGGTGTGCCCAAACTTTTGCACACAACTATATATGCATTTGCAAGGTTGGAGCAAATATGATCAGAGGCATCATATGAAAGTTCACTGAGTGAAGAGGTACTAAAGTACTAAAATGGAATTTCCTGAATTCTCATCTTTCTGAAATCTCTCAATGTCATTCACTGTATGTAATGTATCACTGTATGTAATGTATCACTGTTTATCAAAATCTTTATTGTTGGTGTGTTTCTTGTTTATTAAGATGTATACAGAATATTTGTGAATTTAATGTAGCATTGAGCGTACACTGCCATATATCGAGCCTCTGATCTGCTCAAGGCTCGTCCATAGAACATGATCTCAGTGCATACTGCCATTAAAACAGGTTTACTTTTAGCTACAAGATTTATACTTTGCTCATAGTTAATAGGGTACTGTCATTAGTTGGTGCATTTTATTGATTCATTTTAAAACCATAAAAGACAAAGTATATATGTTTTCAGTGTTTCAGCAGATATCTGTTTAAACTGTGTAGCACATTTACTGAAACTGAAGCTCTCAAGAATTAATAAATTCTGACTCTGTTAAGTACATGGTGTATATCGCTCACTCACATCTGTCATAAGCTATTCAATAAAGCCAAAGATCTTGTAAAACTTTTGGAGTTCCATTTTTCAACAACTAGAGTTAAAACTTCTTATTTAGTGCTTTAATACACAGAAGAGGTTCATTACATTCCATTCAAACTTTTTTGTTAAACTTTTAAAGCTGTTCTAGCTTTGTAGATTTTAAATACATCACTTGACTTAAGACTAAATGGGACCACTGTGACAATGCAACACTGTGACAAGAGCTGGGTCTAATTTTGTGAGTTAACGTTGAATTTAAGATGCATCAACACTGATTTTGTGAGTTAAAGTTGAATTTAAGATGTTTCAACACTTTTTGTGAGTTAAAGTTGAATTTAAGATGCTTCAACACTGTTTTTGTGAGTTAATGTTAAATTTAAGATGCTTCAACACTTTTTGTGAGCTAAAGTTGAATTTAAGATGCTTCAACACTGTTTTTGTGAGTTAATGTTAAATTTAAGATGCTTCAACACTGTTTTTGTGAGTTAATGTTAAATTTAAGATGCTTCAACACTGTTTTTGTGAGCTAAAGTTGAATTTAAGATGCTTCAACACTGTTTTTGTGAGCTAAAGTTGAATTTAAGATGCTTCAACACTGTTTTTGTGAGTTAAAGTTGAATATAAGATGCTTCAACACTGTTTTTGTGAGCTAAAGTTGAATTTAAGATGCTTCAACACTGTTTTTGTGAGCTAAAGTTGAATATAAGATGCTTCAACACTGTTTTTGTGAGCTAAAGTTGAATTTAAGATGCTTCAACACTGTTTTTGTGAGTTAAAGTTGAATTTAAGATGCTTCAACACTGTTTTTGTGAGCTAAAGTTGAATTTAAGATGCTTCAACACTGTTTTTGTGAGCTAAAGTTGAATACAAGATGCTTCAACACTGTAGTTCCAACTGATTTGTGTCATGCACAATTCATTTAATTTATTTTGTCAGTACCAGCTTGTAAAGCCAATCAGCGAAACCAATTGATCATAGCGCTCAAACAGATACATTTAGAGGCAGCATGTGATAAAGTACTGGGCAAAAGGTAAAGCCTGAGAGAACATAAATATGTGGAAATACAGACGTTAATCTGAGTTGCAATAAAAGCTGTTAATTTTTGCAATAAGCAGTTTTCTTTAATATAAACAATATCACAGTTAATCGTCATTAACACACACTGATCATAAACACTATTACTTTTTGTTTCTTGGTTACAAACACACATTATTCTAATTAGCAATAAATAGCGTCCTCCTTTACTATAACTTAACATCACTACTGTCCACACAGTGCCTTGTCTTTTGGTGCTGTTGCTTTTGCATTTCTTTCTGCATCTGAAAGTCTGTCTCACAGTGTCTGAGTTACTCTTCCCACTCTTTCCTCATTCCTCATTTTCAGTGAGGCCCACACAACAGTCCCACTCAACCTTCTATGCTCCGCCCACGAATGTGTTCTTTCATAGCAGCTATTGTGAGACCAGACAAGCATTACAGAAAGTTGAGAAAAATCCCATTCAAGCTAATAATAAGATGTCAGAGTAGCTGAATTTTGATTGCGTTATTAATTTCAATTGTATGTTGTTGTTGTTGTTGTCGTCATTTTCAATCTGCCAAGATATGATACAGCTACAGCAACAGAGTGAAGCTCAGCAGCGCAATTTAACCTGAAATGTAAACGTTGTGTAGCAACTAGGGCCTAACTGAGAGCAACAATCTGTAGGTGATATGATTTTAATGGGCTAAAGCCTGACAACCGTCAACATCAGCTGATACATTTGTAGATTTATATTTTAGATTTTAACTGTTTTTTTTTTTTTTCAAATTCACCAGTTTGACCATTATTGCTTAGATGTAGTTTAAAGGGCCCACATACTACATTTTTCTTGCATTTTGTTTTGTCACACGTAAGAGGTTTGTGCAGTTTTATGTGTTTTAATTTTCACTTGACCATTTTCCAAACTATCTTTATCCCTTAGAATTGGCTGTTTTTGTTACTACGTCGTTACTACGGCTGTTATCTGTATATACGCATATATTTGTTTATATGAGCTCTGTTCTGATGGGCTGAAACACTCCTTATAACTTTAGCGTGAGTGGGTGGGATTAAAGTGCTCTAGGCTGAATAGGCAGATGTATGAAAAAGATTTGCTTTTTCATGACATCAAAAATATTTAACTAAATATGTTTTAAGTCATCATTTGACTAAAACAATATATTTCAGGCTGTTTGTGCAGCTTAGGTTCCATATATGGTCTGTAAAGTGAACAATATGTTTTGAAACTTGTTTAACAGTGTTTACATACAACATCAAACTCTTTATTCCCAAAATCTAGGAAAATTTGTTTTTTCCATGACACGTGGTTTTAAACAGAGAGCGGTTCTAAACTTACATTGGTTTCCACAGTCGCACATCCGTATCCTGGCAATCCCACAACCAAAAGGTCATTTATTATCCGCAATATTTTTACAGATACCGCAGGTTGTCAATATCAGCTGATATTACCAGCCAACTGATATATCGGTCAGGCCTTAGGCTCTTCAAAACATTGCAGTGAACTGATTTGAATAATTCATGTATTTTGATAAAGCTGAGTTGGGCTCTACAATAGGCTTATGAGATTGTGTGCAGTATACTATCGCTGAGTGAACCCCCCCTCACCCTCCCCCAAAGAAAAGGGTGAAAGGCATTCTGCAGCATGGCTGCCTTGCGTTCCTACAGAATGTTCATAAAAATATTGCATATCAGGGCTAATTTATAACATGGACTACACAACAGATCACAAGACAAATATGATTACTTTAGTCCATCTTCATTTTTTTGACATTTATATCATACAACTTCACTGACTTATCTTCAAACGGCTCAAGCCTACTCTGCAATTTCTTATTAGGTTGAATGGGATTTTTCCAAATGCTTGTTGCTGGATGTAAACTTGCTTGATGTTGGACATAAAGCTTGCCCAACCTCAAACAGTAGCTGCAAAAAGACACATCTGTGGGCAGAACATGGACAGGTCACGTACCCGGGATGGCTGTATTCCTCCTCTCTCATTCCAACACCATATCTTCCACGGTGACAGCGTCCATGTCTCCCTCTCCCTCGTCCTCACCCTGCTCCTCCTCAGTGTTCAGCTGTGCCACTCCGAGCCTGTAGAGTGCGTCCCGGATCATTACCACCTCGCCCTGCTGGCATACCTTCAGCACCTCCGCTATCTGCTGACTCACGATGTCTCTGCTGCTCATGAAGTCAACCAGCCGGTTGTAGAGGTAGTAATGCGCCGGGTTATCGAACACTAGAGGTTTGCTGTCCCCTGATAGGCCCTTGTCTTCTCCTGAGCTGCTGGTTAGGGCTGAGACAAGACTGGCGTAAGGCTGCAGCTCCTTGCAGAGCGTGATGGCATGGTGGGGGTCCGGGGAGGAGGACATTGCGGAGAGGTTAGAATCAGCAGGACCACCGGGACGCACTATCCAGCGGGACAGGGACTTAGTCACTGGGTGCAGGCGGGGGTTAGAGTCCACAGAGGAGAGATCCACACTGTACTGCTGATCCTGCAGCTCAGAGCAGGAGACATACTGAAAGAGGGAGAGAGAGAGACAGAGAGAGAGAGAGACAGAGAGAGAGAGAGAAAGAGAGAGAGAGAGAGACAGAGAGAGAGAGGGAGAATTTCACAAATGTAAACTATGTAAAAGATCAGAACTGAGCTTCAAGGCAGATGTTAGGATGACCTGATATCTACTGCACAATAAACTGACCCCACCTATCAGGATTTTGTCAGTGGCTATCCACACCTCTATGTGGTTGCACTTCTGTGCAGTGGTTTTAATCTATGTGATGGGAGTTTTGTAAACAGTTCCAGTTTTCTGGAGCAAGATATCACATTGTGTAACTTAAAGATATTTTTATGATACACCATATGCAGTTGTTCAGTTAAGCAATAGAACACGAGAGGGAGTGTGTTATCATGAAATAACATTACGGCTGTGATTTGATCGCCGCAGATCATCACAGCCGTGATGTTATAGCGATAACACACGACCTTAAGTGTTCTATTACTTTTACACAGCAGTTAAATAAATAAAGTAATGAATAAATAAACTGGGCCGTGAACGTGTCATTTAATATGTTTAATGTTAGCGTTTCCTTCCGCCAAATTATAGTTCCTTAACAAGCAGCTTGTTGCTACGTCAGAGTAACGAGCTCCGCTCACACGCTGCACAGCTGTCAGTTCGTTCTCCAGCTCCACACAGACCAACTGACAGTTTGGGAATTTAGTGTAGTCTCATCTTCAGAGTCTGACCAAATCGGCTGTCGGTCAAATGTGATCTTAAAAGTATCCATTTTCTGTTTGTGGCAAAGTAAGAAGTAAAAACGTTCAAATGGCTTGACAGCTGTCAAAGTCATTGCTTAGCAACAGCGTCTCAGCGGAGTTTCACAACAGTGTTTGTGAAAAAAACGTGATATTATGGCGAAATAACAGCACGGTTAGAACACTTGTCAACCAATCAGCTTGCGTGGCCGGAACTAACTGTTGTATAATGTTCTTTGAGTTCTGACAATATCTGTAATATGTCCACTAATGTACAATGTACATTTTATCATGACAACAATAAAATATCACCATATCGTCTTGTAGCTGGATCGAAAAACAAGTGGAAGTGGGTGGGCTTTTGCTGTAGCCCCTATTTCATTATATATATATATATATATATATATATATATATATATATATATATATATATATATATATATATATATATATATATATCACCTACTTCTATATAAAAAAAAGCCCCATTTTAAAAACTGCCTGCCATAAAGCACATCTGCAACAATCCACAGTTGGTTATTTTGCATGTCAGTTATGGGGGCTTTTCCTGTCAAGCAGAAGGCAGTTCTTTGCTACACTGAGTGACAAAACCCATCAGACCTTCTGAAGACAGGCAGAAGTCTGGCTTGCGAGACTAAAATCTGTTCATACATAGCAAAGAGAAGCACACATGGAAAAGCACACAGATCATAAACATTTTTCATATCGAATATAGATTCAAAAAAACCAAGCCCTCCTGACTTCCCCTCTTGATTTACAACTAAGGTTTAGCCACAGCCCTATAGTGGTAATTCTTAAAGGAAAGAATGACCACACCACTGGGCACAGTTGCATTTAAAAACAAAACTTCCTCAGTTCCCATGACAAGGATTCTTTGTGAACAGTGGTAAGGGAAGTGAGTAGGGCTTATTTCTATTTGGACTTGAGTACTCGGAATATACAATTTCAGAAGAAAATGGATAAGTTCCTTAAACTCTGATAACTCTCTTTAAATATCTGTGTTCTTTATGTAAATGACCTGCAAGTCATTCTGCAATTCTGAACACATACAAGAAAAACAAATATCTCACACAACAGCCCTGACCAGGACGAACCATTCAGCGAACTACGAAAATAAAGGTTTCCTCAGAAAGCACGCTGACCTCTGCTGCTGTTGTGGGATCGGAGAAGCAGCCTTGATTCCTCCCCCACATCTGAGACGCCAGCTCAGGGTAGAGAACATCTGCACAAAGCGCCACCTTCTGGGCACAGTCCGTCACATACACAGGCGGCCAGAAGCGAGAGGACACCAGCAGGTCCACGTGGTCCCGGGAATTCTCTCCACGCACCAGGTACTTGGAGCCACACACCACCTGAAGCACAGACAAAGACTTTTCCATCTGTTCTCCACACTTTGAGCACAACACTTCTTAACAGTTTAACAGTTTAACTCTAAATCACAATTATTGCCTACAATGACGAAGTATTATTGAATTATTGCTCACTCGTAGCTCATTGAAAGAAGGGGAGAAATTATGCCAAAAGTGCTGATTCTAATCTAAACAAACCGAAACCAATTCTGTGTTTGTAGAAGAAGAGTTATTTATTTATTTATTTAATATTTGAATCTGATGAAAAGTTATTGGTGTGTATTGCTGTATTGCTGGTTTTACAGGCAGAAATAAACATCCTTTGTGTTTTGCCAATTTGCCACAGTTTTGTTTTGTTTTGAAGTAATCCAAAAAAAGTCAGACTAGAATTTTAGACTAAAACCCACTGATACATAATGTAACTGAATGTATTATAGTAAATATAACCATATCATTACTTGTGTTTTGTAATTACCTTTAAATTATATAGTAAAATGTCTGGACACACAAATGTTAAAGGAACAAGTCTTTTAAAAATGATCATCTAACTAACAATGAATGAAAGACATTGTGGATGAGTGAATACATATTCTTTTCTGCAATGTTAAAATGTTCCTTGGTACCTTTTATGGTTTATTAGTGACATTAGCACTTTTGAGCATTAAGAAAGAATATGCTTGGACTACCATTCTAACTTTAAAAGTGTATATTTAAATAAAGTTAAAGTTAGAGTGCTTGTAGTTAACAGTTTGGATCACATTCAAAAGTCTAGAATCACTGTTTTTAATAATATAAAACAATTTGTTAAAGATACATGTATAACATTAATGTTATAATGTTAATATTCTATGACTTCATAGGTTTTGACTAATTTGTTGGAATCTGTAAAAGCTGAAGAAACGTTAGATGTATCCACAATAATGAACAGAGCTGTAGATGATTCTAAAAAGACTAAAAAATCTGTGAAACATTGAGAATAAAGTTATTATATTATTAACATCCAGAGTGCCTTGTATTTAAAACGGAATGATTAAATCTCCAGGCAGAAAGTTTTTCAAGAAATACCTATAAGTAGATTATTACAGTATATTATTTACCATTTAAAAACTTTTTAATGTTTCTAAAAACTTGAAATATTGAGTAAACCTCATACTTTCTGATGTCTAGCTCAAAGTATTTCAGTCTACACTGTGTAAGTTACTGAATAAAATAACAGCAATTATTAAAATATTAATAAATGATTCCAAACTTCCAAATTAATGAGTGATTCCAAACTCAATGGTAGTGTATGATGGTGCTCTGTGACATGTGGTTTAAAATCAGGTTGGCTGGCAGGCCGAGAGTTTATTTACCTGGTGAGGGCAGACTTTGCTGAGTTTTCCTGCAGTTAGATGTTGGGGAGGTTGGGGGGCTGTTGAGAGGCCATTCTGAACTTGTGCATAGAGTAAACACACAGACACCATCAACTCATCCTGGCAACAGAGAATAGAAAGTATATTTTTTTATTGTAAAGTTATCTTCTGGCATCACATTCCCTTAATTTAGATAAATAACTTGTATAATAAGCAGAAATAACTGCTTTCACATAAAAAAGTTGAAGCTGATGTGTCAGTTTCTTTCAAGTTCCTGTAGCTGTGATAATACAGCACTGTGCAAAGGTTTGAAAGGATGTGCAGCTGTCAAGAAGCTGTTACTGAGAAAATGAAACAGACAAAAAGAAGAACATTCGCAAATCAAACAAAGAAGCTGCTGATGTTCTCAGAACAATGGAGTGACCACCCCAGAATCCGGACCTCAACATCACTGAATGTGTTTGGGATCACTTGGATCGTGTGAAGTAAGAAAAGCAACCAACTTCTAAAAGTGAACTTTGGAGGTGGGGAAAAATTTCCCTGCAGATTTCTTTGAAAAACTGAGAGCAAGTTTCCTGAAATATATGGAAGCTGAAATAAGGGCAAAGAGTGGGCAGACTAAATACTGAAAATGTGATATATTTAGTTGACGAGGCTTCTGTGTAATTTCCTGTTAAATATATATCTGTTTTTTTTCTGACACTGAAAAATGAATAATGTGTATATAATGACACTTTTGACTGGAAATTAAATAAATGAAGGGGGGTCTCTGACTTTTGCACAGTGCTGTAAAATATGAAGTTTGTGTACCTTGGTGCTGTCAGGTGCTGAAGGTGTTCCACATTGCTCCAGTATGTGTCGTAGCTCCACCTCAGTGTGCTGGTCCATTTCTTCTGGCCTCAGATGACCGTCATGGATCAATCGCACCAGCACTGACAGGTCTCCTGATACAGCCAACACACACCCACACACACACACACGCACCATAGTGTTAAACAGTATGCGTCCAAATGTATCCAGAACATTTCACGGTGGCGGAGGTAAAGCACGTACCACCCAGCTTGATTCCCACTGGTAATCGCTTCACACCTGCTTTGCATAAAGTTAAACTTTGCTCAAATCTGTTGTGCTGCTGACTCCGCCCACTTTGCATCAATGTTCAAACTCTCCTGTTGCTAGAAATCGCCAGCTCTCATTGAAAATGAATGAAAATGAATACAATGTTCTAGTAACTTTGTAGGCCCCATCGCTGGTGGTGTGAACATAGGGCAAGAGTGAACTTTGGAGGTTTGGAAAAATATCCCTGCAGGTATCTTTGAAAGACTGAAACCAAGTCTAGAAAAGAACGGTGACAGAGATAAAGGCTAAGAGTGGACACACTAAATGCTGAAAAATGTGATCTAATATCTAGTTTTTGGGGCTTCTGTGCAGACCCTGAAAAACTGACTGTTCTGACTAGAAATAAAATATTTTTGAGTTACTGTATTTAAGCTATTATATATAGTCAGTTACTATATTTTAGGTATTAGTCCAATTTGTTGCTCTGTGGCTGATAGATTGAAAACTTAAATCGGAGTGTCAACAAGCTCAAATGTAATGAAATGTAACCAAATGTAAATATTTTAACAGTAGTTGGACAGTTTATACACACTAACCAGTGCCACTGAATCAGTATAAATCTAACCAGTTCTACCCACTCATGATGCCATCTGCGCAGTGATCAGATATCGGCCTTCACCTGTGTGGGGTGTGCTGGTGGTGATCTTCTCTTTTTCAGTGTTAATGACCACAGTGCTCCTCATTAGTGGAGGAAAGAAGGGAGCGATGATGGAGGCGTCGAAGCGTGTGATGGAGACGCTGGAGGGGAAGGCGGCCTGCTCCAGAGCTTCACTCTCCATCGCCAGCCAAAACTCCTCCACCTGAACCTCCTCTGATGCCTGGAACTCCGGCCACGTGAACTTCAGAAAGTAAGAGAGAAAGAGAGATATAGTCAATATTTTTCTCTTCCGCACATACAGTTAATCAGCCAAAACAGGTTCTTTAGTTTTGCACTGGAGCCACGAGGCTAATGCAACTAACATGCCATGGAGGCTCATATAACACGAATAAGCATCACACAGTTTGCATGTCCAAACAATATGCTAAGTAATCTCACACAGACTTGCTTATGTGGTTTCTGTATTGTATGACATGGTTTATACAGAAAAATAGACAAAAGCACAGCCGAAATTCAAGCTTTTGTAAATAACAGATTACTTAACAACTTAAACACAGTGCAGTTTGAGGCAAGTCGTTTCCTCCAATACCACACCAAACATATCTTGGCTGACTAGCTAGGTTACTCCGTATATGTATTTTATAGGAATAGGATAAAGTGGTATTGAATGTTATTTTACCTCCACATTCTTGAGCTGCAAGACAATGTTTGTGTTGCGCTGGGCAATTTCCAGTTTAGGGGCAATGCCGCATACACCACAGATCATGTCGTTGTAGTCACGGACTGTCAGGCATTCAAACGCCCAGTAGCCACTACACAACAACTCCTGCAAATGAGTCTGCACTTCTGAACTAAACACACAGCCTGGGACAGGGAGAGAAGAGCAGAGCACAGGAGCAGATGAAGAAAAGCAGCCAAAACCATACGGCAGCACCTGAACATCATCCTATGAATGGAAGCTGAAGACAACAGGTGGATATACTACATACTGAAAGAACTAATGAAAAGTTCAAATAAATTCTAAAGGCAGAAAACCTAACAATAATTATTGTAAACAGAGAACTGCAGTATCTGATTTATCATTTAAGAACTACTTGGTGATCCTAAAATATTCAAAATATTAAACAAAGCAACTTAGCAACTTTTTGGTGCCCAGTTTATAATAATAAATGTACTTTATATAAGTTATTATTGTACAAAAAATACCAGCAATTATTAATATTCCAATATAATATAACCAACTGAAATGCATAGAAGATAACACACATGTATATGTATCTGAATGCGCTGGTACCTGATGGAGTCTGGGTGTTGTTGAGAATGTCCAGGGCTGCGAGTGTGGGGTCTTGACCCAGTTTGATTTGGGTTCTGATCTTAAAAAACAGATCCAGACTCACCAGCAGCTGGTTCCCCACATTAAACAAACCTAAAACATATAAACACAGCTCCGTCACTCATGCCATGGACAAGTTATATTCTGTTTGCACCAGCTTGACATGAGAAGATTAAGTGTTTGTATGCACACACATGTATGTGGTAACTGTGGTACTAGTGTTAATCTGAATGTAAAGCATACGGGGCTGAGATATACAAGAGGATATGTCCGTTACCTGGTACAGTGAACAAATTATTACACATACAGTATTGTGTCTTAGGCACCTAAGAAAACTGTTTAAACCATTTATCTCAGAAGTGGGTTTTCACTGTAGAAACACCATTTAACGTTAGAATAAATGTAAACAAAAAAGCAGTAAAAAGTAAGAAGTATTTCTTGTTTTCAAAAGGTTTACCGCCTGGCTTTTACCCAATACTCCCAGCTAGACTGAATGAAATGAAGTACTCATTAACCAAACCAGGTATTGGATGATAATGACAACTAATACTGAACTGCCATGAAGAGTATAACTCCTCTTACTTGCACAGCTGTACAAACGTTCATTTTTACGAATGTACATATCATTCTGTATGTAATAGTTATTATATGTCTCCTCAGACCTGTATATTTAAAAGATATTCACACAACCCCTTAGCTTTGCTTCACATTGGCTCTTTATTCATCTTTCTTTTTCTTTACTCTATTTATTCTGTTTTTGTTTTATTTGTTCCTTAGTTAAATATTTGTTAATAGTCGGCTTCCTTGTCTGGTCTTTTTTAGTGTATGTCATACATGTGTGCACATCACCAAGTCAAATTCCTTGTATGTGTAACTTGCCTGGTGAAATAAAGTGATACTGATTCAGATTTTTGTATTTATTGTAATATTAGTGTTTATAAAGCAAATTAACACTTACTATTAAATAAATAGCTTTTTTTAATATCATTTCCTCAGGTGCCTAAACTTTGGCACAGTACAGTAATATGTAATCCTGAAGTTGTGAAGAGGGACCTGGTGGACTGTGGATGCTGTTGAGACTGTTACATATATATAAGGCACTGTACAAAAGTCACAGGCCTTTTATTTATTTAATTTCCAGTCAAAACAGCCAATGAGTTACTCATTTTTCAGCAGCAGAAAAAAAGACAAAAAACTGACAATTAATTTGACAATTGATTGAAAATTAAACAAAAGCCTTAACAACTACATGTTCAAAATGTTCAGTATTTAGCGTGTCGACGCTGCCTTTATTACATTCTTTTCAGGAGACTTTCTTTCAGTTATTTAAAGAAATCTGCAGGGATATTTTTCCACAAGAGAAAGAGAAAGAGAAAGAGTTACAGTGGCAGTAGGTGCACAAAAGTAAAGAATGTACAAGTTAAATACTGACAGATTTGATATTACATTTGGAGGCTTTTGTGTGATTTTCTGTTAAATATGTATCTCCTGTTTTTTTTCTGACAGTGAAAAATAAATAATGCTTAATGTCTTTTTTATTGGTAATTTAAGAATAAAAGGGTGGTCTCTGACTTTTGCACAGTACTGTGTGGTGTTGTTCATTCACCTGGGTGCAGGTCAGTGAAGCTGTGGATGGTCAGGCACTGCAGATTAAGACACACTTTCAGCTGTAGAGAGACCGGCTGCAGCAGAGACTCAGTCACTAACCAGCACTGCTGCTGCCCTGCTAACGCACAACTGCAACACACACAATCACACAAGAAGAGTGCATCCAACAATTAGAGAATGTAGGTATCTTAACGCCCTACTAACTTGCTACTAACTTACAGAATGGAGTATCTACTCCCATGTTTATTGCTTTGGCCCCTTTTTGCCAAACCTGATCACTTTGTGTGGACAAAGAGGATGATATTTGTGACCTCACCCTTCTTCTCCTCTGTAAAGCGGATAGTGGCACAAGCTGCAGTGAGTGGCCGCCGGCTCGTAGGAGCTTGGCCAACCGTTCTGCGGGGACACAGAGTCTTCGTTTCTCTCTACATCCCTCTCTCTCTGCGCGTGGTTGAGGCTGTGGATAAGGCTGAACACGTCCTGCAACTCGGCCTCATTCTCAGGGTACTGCAGGCTGTGTTTGAGCAGGGTCACAGTGGACTGGCGCTGGAGTTCTCTCTGAGCTGGGGTTAAGGGCAGGGACGGGTCTAGCAGACCTGCGGAGCGACTCTCCGGCTCTGGAGACGACTGCAGGATAGGAGGGGTGAGAGATTTGTTATTTGTTATGTTAGCAGTTGCTTCTAACCTATTGAATCAATGAATGTCACACCATTAGTCAATAATTTTTGTAGATGAATTGCTTGTCTAAAATTAATAGCTTCAAACTTTTCGGCATATCTAATTTTTTGGGTTTTTTTTTGTACCACAACGAAAAACCAAACTTGCTTATGTGGTTTATGCCACTGAAGTCATATGCAAAAGTTTAAACACCCCCAGTCAAATTGCTTGTTTACTCAATTTTCTAGGTGAAAATAAGTTAACACGTCCTCTACAGGGAACAAACCTAAATATTGCATTTTCCTGCAAATTGTGGAGCACAATTTCTATTCATTTGTTTAACATATTGGAAAAAATTATACATTAAATATTAAATGTGCTATAACATTTGCACAGGCCACATTTTATGTTATATTTTTATTTTTTCCAATACCTTAAAGTCAGCAAATAAACATTAAAATGTGCAGAAGTGTGTTCTCTGTGGAGGATGTGAACTTATTTTCCTATATAAAAAACAAATTTATTTTTACTTAACAATAACTTAACAAAAACTTAACAACAACTTAACGACCTGAGTTCTGAGGCAAGTGCATGATGATTTATGCAGTTTGCACAAAGCTATTGGGTGAGGTATTCGCTACCATTACTTGCTATCTACATTAGCATTGTAGCTCCAGTGCAAACATCTGATTGTCTACATCTGGAGAAAATTACGTAAATTAGATTTTATTTACAATGAACTAATTGCCAAATCAAACAAACAAACAAACAAAATAAAATAAAATAAAAAAAAATGGCAAATTTGATGTCATGACTTTAAACAATCCCCACTGTCCAGTGTAACGTGTGTTTATTAAGGGCTGTAGCTCACCGGTACTTTGGCTTTCTTGGCTGTCTTGGTGGTGAGTTCGCATCCACAGCTGGGACAGTACTGAGGTTTGTGTCGATTCTTATAAATGTAATCACAGGAAGGGTTTTTACATCTACCCCTACCACGCGCTGTGGATAAGCCGAGAGCCTGTCAAAACAAAGAGACCATCAAAAACAAACTGGAGATGTGAACAAATTCAATATCTAATCATATCGAATCAAGTCAATATCTAAACAAATTAACTGTGTTTCTATTAAGTTTTTACTGGCGTGTTAAATGCTATTTTATGTGTTATTTTGTTGTCACATAGTTCAACCAGGCCCTGATTGAAGCCCAGCACTAACCAGTGAAGTGCCCGAGTTTTGCTTGAAAGGCACCATGGACAGGATCTTCACTCCGTTATCTGTTACGATGTACTGGTTGCTGTTGATTGCAGTAGGTTTCTAGAGCACAGAAGTAAAGACTTGTCAGGAATAATTTCTGTGAAGTATTATCTATCATGTATCACAAAAACAGATTCCAGACAGATACCAGTTCTGTGTCTCTGGGGAATGTGGTAGATTCACAACATAGCTGAGAAAAACAGCCCTGAAATGTTGCTTTTGCAAAAGCCAAACTATGCTAAAGTTTTCTAAATGTTTAAGAAGCAAATCAATCAAGTATTAAAGGCTTATATTAAGCTTCTCTCACCTGCTCTAAGGTGCTTGGAGCCACAGAGCGACCCAGCTGCTTCAGAGTGTTTGGTTTCAGGCCCAGAATCCTTTCACTGGGGGCCTTAACTGAGAAAACAAAGATACCAGTACACATTTCAAATAGACATTTGATTATTAAACTTAATATACATAACTCCAACAACAATTTAAGTAATATCAGTGCTAAGTATATGTATTTAGCAATAACTTACCTGTTCTGCTGTTGATTTTTGTGTCACTTTTTATCTTACTTGGTTGTACTGCTATCCACTGAACAACAGCTGGCTGAGATGGAATACCTGTTAAAGATACAGTAAAACATTTAACCTTAATACAGTCCCATTTGATTACCAAACCACCAATATATTCACCTCTATTTCCAGAGGTGGACAAAGCACAACCCTTCTGTACTGAGTGAAAGGAGAAATAATCTAGGTAAAATATTACTTGAGTAAAAGTATTTTATTTATATTTCTACTTGCTTGTGAACGGACTTGAATATTAGAAGTAAAGGTACTTATTTTAGTTGTTATATTATTTGGGTGAACACCTTCTAACAATGTCAAGTGTGTGTTTCAGACGTGAACTTTTTACTGATTTTTCAAAATCTCAGCATAATTCAATCAGTGGGATAAACAATGTCAAAGTGGTTTGATGTAAAATGGTGCATCGTAGAGAAACTTGCTGCACTGGTGGTAACAGGAAACAGTGTCTTTAACATCACTGGCAATGTCTTATAGCCATTTTATTTGCTATCCAAAGTGACCAGTCAGCCTACATATGTCTTGTGAGTTTTTATATACAATGTTAAGGATAAAATCGAAGTTAATATAAGTGGTAAATACCAAATAAAAAACATTTTCTTTGGGAACTGTCATGGCCAAGAACACACTGCCTGTATCTTTCCACCATTAATAGATCTTTAACAAATGTTCCCCATTTTTTGCTCTTTTTTTACGTTCTGGGAAACAATATATGGATATTAAGCTGAAAACAAAGCAAATGTGGAATTTTTTTTCTTTCTTAACGCTGTGCAATTTTAATCCCTTATCATTTCAGGTTCATTTCATACTAAGGCATATTATTCAGTAACTACAGGGACTTCAGTGTAAACTAATGGACCTATTCCTCGGTTATAGAAGTGTGTAATAAAACTTGGCTTGTTAAGGGGTTAAATGCTTCAAACTGATGTAAATAACTTTTTTATTTGTGGCTGTATGCAGGCAAAACAACGCCTCAAGTATTAGGTATAATATATATATATATATATGTGTGTGTGTGTGTGTGTGTGTGAAACTCCTCCTTAATAGAACTTCAAAATAATAGATCTATCATATATTTTTCTTCTGATACTCGAGTACAATAAGAAGCAAGTACTTTGTGCTTTTACTTAAGTAGAAGAATATCTGCACATTTACTCAAGTAATATTTTGTCCATTACACTCTGTTATTAAGCTGCTTTGTAGCTTGTGTATGAATGTGCTACAAAGCCTCTGTGTAACATATTGACGATGTTTTAATGAAAAGGCTTACTTGAGGTAGAAGGGGCAGGGAGAATGGCTCTAATCCGGCGTTTCTGACCACTACTGCTGCTCTTGTCTTTACTAATGATGCGAACACGGCTGCCACTTAACCCGCTAAAGACAAGCATATTACCACAGAGTCAAAGTAAAAGCAATCTATCACAGTTACTTTCACATCACAGAAGTTAATATTTACATTCATACATACTTAAAGAAACATTCCAGCGTTTTTTAACCTAATCTCTCTCTGCCACATTGTAATGCATGATTTGTTATCACAGACAATCATTCTGACATGTTTGAAGAAGCATCTGCTTCTGTTAATAAGTGTGTTTTGAGTCACTGGGTTTTCAGTTCTTACTAAAATACAGGGAAACACATTGGAATTATTGTCCATGGTAATCATCCATATGTTATTGGTGCAGCGGGTAGATATTAGGTTAAAAAACACTCATTATTTAAATATGCCAAATTAAACTTGCTCACATGACACCTGTTGATTCAGCACCCTGAGAGCCCTCCGAATTTTTGATGAGGTCGCCATCTGCTGGTTGGTACGCTGTAACTGCACCTGTCTTTTCTCTCTTACGACGTCCACCCTTTAGGGCACTCGCTCCACCCTCTCCTTTTCCTGCGGAGCTGTTGTCCTGAACTTTATCTGAAACTGCTGCTTTATCGATATTGTTCTCAGTAGCCTTTCCCTGTCCTGTGTCCACATTAGAGGACAGGACAGTGTTCTGAGGTGCCACTTCAGAGGACAAGGCAACAGAACTGGATTCATCAGCCTGACTCTTCGGCTGTTTCCGCGAAGATGGGGCGGAACCAGGTGCTGTTCCTTTGGCCGTCTGCAATACAAATATCTGTCAGCTGTAGCAGGAAGAGACTTAGAAGCTGCTGTTATCATCAACAAAAACAGACGTCTAATTTGACATTAAGTTCAGAATTAAAACAGAATGTTTATCCACTTTAGATCTACTTGCTTGCATAACTCACTATACAGTTCACTGTCTGCAAAATTATGATTGACACATCTCTCAGCCAATTACAATTGATTATAAACATTCCTTCCTCTGTCAGGAGAAGGAAGAACTCAAAAACAAGCCTGCAGTGAGAACGGTGCTGGCAGTAAAGTAGTCCAAATTATTAGACTAAAAAAGGTGCTACTGGTAAACTAAGCTTCAGGTGGGTTACTGTACTTGCGAAAAATAATTTTAATATATCTAATGACAGACAACATTACAGAACAATGTTAAGATCAGTTAGATAACTAGTTTGCTTTTCTTAACTTCACTGCTCACAGTTATCTTGATAAATCAGTCAGATTAAACAGGACTGCACAGCACTCACTTTGTGATTAAAATATTCGTTGCAAAGATAAACAATAAAGGCCTCGTACTCTGATTAGCTCCAGCATTATCTTATTAGCTCATCTGAAGGAACAGCTTTCGTCACTAAAAGCTCCTCATTAGACACGAAAACCTGCCGCTTCACTAAGGAGACACTTCCTTGGTTTGATTACTGTAAACAGGGTTTGCAGAATCCACTTTTGTTCAATTTACATTGGCCCACACGCATAGTTTGTCGGTTCTCAATCATGTACTGTGCTCAAAAAGTTGTCTTGGGACACTCTTTGGTTACAATAAATATCTTGTTTTTTATTACTTTTCAAAATAGATTTATTATTTTTTTCTTTTGTATGCATCAGAAAAGTTACAACAACCAGCAATAACAACCAGGTTTAGTAACTGAAACTCAGAATGATCCTGGTAATTAAGTGAAACTTAAGTGAGGTACATAAAAGTACTGAAACATTAGCAGGACAAACAGTGTCTCTTTCCTTTATGAATGTTTGTATTTAGTACCTTATTTAGGTGAGTATTTTGTTGCATATCCCTGTCTATGCAACAGACACTCAGCCTGGCTTGGATTTTGTCTTTGGATGACCAGAGTGTGGCAGGTGCTGAACACGTCCTGCCTTTTTCTTCTTTAGTACACTTTTTGTGCTTGATTTTGAACTTTCAATGCGTCTGGAATCTTTCCCACAGACACAGGTTATTTCCAAGAGAAGATTTTTTTTGTCAGATTAATAAAAGTTAACATTTAATTTTTTTAGATTTCTAACCCTCTGTATCTTTCAGAATGCTAATGAAATTTAAAGGCAGGTGTGCTGGATGGTACTTTGCAGATTTCTGGTTTGAATGTGTGCATTTGGATTAGTGTCCCAACATTTTTGAAGTAAAATGAAGGGCTAGGTAAATGTTCTCAACTGACCTGAAGAATAATATTGATAATACATAAAATAGCTAAAATATGGTAAAGCGCACATGTATTCCACAATACATCAACAAAAAATAATTTAGAAAAACAATCGATTACAGAAGTGTCCCAAAACTACTTTTGAGCACTGTTTTCTGCACTGAACATCTTGTAAAGGCAGTTTATTTTTGAATGAAACATGTTTCTAATTGTCTAAACATTGTTAGTCTATCACTACACTATCAGGTAGACTGACAGGAAGTCTGACAGATGTAGGAACAAAAACTAGGGGAAGTAGTACGGTCCTAGAATTATACATGATTAGGTTATTTAATATGATACCAGTTCTCATATTAACACAGGTGACACAGACAGAAGTGCGATACAGTATGAGGAAGTGGTTTTTACTCACAGGTGGAACCCACTTGCCACCGAGGTGCTGTCCACATTCAGGACACTGTGGTGGTTTATGGCGAGTCACATAAGTGAAAGAGCATCCAGGAGTGCTGCAACTCCCTCGGCCTCTCCTCGTGTACTTTATAGACTAAAAACAAAAAGTTAGAACAGTTATAAGTTAAAAGAGCTGCGACTTGACTTGTCCTTAAGTAACCCTGGATTACTAGTTTATTAAGGTAAACACTGTATTCAACTATGACAAATGTATTATATTTAACATGTCTTGGACAATGATATCAATACAATATAAGCATTAGTTGATAATTGCCTCTAATTGATGTAAACTGACAACAAAATCGGCTGGAATTTTAAAGAACATTTCTACATTTCTTCACTTCTGAATATTACTGACCAGTTTGAAAGAGTGTTTTGAGTCTGGTTTGGCACGGTTCATCACGGGGAGCATCATTATGGGACTGGCTGTCGGAAAGACTTTGTTTTCCACCAGTTCCTAAAGAAAACAGAGAATGAAAAAATAGTTATTATACAGTAAGTAAGTGTAAAACAGAAGTCATTTGTGAAATTCCTTTAATAGAAACTAATTTTTGTATAAATATTTGATATTGTACAATAAAAAGTGAGTTAGAAAAGACAGTTAAATAGTGTGTTGAACTGCTAAATTACAGTAGTTAAGCTTGAAATAGAGGTCAAAGGCACAGGAAGTGCAACCCTTATCACAGATAATCTTTTATCACTTGTAAAGGCAGCACTTTCCTCAGATTAACAGAGTGCTAGACTTTTCATAAAATACTTCCCATTTCTACATTTATGTATTTTCTTTTTTAAAATACTTATGAATAAAAAAAACGTGTGTACTTGAGTACACATACATAAGAGTGGAGAAACATAATATGTCCAGATGTATTACTGCATGATATAAGTAAGCAATTAACATAATACCATAACTTAATACAAGGTCTGAGAGACTTTGAATGCAGGCCTATTATTAAGTACTAACATCCATTTTTACGATGAATAGGACTAAAAGTTACATCTGCATTTAGATCCACGAGCAAGACATCAGTAAATTGGGCTGGATGTTGTGGCCTAAAGGACACATTAAGTGATCATAATGCACATGCATTAGTGCGATATGTAAAGAGAAACAGATCAAAAGCTCTTCAGGTGACCGAGAACGTCAACACAGAATGTGATTAGACTGTGTCGGCACATTGTCCACAACAGTCCGTCTACAACTACATAGAGAGGGACATTACAGTAGAGTTTCAATGCATAAAATCCTCATTACAAAGACAAGTGTGCATTTGAAAGTTCAGTGATGCAAAACTCATCTGCACTGGTCTACAGAGATGTGGAAAAAGTGAGTGCCCCAACACTTACTGAAACACTTTATGTTATTTTTTCCTTTTTTATTTGCCACCTGTATGTAAATTTTAGACAAGCAGCGGAGAGCGGTGAGTGCTGAGGGGGCTGCAGCACCCCTGATTTCTGAACTGTAACTGCTAAAAACAATAGTAATAATAATAATTATAATATAGAGATATGAACTTTTAAAGTTCATTTTTTATATAGATTTTTGAAATCTACACTAGCTGTGCACTGTTTAAGTTAAGACTGTGTTTTCATCAGACAGTCGAATCATTTCCCTCCACAACAGTTTGGAGCTTTGGCTGCACGTCACTAAAACACATGAAGGTTGTGGTGCAAAGAGAGAAAGTGCGAAGAGACAGAGGCCAGTTCTGAACCCCAAAGCAGCCTAATACTGTTTTAAAACTTAAAACTTAATAATAATAACATATTAATAATATTTTATCAACTGTTTTATCTCCCGCTCATTGTGTGTTCTCACCGTGGCATGACACAATCAGTTACCGCGCCACATATGAACAATCTGATTGGTCGCCACTTAGTTAATCTGCACATTCATCCAGAATGAGAGAGCAGCGATAGGATGCACATCAGTGTATGTGTATATATTATCGTCTCTCGCCTTGTTATAGTGTAGTATGAGACATTCTGTTTGAGGCAAGGACAATTAGTCTTACCTGATTGGGTATAATTGCAACCAGGTGAGTTGTGTCCACTTTGACCGAAGGCATCATAGCACCACCCTCAAGGCCCTCCTCTACTGCCATGCCAATGCCACCATAAGCCTCGCCCACTGCCCTGCCTTCGTCTTCTTTCACCAGCAGGGTGGTGCCATGGCGACCATCCTGCGCAAAGGCCAGCGGTCTTCCAGCCGAGCTGGAATACTGAGACAAAATTCCTTGTAGCGCTGCAGATCTGCTCAAAGATGCAGCCTTGTCTTCTCCCAGAGCTTCTATCGCGATACACTGCTCCACCAGCTCCACTTCACTGCCCAGAGTCAAAGGGGACACCAAGGGTTCTTGGGCAGAAGCCTGAGGGGGTTCCTCCCCAAGAGAATCAACCCCACCTTCCAGACACACTTCCATGGAACCTCCTGACCTCTCCTCACCCACTGAACTCTTTGGGAGGAGAATATAGTTGGTCCTTGGAAGGATTTTGCGGAAGCCTGGCACATCTTGAGAAGACGCTGCTGACTGTGTGGTCTATCAAGAGGGAGAAAACAAAAGAGCAATTTGAGAAAGTTCAAATCATCACTTATCAAAAACAATTAAATAAAAAATGCCAGCTGTCTTTTACCTTATTTAAATATTTTCTGACAAACGAACCAACAGATATCTTCCACAATTACTGGTTACATTGGTTTTGTTATCAAGCCTTGTTATACTAACTTTTATTTCTTATCCTTTAAAGTTACTATTTTGGAGACATTTTAGTGAAGACAGCAACAGACTAGGTTTGATCATGCTAAAATGCTTTTTACAGGCTGAACAATGGCCATGATTTACCGGGTCCACCCCCTCTTTTTCCATCTTGGCCCTCTCCAGGTAATAGCCTTTATCAGCCACGTTGAGCCTCTTCCAGCTGTCACTGATACGCTTGTTGATCTCAGACTGGGGCATGTCTGGATGCTCCTGTTGCAGACTCTGATGCACATCAAAGTAGTACAGCAGGTAGGCAGACCTGCAGGAGACACACAGTTATTCAGACTGCTAGAGGGAATTTCACTTAAGGGAACAGTTTGGAGAAAAATCAAATTGACTAAATTTCTCTTCCGAAAGTAGTCAATCAGCCAATGCATTTTTGGTGTCGAAGTTCTTTCATTTTGCACTGGAGCTAATGCGGCTAACAAGTAATGGAAGCTTATACCTCATAGCACTGTGATAGCACTGTACAAACTGCACTGTACAAGCTGTTGCCTAAAGCTTGAAGTACTTAACTGATGAAAGAACTAAATAAGAACTAACTACCACCAAACATGGGATTGTAAATATGCTTAAAAAGAACTCAATGTAGACATCAGCACTGTTAGAAGTCTGCTTCGCAATCAGGGGTTTCAGCATGAACAATCCAGTGATCTGGACTAAACAGTCAGGGGAAGGTTTCAGAATAAATGATGTGGTAATCAGCAAGCAGCACACACCACACCAAACAAACTCAAACCACAGCAACGTTACGGCCAAAAAGAAGCCATTTTGTTTCAAAATACTGTTTTCATTTAAAATATACTGAGGGGATAAATCAACGCACACTTGCCTCAAACTGCTTCAGTTGCTAATAAACCTCAGAGTTGATTATATGGTTTCTGTGTGCAGTTAGCCTGACACTACTTGGTGGCTATAAGCTTTAAAAACGTATTAACAAGTTCAGCCTTGTAGTTTGAGTGCAAAACACAGGATAATTGGAAAACTGTAAATTTGACTAATGCTTTAAAAAATATGGATGTTTCCTTTCATATAAAGCCTCATTCGTGAACAGCTAATCTAAGCAGTTACCGGGGTTTTTTGGGTTTATCAGCATGTTCTCCGCTGCCTTTACTCCTCTTCTTCTTCTTGGATGGGGGGAGGTCCACTAGAGTGTAACAGCTCTCTACCTCCTCTATCACCTTCACTTCCGTCTCCTCATATATGGCCTCCATCACCGTGATGGTTCTATATGAATAGAAAAAAAAAAGAGCCATTCAGAACGAAGGTACAGAAAAAGATGTGCAACAAAATACAGTCTCTGTGCTTAGGAACTAATAGCCAATGATAGACAGTAAAGTACCAATCAGGAACAGAGAACTGCTTCTCAGTCATGGACACTGTCATACTATTATAGGGCTCATGAACTTGAAAAAACACATGAACGAGATCTGCCTGCACTTTGCTTAATTCCTTCAGATGCATGCAGGCCAGATAATAACCCAATGAGATTTTGTTGAATAAATACATCTGTTAAAGGAACGGTTAAGTGAAAAAAATCCCCTTTCAAAAGTAGTCAGTCAGTCAAGGTATCTTTATTTCTGCACTCGAACCAAGATGCTCATGTAGGTAACAAGTACTGAAAGTTTGTCACACAAAAGCTGTGGCTTCATATCTCCAGTGCAAAACTAAAGAAGCAAACTTTGGACACAATAAAAACGTCTTGGCTGATCAACCATATTTCGGGGAAAAGGGGGAACTGTGTTTGATTTTTAACCAAACCTATCCTTTAAAGACTTACAGTGGCCCTAAAAAGTATTTAGACCTTTATGCTATACTTAAAAATGTATTCAGTTAATTGTGTTTGGAAATAGAAAGTCAAACCAGGTGACCATTCCCGAAACAATAATTCTCCTTTTAGCAAAGAATTCTATGAAAAAGCAGTTTTCCTGTTTTATATAGTTACTGTTTGAGCAGTTTCTTTACAGACATCTGCAGATTTGCATGTAAAATGCCTCTGAACACTTCTGAGCTCATAATCACATCAATGAGCACAGTCTCACCATCACCACTGATGGACAAATAGCCTCTGACCTTGACAAGTCCACCTTTACAGCACTCTTAGTGGAGTCTGGTTGGAATTCTTCTCCAGAATTTCTCCACACAAATAGCCCAGCATCAGTTGGATGCTGTGCTTTTTTCTCTGGAACACAAATCATTGTGTTAAACATTTTATGAAGGAACCTAAAGACTACCATTAAAATGTGGTTAAATGCTTTTGGGGGCCACTGTATCCAGGTGTCTGAATAATTTAAAGAACTGATATAATCTGGACTGTCTGAAGGGCCCTGAGGACCGGTTTGTGAACCACTGGTTTAGTGGCTATCTGTCCCTGTGCGTTCATATGAGAAGCAGATAGTAGAGAGAGACAGTAATAGGAAATGAGTACCTATCCTATACATTTCTACAGTCTTTTTTGTTTTCAGCATCAAAGAAACACTCAGTTTCATAAAAACACAGTTTAATGCTTATGCTGGAATAAAAAATTCCAATAATTTTTTTCAAAATATCTGGATAATTTACTCGTTAAGATGTGGAGAGAGTCATTCAGAGTAGCTTGATGTGAAACGCTCTGTTCTAGACAAACTGATTACTGAGTTAGAATTGTTCACAGTGGTGGTGATAGGAACCAGACGTCCAAAAGGTTTAATGCCTTTAAGAACTGTACCACAGAGAGATATCACATGAAACACTTTTGAATACGCTGCCTGATACATGAGATGTTGTATTATGATAGTTTTAAAAAAAAAAAAAAATTCTCCAGATTTAGCACTATTTTACAGAGTTCCTAAGACGGCGTGGTTTAAAAAAAACATTTATGTCGCATTCCCTTGCAATAATTTTTCATTACCTTGCAAACGTTTTGTGTTCCTACACATTAATTTTGCTTTTCTCTTCCAAATGCAATGGATTTGGCAAGTGAATGTAATAATTTTGCAAAAAGACTGCAAGGGAACACAATAGCAATGTTGTTGCTACTTTTTTTCACAGTGGCACTTTAGGGTCTCAGTACTATTTTTCCATCATCAACATTACATATAAAAACTCAGAAGACAAGTGTTGGCTCATTTTCGAAAGCAGTTAAAATAAAATCTCTCTATTTGTTCCTATTACCACCAATAAATCACTCATAAGTACAATAAACCCTTTAACATCAGACCACTCTGAATGACTTTATTCACATCTAAACACTTGAACAATGCACACATTCAGCATAACTTCCCTCTAGTATTGATATTTTAGCTGCAGATCGTTTATCAAAAAGAAACCTCAGGGTCAGAAGCATCAATACTTTACTATTGATTCGCCCAGCCCCAACGACACAAAATAGAAAACAAGTGAAGCAAAGCCTGATACAGTTGACTGACTGTCACAGCCCCAGAACACATGACCTAAACAGTCGCTTACTTAATGGGGAATTCCACCAATTTTTCTAAATTTCTCCATATATAAATGGTTAACAGGTCAACAAAGTCATCCAGAGTGATTTGGTGTGACATGATCCATTCTAGAGAAATTTACCAAGTCAGAATTGTCCACAGTGGTGGTGATAGGAACCAGATGTCTCTAAATGTCTTAATGCCTCTAAAAGCTCCATCACAGAAAGTTATTATATGAAATGTTTATGAATACACTGCCTGATGTCTGAGACATTGTCTACATGTTTTGTGATCACGTTTTGGTCTAAAACATACTTTAATCAATAAATCCATTCATCGTGGAGGGGTACATGCAGAGCGTTGTAAGGCAAAATAGTCCCCAAAGACCTACTATTTTACAGCCACCAACATTACACATAAAAACTCTGGATGCTCCTGTAGGTTCACTGGTGGTTTGGGATAGTAAAGAAAACGGCTATATTTGTGTTGTAGACATGGAGACCCCTGGTTCCTATCACCACCACTATGAAGAAATCTAAGTCTGTACGTTTGTCTACAAATGAACCACTTCACATAAAAACAATCTGAATGATCTTCTGTACATCTCAACCACTGAATTATGCGGACATGTTGAAATTCCGGTGGAATTCCCCTTTAACACGATTCTCATCGTAACCCATATGAATCACAGGGCTTCTTGCCCTGTTTGTGTCCTACACTAGATTGGTGTCCAGAAACATCACAAAACTGAGTCCACCTTCTTATACGAATTTTCCCGTTCCGCCTTAAATGGTGCAGAGATTACATTACTGCAGCATCATTTAAGGTGGAACGGGAAATTCGACCACGAAGCTGGCGAATAGGAAGCCAACCTCAGCCTCGTAGAGCTAACGTTACATCTCCCACCCGTGAGAGAGAGAGAGAGCAGTGTGGACTCGCGCTGAGCCTCCATACTGAAGAACGGCTCCGCCGGTCGGCCAATGAGCGGCTGCCTTGTTGCAACCTTACCTCTAGCGCCGCACGGATACTTCCAAACCCTCTCAGATCACAGCTAAAACGCTTCATCTTCGGCCAGTCGCTGCATAGCGAAACGATCCGCCTGAAGAAAGCGCAGATTTCAGACGGAGAAAGACGGTTTTACAGATCTTTCCCCCCTTCTGTTCCATTAGAAATGGCGCAGTGTTGCTAAGGTCCGCAGCCAATCCCGCGCAGCGATGAATAAATAACAGCCAATCAGAAACGAGCTTTTAAACACGTGAAGAGTTTCGTTTGTAGCCTGATACAGAAACGGACAGCCAAATGGAAAAATGACCTAAAATGACAAACGACTCTAATCTTCTTAATTTTGAAGATCATAGACTAAAAATTAATTGTTTTTGTGTTTTGTTTTGTATTTTTTATAATTACGTTAATTACATTCATATATTAATTTGTATTTTTTATTATGATTTTTATCGTAAATTGTAAATTGTTTATATTGATATTTTTATTTTTATTGTAATTATTATATTTGTATTACTTATATCGTAGTATTTATACTTGTAAAAAGTATTTTGTCATTTTTATTACTGTGACCTGACATTTTGTGTAAAAAAAAAAATTGTCTCACACCTTATAATTATTAAAAAATACATTAAATGGAGACGCAACTTCTAATTAACATAAAATGACCAAATAAACATGTTAAAAAAATGATTAAAAAAAAATAAAAAAAGACAGACAAAATCAGGCAGAAGCAGTTGAGTGCCCATTGATGCATCTAGGCCGAGCAAGTAGAGCACAGGTATTGTCGAATGCCATTGCAGGAGCCAGAATGGCGAACGACAAGGTGAGTGAGCTGTTGCCTCCAGTCAACACTTAACACAGAATTGCTCCTGTCTTGCTGGTAAAAAGCGCGTAATCAGCAGCGAATGATACTAACTGGATAGATCTTAGGTTGTTACTAATAATGTTTCATTTCAGCTCATACCACGGCATATTAGCCCTGTCAGCTGGTGTGTGTGAACAGCTGCCTTGGCGTTTTCCACGGTCACGTTAGGAGAGAGGAAGTATAGCTAGTTTAGTTTGTGTACGGTGGTCGGTCAATGGTGTCGTTTAACAAGGGTCTCGTTTCCATTTGGAAAAAAACGTAGCTTACCGTAGATGTCATTGACTAAGTTGTCTGTTTTGTGGCACTGTAACTTAACACTGCTCACTTCCACTGTCATCTGACTGATCCTGCTGTCTTACTGGTGGCTTTAGTCTCCTCCTGTCACCATGAAGTCAGTTGCTACTTTTGGATTTAATGGAGAATCCCGTTCATTTCCAAAACTGTCTAACTACATAATTAAGTCATTAACAGTCATTGAGAGTGGTTTGGTTTGAAACATACCAAGTCTGAAGTGGCCATACACACCTTAAAAAGACTGTCCTTGAAGGGTTCTTTAGCAGAGGCAACAGATGTATATAGAACTAATTCATGGTTCAATGGTTCTTCACATTGATGCACAAAGTGTTGTAAATGGTTTGAAAAGAACCTTTTTGAGGTTATTGGATGTACTATATAGAACCCAAGAGAGTTCTTCTGTTGTTACAAGCTTGACATCATAACAATAGCAGAACCCTTTATTGGTGCTTTATAGAATAATTTCCCAAAAAGATCTATATAGAAACATATACTACACATTCTCCATCAATCTGAAGAACGATTTCACCATGCAAAGAACTGTTTAGGCATTTAAGTGGTTCTATGTAGAACTCACTGAAGAACCAGCTAAAGAACCCTTGAAGAACCATCTTTTTTTTTTATGGGTGTAGTGGTGGTGATAGGAACCAGACGTCTGAAGAGTTTAATGCCTCTAATAGTCACCTCATTGGAAGTCAATACACAAAATGATTATGAATACGCTTCTTGGTGTCTCAGACATTGTTTGAGAGTTTTGAGATAAAAGTTTGGCTTGCAACATTTTAAAAATGTCTTAATGGTGGAGGGGTACATGCAGGGTGTGGTAAGGCAAAATAGTCTCCATTGAAACTGAGTTTTCAGACCGCTATTTTACCATCAACATTACATACAAAAATAGGTATATTTGCATTGTAGAGATCCAACCCTGGTTCCTATCACAACCACTGTAAAGAAATCAGAGTCTGCAAGTTTCTCTGCATCGAATCATCGCATTAAACCTCTCTGAATGACTTTCAGATCTTGACCATTAAATTGTGAAATTAATGAAAAATTTGTGGAATTACTATGTAGGTAGAGATACCACCTTTCATTTATGGATAGCCATACTGATTCTGAAACCTGAGTACTGATTGACTGATTTTCTGTAAAAACAACAGAGATTTAAAATGAGCTATTTAGAGGCAAAGCGCTTCCTTTAACCAACAACATGATGTTTATATGAGATACAGCTTTGCTCTTTTCCTCTATTCAGTTACTGCTTTTACAAAAAAAGAAAAACATATCACAGTCAAAATGTGGGTGTCATACTGGTACCATCTATAATTTTAAGCTTACAGAGATAAATAAAAGTCTCACTTTCTGTGAATAACACTGACTTATATATGGAATTTAACTCATAAAGCTAGTATTTAGTATGTTCTGGGTGTTTCTTGTGTTTGTAGGATCCCCTGGGAAAGCTGAAGGATCTAGCAGAGCTCAAAGACCAACTCGAGGAGATCCAGAAAAGAGTGGAGAACGAAGTTCAGGCTGGGATTCCGCAGGTGCTACAATCATTCTGACTAAAAACGGCATTCAGACCTAAAACTAGACTTTAATGTGTTCACTCACTGCATTATCCAGCTTGCATTACACAAATACATCTTACAGCGATTGGGAATCCCTATGTAGTCAGCCAGTCCTGGCTGCTCGATCTATCGAACAAATAGAGGAGAATTAGGTTAAAAATGCTACATAAATATGAAGTAGCCCACAAATCCTAATGTGACACTTTAATTCAAGTTCATAATGTACAGTAGCATTAGAGTTTAACTTGTTTTATGCTAAAGAAGAAAGGATTTGATTTCTCATTTCTTCTAGGGCGGCTCACTCTTAGCCTCTCCGTTCCTGAAGGGGTTCTTGGCGGGATATGTGGTGTCCAAACTCCGCGCTTCTGCCATTTTGGGAGTCGCCTTGGGAACGCTCACAGGCATCTACGCTGCCCAAAACTATCAGGTGCCCAACATTGAGGGAACCATAAAGGACTACATAAACTCTTTAAAGAAAGGCCCTGGTAATTAACAGAGCAAGAGGGAGGTAATCTTGCACCTGAGCAGAATCATGACTGAAGAAGAACTGACTCCATTGCTGCTTAGTGTCCTTTTAGTGGAGTTTCATATTTATGCTTGGTTCCCTGCTCTCTGCCTGCACCTTCTCCAGAATACAGGACTAAATAGACGTGAGTGAGTGAGTATCAACGAGAAACAAACCTGTGACTAAGTTACACAGATGAGAGATGAGAGTTTCATAAATGTAGAAGCTCTTAAGTTCATATCATCTCTCGATGCTGAAAGCCTTTTCTGTTGATTATTGTATTGCACTGGGAGAGGAGAGGTTAGTATTAGTTTTTTTAGTGTATTAGTTTGATACACAGAACAAGGGGACAACAGGGATTTGCCTGCTTGCCTTAAAAGTATTGTCCTGTGTGGCTTTTTATTATTCACAGTTACATCAATATATGAGCCAATATGTTTAAATTGCAAGGGTAGTCAATTAAAGCAGTTGTTCCCAAAGAGAAGAAATACAGCACTCTTTACAATAAAGGTGCCAAAAAGCGGTCTTTGGAGTGATGAAAAAGAAGAACCCCTTCTTGTTCCTTTACAGTGGATGGTTCTTTTTTGTTAATGACCTTTTTACAGTTTAAAGAATCTTCACTTCATGAAAGGTTCAATACCAATTACATACATCCACACCAAGAACCTTTATTTGTAAGAGTCTATTTTTGACGTTATTTAGAGAATGATTGTGATTGAAAATGTCAGTTCTAGTGAAACACGCCCTCCTCGCAGTAGGCGGTGGCTCCGCAGCGCTCGCTGGGCCATTCTTCTGGTTCTGTTGGTCCTCATCTATGGCTCTCACGCTCCCCTCATCGCCCTCACTAAAATAGATGGCCGTGTTCCCTTCAGCTCCTCGTCTTGTGTGGTTCTGATCGAGTTTAGCAAGTTGCTGGTCTCTCTGGGCGCTCTGATTATTACGGGGAACATCCACACCCTCGGAGCGTCTGTGTCCTGGGCTGCTGTTGCTCCGTACGCTGTTCCAGCTCTTCTCTACTCCTTCAACAACAACCTGGTGGTCTATATGCAGGCCTACATGGACCCCAGCTCCTTTCAGGTGCTCAGCAACCTCAAGATCGCCTCCACCGCCCTGCTGTATACATCCTGCCTGAGAAAGAGGCTGAGGCCTGCGCAGTGGCTGGGATTGGGCTTTCTCATGGGGGCTGGGGTCTGTCACAGCTACAGCAGCCTGGATTGGGATAACCCAGATGGAGAAGGTAAAATGAGCTCCAGGCTTTATATCACAGCCTGGGGTTTATTGATGGTGCTTACATATTGCTTCATATCAGGACTTGCAGCAGTCTACACAGAGAGGGTGTTAAAAACCCAGCGTCTACCACTCAGCCTACAGAACTTGTTCCTCTATGTATTTGGTGTGGGCATAAATTTTGCATCACATGTCTACAGCAGCGGTGGAGAGCATTCGTTTCTGGAAGGCTACTCTGCCGTGGTGTGGCTCATTGTAGCTGGACAGGCAGCGAACGGCCTGCTGATGTCCATAGTAATGAAACATGGAACTGGAATCACCCGACTCTTCATCATCTCCTCAGCCATGCTGGTGAACAGCGTCCTCTCCTGGGGGCTGCTGGGATTGCAGCTCACGCCTTTCTTTCTCTTGCCTGTTCTGATGATCGGATTGGCCGTGTACCTTTATTACAGGTAGCTGATCAAGAGTTTGAGCCAAGATAACAAAGACAGTGGACTAATTGGACTAGCACTGGCCAGAAAAACGGTGTGTGTTTTTTCTATTATTTTTTTCCTTTTCTTTTAATTTTACTTTCTTTAATGAAAGGGGATTTTCACTGTTTTGTTTGTTTTGTTTGTTTGTTTGTTTGTTTTCAAAATATCTCAATAATGCAGTTGTTGAGATGTAAACAAAGCAATCCAGAGAAGTTTGAGGTGAAATGTGTCACTCTATAGAAACCTACGAATTGGATTTCTTTACAGTAATGGCAATAGGAACCAGGGGTCACAATACACACACATGTAGCCATTTAATTTACTGTCCTAAATGACATGTGAATTACGTGTGAACTTAAGGTAGGAGTGGGTGATATGGCAAAAATGAAATCACGATACTTGAAGACATATTCATGATACAAGATGTGCGTCACAATATGTAGTTTTATGAAGTTTTATAAGTTGAAACAGACAGAAAAAAGTACTATCAAAATCTGAGTGCAGTGATTTGTATTGAACATTTCATGTACTGCACTGCGCTAAAGCCAATTAACCAGGGCTGATTATGCTCTCTTTGAAATGAAACTTGCAGTTGGTCAGTGTTCCGTAATTACTGAGGCTGTCCATGATATGCTAGAAAAGGGTATTGTGGCATGATTTCTCATGATGAAAAAATATTGGCATATAGCACACAGCAACCTACACATGTCTTTTAAGCTTTGTATATAATGGTAAAAAGTATAGTAGATCTGAAAAAAATAAGTGTTCTTTGGGAACTGCTTTGCAATGTACTACATGGGCTACACCAACATGAAAGGATTTAAAAAAAAAATCATTTTAGGCCAAAACTTTATCTCAAAACTGTTGTAAAACAGTGTCTCAGGCTTCAAACACTTCCAAAGTCTGGTGAACTATTCTGACTATAAGTTGAACGCATTTTACATCAAACCACTCTGAATGACTTTGTTTGCATCTTAACTATTGAATCATGCAGAAATTTTGAAAAATTAGTGAACTTTCCTTTTAAAGACACTCCTTAGTTCTGCAGATATTTCCAAATGGGGAAAAGGTTGTGAACCATCCAGGAGGTTTATAAGGAGGTGAACTGTGAATGGCTTGTAAATTGGATTGTTGTGTGGTTGTAATGTTGACTATAACACAACAAAACTAACACAGAAATATGTATCAGTAATCTCTCCATATATTGCTGAAATGTTTTTTGTTTGTTTTTAAGGAGTTGCCTTTGCAGTCTTTGTCTGTTTTTTTCCGCTAAGTATCCATTTCTGCTTTTGCCTTTTCTACTTTAATATCTTAATATCAAATCTTGTCATGAATAAAATTTCATCTCTTGAAGACTGTCAAATGTCAGAATGTGAAAACGTTTTGTTTGTTTTAAATGTTTTATTCTCCATTATGCCAAACAATACAAAATGGTACATCATGCAGATATTGAAAGTATTTATAAATGAAATTATGCAAATAAATATTATGAAATTGTGTATGTTGTCTGTGTGAATGTTTTAAGCACTCACGTTGACTTTTTAAAGTTATATAATCTGAACCTTGCACCCATGTGCTTGTGTGATTGCCTTTAATAGCCACAATTACCATTAAACTTTATTTATGCATTGGAATGCATGCCATTTATGTCTCGGTATCAAGTAGTGCTAATTATACTGTAGAAAACAGTTCTGTATGTTTTTGCTACTCTTGTGCTTGTGGTGACCCCCATCACTCCTTCATCGTGGTGTGAGCAGACAGGGCCTTGAGCTCAGCCAATGCTATGAAATGAAAAAAAAAATACAAAAACTCGATGAGTTTATATTATTTATATGTGTATATATATATATATATATATATATATATATATATATATATATATATATATATATGTGTGTAACAATATTTGTTATATGTATAACAAAAAAGTTGTTATATATGTATGTATATATTTTCCTTAATAAATGTTCATTCTCACAATGTTTTCTTTGCTAATAAAAAAATAGGACCTAATAGTTTAATAGTTCAGTTAGAGCCAACAAAGTGAGATGATGTCAGCTTATCATATGCTCTTATTCATGCTTTGGCATTTTCAAGTGAATTATTTGATGGAAAAGGTCTTCAGAAAAAATGTGCTACCTTTGAGGAGCTGCTTCTTGTCGGCCTGTAGCTGTAGGTTTTGGGTGGACAGGTGTACAGCGTCCTGAATGGCTTCCAGCAGGAGAGTCCTGTACCTGCCCTCTGAGATCCGCTTCTGCTCCTCCAGCACCTGCCGGAATGTCCGAAACACCTGTGCAGCAAAGGTGAGAGCAGGTAGAGAGATTCAGTCCTCATTGTGCCTCTCTTCCAAAAATGTAGAGGTCATTGAAGACATTGTTTTGTTTTTTTGTGCAATCAGTTTTACTAGGCCTATTCCTAAATGAAGCAGAAAGCTTAATTGGTACTATTAAATCCATATGTAGAAACACTATAGGCCACTTTCCCAGGCTACACCCAATTAATATGTTTTTCGGCGAAGAAATTGGGCATTTTAAACTGGCTCTGCAATCAAAAGTATCCAGACCCCTGCTTATATTATTTCCTTCAGCCTCTACTCTTCAGAAAGTTTTTACGTTAGATGTTGTAAGAATTTGGTTGCATTCAGTCACAGTAGGATTAGTGAGGTCAGGTGCTGATGTTGGATTATTAGTTCTGGATCACAAATGTCACTCCTCCTCATCCCATGCTGTATTGGATGGAGCTCCATAACTCCAGGCAACAAGTTCCACGGCTCCACAGCCTAATCCTGGGGGGCCTTAAACCCCTCTAGCTGAAACCACCAGTTGAAAGACATGTCTGGATACCTTTGGACATACAGGTCAGGCTCAGTCTAGACTAGGTTTTTAAATGTAAGTCACCATTAGCCTTGCAGTTGAGTCCAAGGCTATGTGAAATCCTTTGTAACCCAGCTGCTAGTATGTTAAAGCAGGAAATATAAAATGTTTTTAAAATGTGGCATTTCCTGCATTTTTCTTCCTATTTTATTATGTTTTACTATTTTATTTTTCATCATTTCTCATTTTGTGGTTTTGTGTACCAAAAACAGTCATTATAGATTGTGACATACCCTCTCTTAATCTTTTAGGCTGTTTTTGTGCCTTTAATTCTGACATATGTAAATGACTTCTGTTCTATTTGGCTGCCTTGTATTGTTCCTCATAACTTCAGTGTCAGTGGGTGGATATGTGTGAATTTGTTGTACATACTGTATGGACTTAGTGATATATTTTTGCTAATAATGTTGACATACAGTCATGTGTAAAAGTTTGGGGCACCTGGTCAAGATTTTCTAAGTAAAAAGAAGTTAACACATCCTCTACAGTGCACACATTGTATGTGCATTTTAATACACAATTGCTGTTTATGTATGCCATGTATCTCCTTTTTTGTCAATTTTTATTTTTCTATTTTTACATCATTTCAACACACCCGCTGTCCTTTATGCTGTGTGAAATTTCATGATGAATAGACCCATAGAAATGCTCTAAAATCGCTTGGAATAAAATCTATTTACATTAACTTACATTGAAATGTAAGAATGTTTTGCCCTTTCCTGTAAAGTTACTATTTTGAAGATACTAGTTTTTCTTTGGATAGCAACGATATGTTGAACTCTGCAAATAAACAGAAAAAATGCCATATTTAACTCTGAAGAGGATGTGTTAACTTTCTTCAGCTTAGAAAGTCAACAGAACGTAATTTCACTGGGGGTGTTCAAACTTTTGCATATATGCTGTCAAATGTGTCCATTTCACAAAAGTGAGGATATTTGGTTTTTACATTATATGGGCCCTTTAACTAAAAGCTGGATCCTTTTCCCCTGTATACTGTCGCCTACCTGTAGGCTCTCCTCCCTGAGGGAGTGCACCTCCTGCTGGTGTAATCTATACAGAGCCTCTAGGCCTGCCTCAGCTTGCTGGTTCTCCATGCGCAGAGCCTCCATCTGCAGCACCAGAACCTGCCTTTCCCTGCTCAGGTACATTACCTCCCCCTCAGCTCCCTCTAGCTGGGAACGGCAGACACACAGAAGCAGTGATCATTCAGTTCAGTCCAGTTTCATCATTATATATATGCATAACTGCTAAGTGAAATAGAAAGCTTTTCTACCAGGCTTATGGTGCAACATTTAACAAATAGTAAAGGGCAGTAACATACAACTATAAGTAATGCGGACAGCATCAGTAAAAATAGATAGTGCTGTGTATAAATGAGCAAAACTGCTAGGAATAGGAACCAAGGAACATGGGATGCATGAGTACAATAGAAAAACTCTGACCTTGTCTGTATTTCATTTTTTTTGGGGATTCCCTGTTTTGTACATAGCATTTGCACTTAAACCTTCATTGTTGGCTTAAGGAGTTAACAAAACTGAAAATGTCCACTTTTTGGTTAGATGAGACAAATAAAACCGTCTGACCTGCTCTTCCTGCAGCTCTCTCTCCATCTTTAGCAGCTCCTCCTGTATCACTCTCTCATGATCTTTCTTCAGCTTTCTCCTGTGCTCCAGCAATTTACAGTACTCCGCTTGTGACCATTCCTCAAGCTGGCAGAGGTCAGTTGAAATTGCAATGTGTAAATAATGATGTGATTTGTGTATTTGAGTGGAATCTGTAATCATTAACAGGTTTATAAATTTGGTCACTTTAACACAGATATTGCATTTTGCTAGTTACAGTTAGTCCATATTATTTGTAGGCTTTGTGAACCTTGATCAGGAATGTGAAAAACATACTGAATATACTGGAAGATATTCTAAAAAATGTTCGAATTCCAGTTACATACTGAACCAGAGCTGTATGCAGATCCATCAGATTCTTTGAGTGCCTCCTTTTGTCTTTCCTCTTCTCTGTGCAGCTCCCCTTTGAGCTTCTTAATACGCTCCACTCTCTCCTGGTTCCTCTCCACACTGGCTCTGCCCTCTGCCGTCAATGAACGTTATCATAAACTTCACCATCATCATCATTATTATTATCATTATCACCATCACCTCTATTATTACCATCATCATCACCATCTTTACCAATACCATCATCACTACATCACTATCTTCATCACCACCATTACCATCACCATCATCATCACCAGCGTTACCACCACCACCATCAATATCATCACCGTCATTACCACCATCATCACCATGATCATTATTACGGCCATCATGGCTAATATCAGCATAGTCATCATCATCATCAGTGCCACAATCACCAATATCATAATCATTATCATCATATTTATCACCATCATCGCTAATATCATTACCATCATCACCATAACCATCACCGTCAGTACCACCATCATCACCACGATCATTATCACGGCCATCATGACTAATATTATCATCGTCATCATCATCATCAGTGCCATAATCACCAATATCATAATCATCATATTAATCACCATCATCGCTAATATCATTACCATCATCACCATAACCATCACTGTCATTACCACCATCATCACCATGATCATCATCACAGTCATCATCATCAGCACCATCCATCATCACCATCATGACCACCGCAATCACCAATATCAAGTCAAGTCAAAGTTTATTTATATAGCGCTTTTCACAGCAGTTGTTGTCACAAAGCAGCTTTACAGAAAAATCCGGGTCCAAGCCCCCATGAGTGTCGCCAATGGCGACAGTGGCAAGGAAAAACTCCCTAAGAGCAAGAGGAAGAAACCTTGAGAGGAACCAAGACTCAAAAGGGGAACCCATCCTCCTCTGGTCAACACTGGATAGCAAACAGTGCTAGTATTAAGTATTGTAGTACTCAACGGGGAAAACAGTATCATAATCATCATGATCATTTTAATCACCATCATCACCACAGCATCACCAAAATCTTCACTGCTATCATTACCAATTTTATCATCACTATCTTCTCTATCATCAGCAATAATGTCATCACCTCCATCACGACCATCATCACCATCTTCAGTGCCATCATCACCAGTGTCATCATAATCATCTCCATGATCTCTACCATTATCACCAATATCATCATCACTATTACCATCATAACTGGCATCATCACCAATATTTTCATCACCATCACCATCACCATCATCATCACCAAAGTCATCATAACCATCATATCAATCACTATCATCATCATCATCATCATCTTTGCCATCTTGATTACCATAATGACTATCATAATGACTTTGTGATAAGACTGCTACATTAAGGTCAGAGCTAATATACCAAAAACACCCAAACAGCCCTTTACACACATGCTGACACACACAAATATATACATACACAAATACGTACTGTACTGTGCAAAAACACGAACTCTTCATCTATTTACTATCCAGTCAAATTGCCCATTAAGTTGAATTAATTCAGTTTTTAGTGTCATGAAAAAGCAAGAAATATATATTTAACATAAAGCTACACAAAAGCTTTTCAGTATTTAGTGTGTCCAGTCCTTTCCTTTACAGGTTCCATTCTTTTTGTGAGATGTACTTTCAGGTTCAGTTTCAAAGAAATCTGACATAGTTTTCCCCAACTCCAAAGTTCAGTCTTAAAATTTGGTTGCACTTTCCGCTTCTCATGATGCCAGTAGTCCCAAACACATTCATTGATGTTGAGGTCTTGACTCTGGGGTGGCCAGTCCACTGTTCTGAGAACCCCAGCAGCTTCTTTGTTGATTTTTGCAAATGTTCTTCAAAGCTTCTTGACAGCTACACTTCCTTTCAGACTCATAGTGTTGAGTCTCCTCACAGTGGAAGGATGAACAGAAACACCTGTGGATTTTTCAGATCTGAAGTAAGAGTGGAGCTTGATTTTCTCCTCTCTCTCAAAGATGAAAGCTTTAAGTGCTGTTTATCTGATGGTGACAGTTATGGTGGTCTACCAGATCTTGCACGGTTATTGGAACCTCCACTTTTTCTATATCTTTTTATTTACTCCAGTTTTGGAAACTACTGTTTTTGTGTTTTTGGATTTTTTTAATTGTATTATTTTATATATAATCTCCTCAGACATTTTACCTGAAAAATAATGGCCATTTTAACTGGAAATGAAATAAATAAAGGGTAATAATAAATGACGGCTCTGACTTTTGCAAAGTACCATACATAAATACCTTTAATATGCATTTCCATCTCCTCTCTGAGAAGATCTTGTAGATTTTTCATCTTCTCGGCTGACTCATTCACAGGCTTTTCCATAGATTCTCTATCAGTTTCCTCCTGTGCTCAACCACAGAAAACCAAGCAGTCACACTGCTGTAAGTTCAGCTAATTTAGATGAAATCTCTGGACTTGATGCGCTCTCGCTCCTAAGTCTTGACTGGATAATCATCTACGTTAAGAAACCCACTATGGTTTAGTTTGAGCGCCAGTACTTACAAATATGTCCATGCTCTGGAGTGGAAGAATGTGGCCTGGTCTCTGCTGCTTTCCAGTAAAGCAGGAGGTTAGTGGCTGTGTTACATTCTAATCAAATATTTATCAGTCAGTGTCCACTTTCCTCTCACTGTGGTCACCTGGTTGATCCATTAGGAGATGTTGCACCTAATTATAATTCTAATAATTACTGTCAAGACGCAGTGACCTGCTAGTTCTCTGTTAGTTGTTTGTTTATTGTGATTTGAAACCTGCATGTGGTTGCCAGTATTGTTTTTTCAGATCTGAAATAATGGATGGGAGGAAGTGGTTAGAGATGTGTATGTTTTGATGAGTATTGAAAGCAGAAGGGAAATAGAATCACAGAGTGGTTTCAGTAGGTCAGTAGTTCCAGATCATTCTCTAAGAACAAGCTTATGTTGATATTATAATGCTTTTGAAGCTCTCAGTTAAGCTTTAAGTTATTTTATTTATTCAACCACTACTGGCATGTCCATATATATATACATATATGTGTGTATTAAAATATTATGAAGTAGACACCAAAACATAAACCGCTGGTTTATTTACAATTGAAATATTATGTGAACAACAAATTATGATGGTAAAAAAAAAAAATAGAAAACTTTAAATAAATAATAAATAATCTATTTATAGTAATGTAAAGTTTACTGTCTCAGAATTCACCAATTTGATCTGCAAGATTGGGTCACTGCCTTTTGATTATGAGGCATTCTGGATGTTTTTATGTACTTAAAGTTCATTTCACAATCCTGCTTAACTATATCTATAAATTGGCTTTAAAATTGGGCTAATGAAGACAGCCATTCCATTATATATATATAATATATATAATATATAATATGGAATGGCTGTTGTCTAAAGAAAACCTTGTTGTCCAAAGAAAACCTTGTATCTCCAAAATGATAACTTTACAGTAAGAGGAAAAACTTACTTTAATTTTAATGTAAGTCTATGGAACCAGACTTTTTTCCAAGTAATTTTGGGCCATTTATTTTGGTTCATTCTTCATGAAATTTACAAACAATATAAAGAGCAACAGGAATTTCCAAATTATGTCAGAAACTGGTATATACATTTTAGGGATCAGACGAAACTGGCCCAGTGCCTCTATCACCTGTTCTAATAGATATACTATAGGTCTTTAGACAGAAGTAATCAGACATGTTTAGATTATAAAGGCATGGTTTATTAGGAGGCCTCTTATTTACAGTACATTCTTTTTCATTCATAATTCATAGCCCTGAAATCTACCACCCTGCTCTCTTCCCTCTCTTACCATTGCCTTATGTTTAGACAAAAAACACATTTCAATTAATATTAAAAATAGATAAAGCAATAGCATCTGCATAGAATAGAATATAAAAAAGTCTCAGAAGCTCAAAATGTGTGTGTATGTGTGTATATGTGTGTGTGTGAAGATTGTAACAATGAAGAATGTATTTGTACTTAAATGTCTCACCTAAACAGAGCAAACAGAATGAGATGCTGACTGAATTTATTTGATAGAATCAAGATTAATCTCCTCAAATAGCCCTTTTGACAAATATAGGACAGAACAAGATGGGCTGTATTGTCTGATTCGTGTGAGTCTCTTTTATTCATCATGTAAGGAAAAGCATGATGCTCTCTGCTGACTTTAGTCTGGAATAAGAAAAAGAAAAAAAATGTGTTAGAACTGATAAACGTGTAAATCATCGTTTCATCACTTTTTCAGTGTAGTACATAACTTAACTTACCAAGCTTCTCGTTGACTGTGGTGGTCCAACCAGTGGGCAGCACATGAAACAGGAGAGCAGAAAAGAGAACACATTACAAACAGGTCAGATCAGCAGTAGGCCCAGTGAATGCCTGCATATCATTTTCAGGAAAAAAAAAAACAAACTTATAATAAGAAACTAAAAATAAGAAGCTGAGTAAGGAGGCCTGTATTTCTCCACATATTCCAAAAAAACTGAACTATTGACGGAAGCATTGGACCAACTTTATATATATATATATATACATAGATACTTTATTGATCCCGAGTGAAAAATTTAGCAATATCAATTTTAGCAATTCAAATTCAGCAATAAAATTATCAATACTCATATCCAAAAAGATCATTTAAAAATTCAAATTATAAACATTATTAAAAATGATATGATGTGCATTTTTGTGTCTGCAAGTATTTATTCAATGTGTAGATATTAGTTTCATAGTTTTTACAAAAATTAATTCATTTGTAAACAGAAGAATCAATTTTACAACTCATTAATTAAAAATATTAATCTTGAAGTTATTTACAACTCCTGAAAACGTGTATAAATAAGCATTTGCACTTAGACATAAAACCCTTTGCCCTTGATTTTTTTTTTCAAATAAACAAACATAATAATAATAATAATAATAATAATAATAATACATTTTCAAAACACATTTTTATGGTTTTCCTTGGGTCTCACCAGCTGACTTGGTTAACTGAGCTATGTTAACCATGACTACTTATCATTGCACCATGAAGGTCACTTGATGTCTTCTTTATGATGTAATACCCTGCCCACTTTTTCTTAAATACATATTAGAATAAACATGGTGTCGGTTGTTCCATGTGACATAATTTACTGACTTTTTACAATGAATTGAATGCTTTAAAAGTTGCATAAAATCATGCCAAACTATTTTGTTTAGAATTTTATTTAACTAATCTACCATCTTTTTTCTATAATTTTTCATTCTACATATATATTTGGATGGTCACACCACATGACATTATTAGACTTTGGGAGGCATAAATGGCTAAAATTAGTTTTTATTTTGATGCATTGAAGAAGGTATTGTAGAATAATGCAATATATGTCATGTATTAAATTATTTTATATTCAGAAACAATTGACTTGGACACAAACAAATGCATATCATTTCACCGAACCACGATGCTAAAGTTTTGCAAATGCTTTGGACAGTAATAATTGTTGTCATGCTGGTAGAGAAAGTAAACAACAGCAAAGCTCCAGGAAAACTATCTGGATCTAGTTTCTCTTATTTAGGTTACAAGTTGCTCTGCCACCTCACAGTGACCTTTAAGCTGGAAACTCTAGTTAAGCTAGTGTGCTTCTGCTTGTAAACCCACCGTCTCCGCAGTGTGGGCGGCCGCGCATCAGAGTGCCCTCGATCTCATTGCCGTTCTTGTCCACACACCAGCAGTAGCCGGTGCTGTGCCAGCACTGCATGGGCAGGTAGTTTCCTTTCTCATCGCACTGAGGGCGGAAGAAGCCAGGCTTTACCTGCTTCTCAGACTCCAGCTTGCACTTAGTCTCCACCTCCATGGCTACAGAGAGAGGAAGGCAAGCGTGAATGATGGAAATAGGCTGTTCATGAAGCATCTGAGGGTAACAGTTCTGAGCTAGAAACATTTACTGTCTGTATCCTCCTGTGCCAGCTCTCCTTTTTTTAAAGGGACTTTTTAAAAGGGACTTTTCTTACATTTTATTTTTCCCCTGATGTCCACTTATAACATGTATGGGTTTATTCATTTTTACAGGACTGTATTCCAGCCCCTCTTACTCGCTCAGAATTAATGAATTTAGGACTTTAAGACTTGTGATTTATGTAAATGATCTCTGTTATGATTGGCTGCCCTGTATTATGCCTCATTCAGAAAGCAGTCAGGGCTAAAAGAAACATATCTTGTAACTTCAATGTAAATGCACAGAGCTAAACTGCTGTAGGCTGAATAGGCAGATGTACAGTACCAGAATAGTACATAGAATCTAATAATAGAATAGAATTATTTATCTGCTTGTTTGTTTGTTTGTTTGTTTACAAAAAATATATAATAGGTTATATGGAATTACTCTGGTCAGAAATATCCCCCACTCCCCAGCCTACTAAACTTCACTACAACACGTACAGCTCCTCTATGTGAGAGTCAGAATCATACCCGGAGATTCGGTGATGGTCGATTCCTCAGCCTTTTCGTCACCGAATTCAGCCAGGATGGGCAGGGTGTTCATGGGCCGGAGCATCCTCCTAGGAGCCAGTCTGGTGCCTTCAAGCAAAACACACATCTGCTTAATTCACTTATACTTACAGCTCATCCAACTGTGAATTCTTTTGTTTAAAGATTAGATCCCTAATCTTGCACAATGATTACTTATTGTTTTATTATTGTTTTATGTTTTATCGATAAGGATTTGTTAGACCGTCATTATGTCCTGCAATATGAACTGCGCACTTCACGTCCTCTAACTCTGACCTTTACACTGTGTGTTTTCACTATGATTCTGCTGGTCATTTGGGCTTTTTCAGTGGAATATTTCTGGGGAAGTTTGATTGATCTAAAAGTGATAAATCTTCCAAATGTCTGCGGCAGGCCGTACAGCGTGAAAGAAATCTTGAGCTACAGGAATTGGGAAATCCCTTATAGTGAAGTGAAAGATGTAAATCAGATTATGTGTCACCATTTGACTTTTTTAGTAATTATGAAAAGACTTTTACTGTACCATCAATAAGTCCGCTTCCCTCCCTCTGAAAGCTGGTGGACTGCAGTCTCTGAACAGAAGAAGAATGACAGGTCAGCTCACTATTAGGCAAGTAAAGTGTACACCAATACATTCACTGTTCTTTATAGTTATCAGTGATCTGTGGCGTGTTTGCTGTATTGTGGTGTGAATCTCACCGTGAGAGGCACCTTCTGTTTGGGACTCTCATCATCAGTCAGAGCAGTCAGCAGCGGCATGCTGTTAATGGGCACATGCATCTTTTTAGGAGAGCCTGAGGAGATAATGAGAAACGACAAATCAAAGTCACTTAAGGCTGTCTAATTTAGTTTTGTCATCTTCTGTATTGTGTTTCTGCTAACATTTCAATTCATTCTGTTTGGTTCCCCGTTTTGCTTCCAATTTCCCTGCCACTCCCTGTCTCTCATACCTGAGGACCCACGAGTGATCAGTTGGTTCTTCAGGTTCTCCTGGCCCTGCTCCAGGGCAGAGATGTGGTCCCTCTGGCCCAGGATGAAGTAGGCAGTGAGGGCCTGGCCAGCCAGCAGGAGACAGGCCAGCAGGGTCAGGCCGGCCACCTTGAAGGCCTTAACATTGGCATTGCTGAGGAGAGGAGGGATAGAAACGATCACTTTCCAGCTTTCACTTTTAGTTTCTTCGCTTTCTGGTACTTGATCTGTCTCCCAGCAAAACATTAAGATTTTCTATGAGCTGATTTAAGCAATCACCTGTAATAATTTCCTTACACGTGCACACTTTAAAAGATGGTTCTTCAAGGGTTCTTTAGTAAAGAAAATGGTTCTATATAAAACTATGAACACTCAGAGACGCCTTTGCATGATTAAAGGGTTCTTTGCATCATGGAAGTGTTCTTCAGATTGATGAAGAATGTGTTTTATATGGGTCTATATAGCAAAAAAAAGGGTTCTTCTATTGTTACAGGCTTGACATACATTGCAAACATGTTCTCCGTCAATCTGAAGATTGCTTTAATGATGCAAAGAATCTTTTAATCTTGCAAAGGGGTCTCTGAGTGTTCATAGTTCTATATAGAACCATTTTCTTTACTAAGGAACTCTTGAAAAAAAAAATTTTAAGTGTAGAACAAAAGAATCTATCTATCTATCTATCTATCTATCTATCTATCTAAGCTGTCTGTCTATTTGAAGACCCGGTTTTAATATGATTTGCATTCGTTTTCCTCTCTATACTCCGGCCTACCACTAATTTAATAGACGCGTGACGTCATCTGTCGCTAGGCAGAACTGGAATCCATAGGCCAGAGCTCACAAAGCTCAAAACTACATCTAACAGACCAAAGAGGACACGTTTAAAATATATAGTGAGAATTTTATTTAAAAAAAAATCTTCATTTTCCTGCAAGTACCAGACAGAAGCCCTGGTGTAAACAAACCACAAAAATATACATTTTATACATTTTATATGTGTATATGTACACACACAGACACACCCATCACCCATATATATATATATATGTATATATATATATATATATATATATATATATATATATATTCAGTGCTACGTCCATTGAACTGGCCTTTCACTGTGGTTTTCCCCACTGATCTCACAGCTCTAACAGGCGCCTCAAATTTCACTGAACAACGACTTATTTTTTTAAAACCTTCATTACAGTCATTAGAAGTTTGATCATATGGCACAAACGTGCAAAAAAACAAGCAAAAAAGTTTTCCAAAAATCCTCTCTTTTCTATTCATATTTATAAATTATATTATATTATATATTATATTTGATTTTGCACACATTGATTAAACCCTGGAAGTCGTTGGTGCAATAATGCCTATGACTGGCTGAGGCTCAAACTGGCCTGTAATTGCGAGCCCATCTCATCGCTCTTCTAGCTCGCTGTTCACTGGTAGTTTAATTGAATTTGCTACAGTAATAAGCTGCACCTGTTTAATGCAGATTAAATATTTATAAATATTTATATATATATTGATGTGTCTCACCGTCTGGGCTCGGTGACGGTGTCCGCGCTGTTTGCGCGCTCCAGGAGCGCTGCGTCGTGCTGATCTTCCATCCTTCAGAGCTTCTGCTTGTGCGTTGATGCGCTCTTTGTTTTAATGGGCTGAGCTGCTGCGGCCAAGGCGTTTAAAACCGCGGTGGGACGGAGTTTCTCTCTCTCTCTCTCTTTTTTCTTGCTTCTTTCTTTCCTGAGCTTCGTGGAAAGTCCCGGACTGGTGCGGTGATCAGGCGGATTCGGTTCTCCCTTTTTTTAAAATCACTCTCTTTTCTGAGATTTGATTGGCTGCCTGAACATCATCATCAGTTAACAGCAGAAACAGTGTTTGAATAAAGTACACAAGGAAAGAAACAGGTCAGCTGGGCAGATTCACACTGTTGATAAACTATTCAACACTGTATCTCCACTCTTGAAAAAGATGGTTCTTCAAGGGTTCTTTAGCAAAGGCAGTGTCCTTATTTAGAACCGTGAGTTCATGTAGAACCATTTGTGTGCTTAAATGATACTTTGCATGTTGACATGGTTCTTCAGACTGAAGGAAAAGGGGTTGTATATGGTTCTTTAGAGAACCTTTTTAAAAATGGTTCTACTGTATATGGCACCAAGGGTTCTTTTATTGTTAGCTTGACATCACAGTAGCAGAACACTTTTTGGTGCTATGTAGAACCATTTTCAACCATATACAACACATCCTCTATCAATCTGAAGAACCATTTCACCATGAAAAGAACCATTTAAGCATAAAATGGTTCTATATATAACGTATGGTTCCAAATAGATCTGTTGCCTTGACTAAAGAACCCTTGAAGAACCATCCTTTTAAACTATGTAACACTGCTGTTCTATGACACTATTACAACATATTACCCTGCAGACAGTAGAAAAGTAGATCTGAAGCACTGTGTAGGCCACTTAGTCAAAAAGTGAACTCTATTGCAAAAGTGTTCATCTGTCCAGTGTTCTCTTCAATCATGAAATGAGCAGCGACTATACAAGCTGTATGAATGTATTAAAAAGATATGATTGACCTCCGATGGGGTTCATTATCTAGGCCTGCTTTACCCAGATACAGCTGAGTCACTCCCCCAAAGTCCTCACTGATTCGACACTATCTGAGCATGTGTTAGCCACAGAGCATCTCGATCATCAGAAGTGTCTGGGGTTTTTCCAAAACAAGGAAGCATGAAATACCACAGAAACACACAACTGAAAGCCTTGATGTGTAACCTCAGTGACTGCCTGAGATTATTTTCTTGTGTAGCCAAACATACTTCACTGTGTTTTGTGTTGCATGGCTGCGTGAGAGTTTAAACTGTAAATACAGCCCTCACATTTTGGGATGTAGGCTTACTTGCGTTCCAGTAAAACTCACCTAGGCCTGTATACCTGAGGTATGAACATGTTATGCTCTGCTGTTGAGTGTGACTTAAGCCATTTAATTCGGTTTTTAACTGGAACTGCAAATACAAGTATAGGAGTATCTGCTGTGCTTGGATGTTATTCAGCAGCGCCATCACTTTCTGTATAATTCAATCATTAAGAAGTAAACAAAGGCATTTAGAGTGGTTCGAAGTGAAATGCTCTGTTTTAGAGAAACTTCTAGAGAAATGTTCACAGCGGTGGTGATAGGAACTAGACATCTAAAAAGGTTACAGCCTATGAAAACTTCCTCACAGGAAGTTATTACATAAAATGGTTATGAATACACTGTCTGATGCCTCAGACATTGATTTATGATAGTTGTGCGATAAACTTTTTGGCCAAAACATATTTTTCCAAAGCTATTCATGGCTGAGAGGTACATGCAGGGTGTCAAGGCCAAATAGCCCACACTTTTTATGTATTTTTCTAGATTTACCACTATTTTACCAACAACAACATCACATGTAAACATTCAGAAGATGTGTAAGTTCATTGGTCATTTTGAATAGTATTGCTGTATTTGTGTATTTGTGTTGTAGACATTACAACCCCTGGTTCCCGTCATCACCACACTGTAAAAAGGGCTCGTCAGATCAACCTAAAAAAATGATTTGATGTAGTAAAAAGCAATTGAACTAGAATTATTCAACTCAAAAATTACATGGAAAGAAGTATTTATTTAGGTTGAAAAGAACTAGTTCATTTACTTGTTACCACGTGAGGTCATTTTTTAGGTTGATCTGACAAGCCAATTTTTACAGTGCAGCAAAGAAATCTGAGTCTGTAAATTTCTCTAAAATTAGACATTTTACATAAAACTACTCTGAGTGACTTACATTTCAACATTTGAATTATACATAGAATTCTGGAAAAAAAATAGTGGTATTTCCCTTTTAAAATTTTAATTTATTGAAATATATCAAATAATAATTTAACCAAAAGTAAGACTCACATTCGTATTCTGGTAATGTACTATAACAAGTTTAAGTAACTCAATTTTTATTTTTTTTTTACAGTATAACCAAAACAATAATGACAACTGAAAAAACAACAAACACTGTGATCCAGAACACTAGATGGAACACACAAACGTTAAAGTGTACAATTTCTAGAACAAAACAGATTTTACAGAAACAGAAATAACCATTTAAGATAGGACTGTGACAATAAATCGATTAAATTCAATTACTCGATTTAACCCTCAGAGATCCACTGTTGCAGAACTAAAGCACTTTATTCAAGCAAGTTGTTGCACTGGGTAAAAAAAATCATAATTGAAATTATACCTTCTTAAATACCTTCTTACAATAACTTTGACATCTGGAATTTGTCATATTTTGAAAAGTGTATATACATTGTATTATTTATTTAATAACTCACAGAATTTTTTAAATGTTGACTAAAACCACTAAATATACATTTTAGTCTGTTCCAGGTACCAAATGATCTGTCCACAGTATGTAAGTTATTAATGTAAATAAAATAACAAAAATACTAATATGGCCAGTGATTCCAAACCTTTGCCATCTTTGGTAGCCAGGGACTATTTTGCTTGAAATATGGTCATGTTAACATCTGTGTGCCTAAGGCCATTTCATTTGGTTTTTAATAAATACAACTAGAATTTTAATGGACAAAACAACACTAAAGCCTACACTATTTAAACAATAATTTGTAATTGTGATGGGAATGCCTGTGTAAAAGTAGGACTCATCTTTTTATTAGAGTCATCTGTAAGAGGATACGTGTGGCTTGATATTGTTCAGTTGAGTCAGTTTTTGTTGTTCGGTCTGTTTTAAAATCCCTGGATGAATAATCAGAACAATCAGTAGATTAGAAACCACAGTTCCAGTTACTGAGTGCATAAATTGGGTGTTTGTTTTCTTCTTACTGTTATTTAGAGTGAGGTAAGTAATAGCAGTAAGTCCATACCGCTGCTAAACAGAATATCTTTTACACGAAAGCTTGGCAGTGGAAAACACCTTATAAAGAAACATCAGCTCAGAGCCAGACGTGTGAGACAAATTTAGATGGTAGAATGTGGACGTTGGAAACCTCCATAGTTTATATTTTAACGTCTTTAAAGTCTATCATAATCCTTGTAAATATGTACTTTTTAATGTTTTCCCCTAATATGTGCATGTTTACAGTCATTTTTGTTGCTGTAACTCTGCAGTTTCCTGTGGGACTACATGTCCTGTCGCTACATGTCCAAAAGTTTGTAGACACCCACTCATCTGGTGTTTCTTCTGAAATCAAGGGTATTAACAGGGAGTTTGTCCTCCTTTGCTGCAATAACAGCCTCTACTCTTCTGGGAAGGCTTTATATTAGATGCTGGAACATTGCTGTGAGGATTAGATTGCATTCAGCAGCAAGAGCATTAGTGAGGTTCCGGACCACATACACTGCTCCAGCTCCATCACGCCAGAGAACACAGTTCTACTGCTCTACAGCCCAATGCTGGACATTGGACACGGTGACCAAGGCTCATGTGTGGTTGATCCAGAGCTTTCTATAGAGATTATACAGGCTGAGTGTGCCAGTATCAGCAAAGAAGAATGTAAATTATCTATGAAATGATAAATATAAAATAAGAAAAATTGTGTTAGGACAGGGCAGCCGGCGTGGTTCTCTTTTCCTTTAAAAAGTTGCCGTTTTGGAGGTTTCTCATGGCTAGAATGATCTAAAAGGGGTAGTGAAAGAGGAAGAACCAGTACTTCAGAGAAAGTCTGCGTAAGTAGATTAAAAGGTAATCTATATGAAGCTTCTTATGTAAAAACAATAAAAAAAAGACATTTCTAGCACTTCAGTGATACATTTTTCCTAGCTTTTCATGAGCTGTTGTTTAGGATTGGAATATTTAACGTAGTGGTTACACATACTGTATTTACACATACAGAATTATTTTTCTGAAGTTAAAGTATATTTGTATATTGTATGCATGTTAATATGGAGCATTTCGCTCTCCCTCCACTACTTCTATTCTATACAATACTGTACTTATCTATTAGGGAACTATATGCAGTCTAAACTAGTATGTATGTAATGTTGTAGTGTGCTGTGTTATTTTTAAAGTAAAAGTTGAATGCAGTCCAGGTATGTGGACTGTTCAGAAGTTCAGAGTCACTTTTAATAATAATTTTCATTTTCTTTGGGAAAACATAATATTAATATTAATATTAATAATGTTGAAAATTAACTTGAAAATGCCTGTTCCTTTTTACAGTGTGTGTAAATTTTATGAAGAATGGACCAAAAGATACAGCCCAAAAAGAAAAGTCTGGTTCCACTGACTTATAAATAAAGTAGGTTTTTCCACATGCTGTATGTACGCATACATATACATGTTATTTTCACTAAAAAAATCAACAAAACATGTAATTTGACCAGAGGTGTTCAAACTTTTGCATACTGTCAATGTCAGAACAAAACCTTGTATCCCCATTTTGGTTTACAGAAGTTGAAAATGCCACTCATTGTTCCACTAACTTCCTTCTCCTGTTCAGTTACCATTTTTGAACATACAGGAATTATTTTTTTTATGAATTATGATTAGATTTTTTTTTATATCACTGCTTTCTCATTCACTGTAGAATCATACATACATAACATACACAAATTTCCTTTTAGTGTCTAGCTCCCTATTAATTGTTCTTTAGTGGAAGAAATGGAACCTTTCTGAAAAGGGTTCTGTATAGCACCAAAAAGGGTTCTTTCATTGTTACAAACATAACATTGTAACAGAAGAACTCTTTTTGGTGCTATACAGAACCCTTTTCATCAT